AGTTAATGTTCCAACTGGGCGTGCCTAACATGGTTGTTTTGTGTTTGATATAAGACGGTTTTTGATTATGATATAACTATACGTTATTTGAGTGAGATGTATCATCTTCTGTGAAGTTTGCTCATCAGCATGCATCACACCGTTGCTCAAGGCACCTTCAAATTAAACATAACAGTCCTCTAAAATAATTCTAAAATACCTTATGCTATACCTATATATTCATTCTGGCATTGCGATTTCTTTGCTTCGTTTCACTCGGAATTTCCTGCCAGAATAGAAACAGATCGAAATAACGTTTTCATTACCAATCTCTCTATATTTTTTATGTTCCTCTTTACGTTCCTCGTGGAAAGTCACTGTTTTTCTCTAGATAAGAAATGGTAGTACAAATATCATTAACATTCCATGTTATTTAGATAAATCTATTTCACAGAGGACGCTTTGACTTTCTTAATAACATACATTGTAAAACCTCCCCTTGACAAATCTGTTTTAGCTGTGCTTGATATGTCGTGTATTGTGGCGACATACCTGGCCGCTAGATATGGAATTTATCAATCCACGAAACAACTCAAACAAAAAGAGGATGTTCGCTGCAACAATGTGGTAAACACAGCTAAAGGTATGCAGGACATTCCTAACATAGTCGCGCTGAATAGAACAGACAATACATCTGGCCATATGGTAATTTTACATCATACACCGAACCGTAAAGTAAATGAGGTTCCGTAGGTTTAAAGAGTTACCTGAACGTGAATATTCCAATAAGTAAACATATACAATACACATATTGTATTAACATTACAAAAAAGATACAAATGGCAACATTTGAAAAATATAATAATTTGAAACATCTATCAAAAATTGTAATAGAGACTCAAATTACCCATCTAAATGTCTAATGATTAATTGAATTCAGTTTGACCTACAAGAATTCATGGTCAAATACCCCTAGACATTATGATTACTCCCATGGGTTCCTTATTGTAGATGTTACGGTAGTTGGCTCAGAAGTCCTTGATCGTCTCCCACGACCCTCATGTTGCAAATGATGAAATCAATGGACATACTTGGATTGAAAATCATACAAGGCTCGTCCAAATAAGTTTAATCCTTGACATTTTTGGGAATCCAATCCAAATATGAAAAAGACCTGCGTGACAGGCTAACCATTTTTTTGTCTCCTGATGCTATAATTTATACTAAGTACACAGCTATTAGTAAAACCACCATCTTACAAGATCATCCAAAGATAATAAATTAAAATGTACTGGTAAAAAACAAGACATTTATTTTCGTCAGCAACACCCTTCAGTTCATATTTCGGCATTTTAATCGAATAATTACAGAGTAATTTGTTGTAGTCTATCAAGAAATGATTTACAGGGAAGTCAGAGGGTGGATGAATCTGAGTGAGGTGCAACATTATCATGCTTTATGAGACCCGGGGCAAGAATTGTGACACTATATTTTCGATGTGCTACTTAAAAATCTGCAATGTGCATTGAATCCCTTATTAAATTACAATAAAACATGTTATGTTATTTTGTATGAAAAAGCAAGGAATGATGATGTTGACTTATTTGATCAAACATTCATATATAAGTCCCCAAAACCACAAGTGTCACGAAGGTGGTCATAATCAAATACAGGTAAGATTGTCCTAACAATGTCAGAGGGAGGCACCGGCACAATCTTGATGAGACACGAGCTAATTATGAACTTGTATTACACAGGTATAAACATGGTTTTTTTAAATTACAGGTCTAAATTCCAGAAATACAAATAGAAAGCCGTAAAACTGCTCTTAAAGTCAATTTTGTAAACTAATGGTACACCGAAATTCCACAATTCTTTTCATGGAGTTGTCGCGCAAATCATAAAATGTACCCAAGTTCAAGATATCAAACATAGCGAAATCATTATAAAACACACTAAAAATGATAAAGAAGCGGATTTGGATGTATATGTGACGGATGGTGAAAAGGATCCAACAGCAGAGGACATAGGACTTGATGTCAGAAGATTTATTAACTGCTAAAACAATGATTTCGAACATCTGAGTACCGCACCATATGTCTACGTTGAAAATATCATTTGTGGTCACGTTGTGAATGTCTATCCACCATACCTCCCCAAATTGAAAGTGGTGTATCCGGCCGGCACTCCCTGCAAAAGACCTCACGGCTGATATTAACCAAACCTCCCAAGATGTTCGTCTGGCTTTTTAATTATATATATACTGAAATTATATACAAGTGAACTTCATATATTGAGAACCTAACCACAATTTGCAATTTTACTCCAGGTAACGGTGTAAACAACATCGACAAAGAAGTTGTAGGTTAGGATCAGCTGTTTTATAGACTGAATGATGTATGATGCCCTATTTGAAGTTCAGCTATCATGAATATGTGACTTATTGCATTCATTTTCACTGAGAAGTGTAAAAGAACATGCAATTTGTATCATGCTGAGTGTAAATCCATCTAGGGCAAATACATAATCTCAGTTAAAACGATAAAACATGCAAAATTGCAGTGACACTGTCCAGATGTAACCATTATTACTGTGCTAAGAAACGTATCCACCATTATGTTGATAATAATATCGTCAAAATGATGACGATTTACTGTTATCCTGACCCAGTAAAGTATAGTGCCGACATCCATGTCGTCAATTCATCATCGTATGAAATGGATGACATTAAGATTTTTTAATCCAGTACAATTTCAATCAAAGTGGTGGATTTTGTTTGTCTATTATTAATGTTTCAACTTCTCACTAAATATATGTATGGACATTAACTATAAAAAATCTGAAAGAAAAATACCAATATCCAAACAGATGATCAAAGAAGGTGGCCCATTTGACCCACCGTCAGATAAATCAGACAGCCATTAGCACAACTCAAAACTACGAAACCATGAGCCATTTCAGTCAAACTCAAAACATTACAATGTACAGCAATGGAGTATCCGCTGAGGGATGGAAAATCACTAGATGTGCAAACTTTGCCTTTATAGACCTTCAAGTGACATTGGAATTGCAAACATATGAGATCCTTGATCTGCAATTTCCATATATTAACCTTTTAAAAAACATTTACCTTTAAATAGAACATTACCATACCAAATCCCATTGACATACGAAAACGGATAAATTTTAACTTATCCACCTATCAGGCGACCTTTGCTCATGGCCTTGACCTGAATCAAAATCAAAATGAATTGAACGGCCTATATATTTACCTTTGACCTTAAGTCATCCTTGACCCTCATCCAAGACCCTAGCCTAACTTCGATCAGGAAACACTGGGATTGCAAAATCAATAGGAACATTATACAAGATTGATGGGATTTGACTGCTCTGTTGACAGTCATAATTCATTTTAAATATTATGTTTATGGTTTATGTTTGAATATATGATCTAAAGGGGTTATTTTGACATGTGTTATGTTACAGAATTATAGTAATATGAATCGACAGAATGCAATATTGGCAATAAAAGGAAAATCTACACCCCTGACCCCAAGTGTATTGTCCTGTATTGTAAAATTAAGTTACGCATTGCTCAGCATTGCGCAGTTAAAGTATAATCAGGTTCTTGACATCAACCACATTCTTCAATACGTCGTATATAATAAGGACCTTACATTCGAATACTAATTAGAAAGTACTTTATGTTCAAATTGAAAGTGGTTTTCGCGACAACCAAAGATTTCATCCAGGGCCGTTCTAGATGTGACCAAGCTTTGAAATGTTATGAGCTATGACATGTAGGAATTCCAAGGTTATGGGAGATTAATTCATTGTCTAGCTAAATTAGCCACTTTACTGAATATTCATTTTAAAGGTACAATGTTTCAGTGAATTACATCCGAGTGTACCATTACCTTATCTGAGTTCATACTCTGTACCGTTGACGAGCTTTGAAGTTAAAAAGTATGAGGTATTTGGTCTTTGGAATGTAAAATTATTTAAAAAGTATAGATTTAGTATGCCACGTGGATGAGTTATAAGTAGGTCGTAATTATGGGTGACACAGGGCGCATTAATCATGGTTATCTTTTACCATCTCGCCTCTTTCTGTCACATATACCGCCGCAGAGGGATAAACACCGCCTTATCTTTCATTGTCATCTTAAAGATTTTTTATGTTTTCTAAAAGTCTGTAATTGATATATTTGATTCATTCGTAGATTGCTTGGGTCGCCTGTTATTGATAATTAAGCAGAGTTTAACATTTAGCAACACTTGACAGGAGAACAAATGGACGTTTGTGATGAAATGCAACTTTATGTTTTTTCTTGAATTAAGAAAGAAGTCTTCCATTATCTATGTGATTTATCAAGTTCAAGCTCACGAACGAAACTCAAAACAGGTTTAAGAATTTCATAATGTACGTATGTATTTTGTATAAATATAAATATGTCTTTTATCTTACATTTTTTACAATTTAGATTGCAACAGTTTTTATATATTATTTGGCAGTCAAGCTTTACAACATATACAACATATTTAAATATTCAGGTATATCTGATCTGATACCCAATACAACTTATTCATACGTGTCACTTCACTCCATTCAACATTTTTGAAAGCTTTCCTGCTCTCAATCTGATGTTAGCGTGGGAGGGAGCTCTATTAGTAAAAGAAACCTTATGTATTATAAGTGGTTATATTCTTTGAGATACGTTGGTGATGTTTTAGGAGAGAAGTGGCACTATGAACAATTTAGCGAATGACAAAAACGTCCCGCGATTCTATCTATACATGATAATAATTTTCTTGCATATCCGCTGTATATGAGTAAACCCTAATAATAATCTTTTACAAAATGCCATGGAATTTAACTAAAGCCATTTTGTTTTAACTTTGGTGTAAGTCTTTGTTAGTTTGTGAATTCTGCAAATAGCTTCGTTTAGTTTTATATCTTTCTCATTAAAACATACACATAATATAATGTACACCTGCTATGTGTAGTAAAATGAAAAAAAAATCAACATTGATTTCGTCAAATGAGCACACATTTTTTGTCAGGATGATTTTCCTTCAATGCTGTTGGGTTAGTATTCGTTTAAATCAAAAGTAAGTTAGAGATTTTTCTCTCGGTCTTATTCATTTACCTGTGTGACAGGAACTTTTTTACATAATCATATTGACAACACCGCACCCATTTAACGTTTTTTGGGTTGCCTTAAATTGGCCAATAAATTTTGATGTCACATAACAGCAACTAAAATTAATAAAGGACCAATCAGATTGGCCCTCACATGCACATATACACGTATATCCTATATGGATGAGAATAAATACACTAAGGAATGCAATATATACATATGATGACGACTCGTAGATGTGTAATGCTGAGATATAGCCCATAATAGGGCTTGCTTTGCTCAGTATAATGAGTTTCAGATCTTGCATAGATATTGTGATATCACAGTTTGAATGTAATGAATAATTTACAAAATGATTTTGAGATGAAAATGATGATGACTGGTGATTTTGACTGGTAGTTATAATTATGAATGAGTATATTGAGTAGGATGACATATCCTGTTTACAAAATAGTCCCGCCAATGTTTTAATGATAAGCTATCAAAACTTGGTAATTGTATAACGTGTTGATCTAAGGGACAGCTAGCAATTGAGTTCAACTCAACAATGTCATAACCACTTCCAATACCTATTGCATACATTTCTACACCGTCAAACATTCTTGCCTTCTGGGCTTGGTCTACAGTCTCCATAAAGTTATCAGAGGCTCTATCGGTGATGACAATTCCAATTCTGCGTTTATTGTCACTTCCTAAAAGGTTTGTACTCGGGTCATATTGCTCAAATGTCATTCTCATAGATTCCATGAGACTTCGCTGATTCCTGATGGGTCTATCAAGAGAGTCCAAAAGACTGTCTTTGTCTAGGAATTTATTGAGTCCAAATCCTCCGAAAAGATCTATGCATTCATGAACAAGGCCCACACGGAGTCTCCCAGGCCCTATATCGAATTTGCTGGAAATGTCCTTGATAAAACGCATGGCCTTTTTAGTCATTGCAGGGTTCTGCTTATTGTCAAGGAGGAACACAACATCCGTAGGCGAGGTGATCTCACATGTTCCATCTGAAAGAACACAACATAACAACTTAGAGTATTTGACATCTTCGACTTCCAAGGTGTTTTAACACGTTGGAGCATCTGAAACCTTGTGAATCAAGATGGTATTTAAACCATAGTGAAGTACAATAGTTGGCTATGAGAATTAATTGGTGCAAACATGTATTTACTAGAACTACTACAACTGAGTCAGGAATGAAGAAATTCAATGTACAAATCAGTTCCCTACAACAATAACAGTCAGTTAGATTTACTAGACTAGTAACATTCCACAAGAACAGTAAAATTCATCACAACCAATTCATAATATTTCAAGAGACTCATCAATTTACCAATATTGAATTATCTTTCGATTGCCATTCCCATCTGTTCCCCATCAACGGGAGCAGGTATCTTGTCTATTTTAAGCTTTTTGTTGGCATTAACCTTTTACGTTACTACAAGATGAATGGAACGCATATGTTTTGGAATTCCCACCCATCAAGACAGATGTATTGTAAAGTGCTCATGTTTGGCTCATTAATTATTGTAGTTATGGATTTTGTGAATGAGGTATGCTATTCATGCCATATCCAAAAAAGTACATTTTTATTTTTACCTGGAAGCATTCCTCGTCTGGCACTAGGGCGGCGCCAAGGATCAATGTCATCTACTTCTGTTCTTCCACTAGTGAATTTATACCTGTCGCCACCAGGGGTAATTTTATTGTTACCACCATTCAAATTGCTACCAGGTCGTCTGTTTCTTGGTTTTTGGTTATAGTGGAACATGCCGTTTTCATCCCAGTATCCATTAAGCTTATGGATCCTTGGTTTATCATCGCCATTTTTGTTAACTCTGCTATTATTATTATCATTGTCAGAATCATCACCATCAGGGCCTTCTTTGTTACCATCTGAATCTGAGTCACCACCATACTTGTAAATAGGGTTTCCATTGAATTCACGCTCATTTCCGACTTCAAGCCCTGCTGTATCTGGGATGTTAGGTAATTTGTAAATGGGACGAGCTGTAGTACTTGTAGCAAATCTAAGCTTGTGGAGCAATCTGTTACGCTGGATGGTAGGAGGTGGAGGGAATGTGTCACGACTATCAACTTCGGGGAGTTTGTCTTTGACACCATCTTCCTCAGGGTTGCCAGATCTCCAGTCGATGTGTCTATCATTATGTCCCATCTGTGGTCCTGTATGATCTTCGTTATGTTCAGCATTATGTTCTGAATATGGATCGAATGGGTTGATAATGTTACCATCAATATTGTATATATTTTTGTTCTTCTTGTCAGTGTCATCAATTTTGTTATCAATTGTTGTTGGACGTGGAGTCGTTGTCGTCGTCGTTGTTGGTTTTGGGGAGGTTGTTGAGCTTGTTGTGATCGGTTTTGGTGTGGTGGAGGTTGTTGTAATCGGTTTTGGTGTGGTGGAGGTTGTTGTAATCGGTTTTGGTGTTGTTGTTGTAGTAGTAGTAGTCGTGGTAGGTGCTGCTGTTGATACTGAAATGGCAATGATATACATTTTACAGGTGTTCAACTTTAAAACTTCTGAAAATGCATATAGTAGTTGATTTACTTAACAAAAGGACATCGATTGAATGTTTGCTTTGGTATATATTATGGTGTTTTATTTTATTATTTACTCATTGCAGCTATTTAACAACTTTGTGTCTTACCTTCACATGCTTTGATAGCAAGCAATTCTCTGATTTTATCAAGGGCCCTAAAGTTGTACACCTTGAACACGAAGTTTTCTGATGGTTCACTAGCGATAGCATTGAGCTCTTGGTTTGAGACGTCTTGTCCAACACCAATAGCGAACATAAATATGCCCGCTTTTCGTGCAAGTCTCGCCTCTTTTATGGTCTTGTGTGGGAAACGGGATTTACCATCAGTGATGACAATGGCGATTTTATCAACTTTACGACCGCCCGAGTTTCTCTTAGAGAACATCCTCTTGCGCATGTACTTGATGGCGATATGTGTACCAGTGTCCCCCTGTAGTTGCCTGACGCTGTTGATAGCTTGGTTGATGGTGAATTTGGTCTTAAAAGTATTAAGATCGAACCAACGACGAGTCCTGTCTGTAAATGTCGCCAAGCCAATTTGGGTCTTAGTTGGTCCTATTTGAAATTCCGCCGCCAGTCCCTTTAAAAATTCTTTGACGGTTTCGAAGTCTTCTGGCCATATGCTATTACTGCTGTCAACCAGGAATACGACATCAGCAGGTTTACCACCACATCCTGAAATAACATGTGAAATAACAATTGAGTTTTGGTTATCAGATTCATTCAGGCTCTATAAGGTAAGTAGCACATGGGGAACTTATTAAAAAATATGCCAGTTCTGAACGAGCACATTTGTATCGAGAGGCACGGGAGAGAATTTGGACCTGGGACGGGTGGTTGAAAACCCAAATATTCTTTGAATTGGGAATTTTACTCGATAAAGGGTATCTTTCCATTGATAAACCTCATTTTTTAAGTGGATTATTTCCGTTCTTGTTTTAGATCTTATCCATATTATCTAATCGTCCTATTCAATGCAAGCTATATTTATCTATCATCTGGTGTATGGTTTACTGTTTGGGTTTGCAGTGATTCGTGGTGAAATCTAAGTAGATGATTATTGTTTTGACTTGGGGAGGATAGTAGGCAGTTATTTAGATCATTTGTCAAGTTTATTTGTGTATAATAGCTCTAGTTTGGAACAAATGTAGAATGGCAAAAACAAAGCTCTTCTGAATTTACGCCTAATTTATATCCAAGTGTATTTGTTTCAATAAGATATTTTGTTTTCTTTGTGTATATGTCGACATTCTTAATGGACCTCTTAATGACGTAGCAATAAGTAGAATATAACATGATTGCCTTTTCTGATTACAAGCTACTGAACGCTAATCATTCAAAAATGATAGGTCAGCGATAAAATAGAAGTGATGTCTACAAACTGGTTGCTAGCACTCAAAGAGCTGGCGGAATGCAAATAAATGAGCAAAACAATTTTGTAATCTCTTAAGCACTGAAAAACAATACAATTAATTGTATTCAAGGGCACTGGCCTGTTGAAGAAATCAGAACAAAATTAAAACTAACTTCAAGAAGATTGTTTTCTTCTACAACTACGGTAATACATGCGTATGTACTTTCATTTGTGTACATATACCTATTTGACCATTGCATGTGGCATGAAAGATAAGGATATTTGAAAAAGTATGCTATCCGTTAAAACAACATGTCAGTCCACATACGATTGTGATGTTGCATTTTATGAAGAAATAACACAGATTCTAATAATATTTCCTTGTTCCTTATTGCGGTGTATCGCTATCATATCGCTTTTTAGTACAGGTTGAGGGTAACCAAATATGTTAATATTTCAAAGTGGTAAAGTTTTGGGGACAAATGCAATTTATATCTACACGTTATCACATAGTTCCGTGATTAATGGAAAGCTTGAGTTTAATTTTAGACCATGCGGGGTCATATCTCAACTTTAAAGAGATTGTTTATACCAAGATAAATTGGAATGACGTAACTCATGATGCTTTCAAATGTCATGAGCGAACCAGTTAACATCTATGATTAACTAATCATTACTTATCCATTATGTCACTTCACACTTTCCTCGAAAAGAAAACATATTTCACAAATATTTGACCATCCTCTTTAAAACCTAGATAACGAAATTGGTACATTTCTCTCTTTATCTTCAAATGCGACCACGAAGTACTTATATGGATTACCAAAATTGCTTTTTTATTATGACTTTCTTAAGTATTTCCGCATTGTGTTCTTATGAATGCTCAGTGATGTAGTTCTCCGCTTATGGTTTTAATTTCGTAAGGCGTGGTTAATTTAACGCGTCACCTGGAGAGTATTAATAGGGACCAATAATGACGTATTTGTATTCGCATACTTTAATGTAATCTGAATGCAAATGGCTGCCAATGTTAAAAATAGTTAGAAGGATACGTCTGTTAAAATTTTTGTAACCGCAATTAATTTTTTTGTTCTGTGTTCTGTGGCAGACATTCTTGTTAGTCTGACTAAATTTGAACTGAATTTTTGCGGCTATAATGAGACCTTGTGTGTCTGAATTAATTTTAGATTGTAAAACGATCTGGCTTTTTAGGATTTAATTCCCATAATAAATGGAACTGTATGAAACTAATGAAACTAACAAATGACATCATTGAGACTAACGTGATCAAGTAATGTCTGGATTTAAGATACCACACGTGTGTGTTGATAACAATTGTTTTCTACTAACGCATCTTTCAGATGTTTCACAGATGTTGGTACGTGCACGCGTGACATTTATGAGAAGATGGCGCACATCGTGACTGAACACCAGACCAGCGAAGACAAAATGTCCAAAATGAGACGCAAACTAAACAGTTTATTGACATTGATTGATTCCGTCTTTTGATGTCCAAGTAGATACGTTTGACTTTAGGACATCTACCTGGTTTAGACTATGTTCAAGTACAAGCAGAACATGATCATCGTCGGCCCCCAAACTTTATAACTAGTTAGATAAATGACTTCTGACATTCGTTTTCTAAAGGAAACTAGGTGTTTAACATGTTTGAAATAATTGAAATACAAGTAAATTCATTTGTTGACCTTGATCTCAGGGCAAGTGTTATTGGGTCCGAATACTTATTTCTAATGAGTGTCAGAGAATAAATAGAACATTGCCACATTCTTCCAGCGATAACAAACTGTAGAAAATTTTATATAATTTCCCTCACATGTTTCCAGATGCGTTACCGTGACACATGTTGCGCACATGAACTTGAAAACAGGCGGGAATTTCAAACAGCAATTCCGAGAAAGCTTATCTTTTCAGATAAGGTTTCTCGCTATTTTCCTCTAGAACTCGGTTTTCCATCATAGGTATCAACAACTTGGTATATTTAGCAAGAGCGCAATATTTAGGCTAGTTGTCATTGTGCCAGGCCGGGATGACCCTCGGGAAATAAATAAAACATTCATCAAGTAAAACTTAAACACTGTACAAAGGTTGATTGCTACACGACTTAGAAGAGCACTTGGAAGGAAATTGGTTCAGGAAGATACTGTCGAAGCTCGAGGGAACAACGATAATAACTAAAACCAAACGCCTTATAAGAGGGGGAGGGGGTGTTGAACCTGAGCTAAGAAGTATATGCTACTATGTTATCAGATATGTTCATAATATAGGAAGGGGATGGGGGGGGGGGGGTTGCGGGGTGGGATGGGCTTGCTAAAGGATTAAGTATTGCATCGATGACAATGCATTCCGCTGATTAGTCTCAAGGCATTTAAACCGATAAATGATTGAAGTTGCAAACAATAAACGTATCGTCAACTTGTAGAAAAAACATAGTGGTCTATTCACAACATGTTTGTCTTAGAGTTTGGCCTCTGGTAGTTAGAGTGATGAATGTTGATTCAACGAGTCATATAAACAAATACCAGAACAAGAGTTTCGTGGCCTATTTTTCCAATAACATTGACCTCATGAGGTGAATTGTTTGCAAACAGTGTTATCTTTTCTCGCAAGGAATACAGGAATAGATTTTGGTAGTGGCAATGATGACTCTACAATTATTGTGATTTCAAATATCCCCCTTTGTGTTTTTTTCATGATGTTTCCTTCCATCTCAATACACGTTTTAGCTGAAGAGCTTATTATGAAGAAATGTTTTAGCACACATTTAACGAACATTGACATTGACCTGATGAGGTGTGTCTAGTAATAGTCTCAATCCTCGGTCTACAAAGGACACACTTTGAATGATTATTGGTGTTTTCTAAGTTACTAATTGCTGAAGAATGCTGAACGATATTGTTTCAGTAAAATGGTTGCATTTTTCTTGTGCACTATTCATTGATAAGTTGTTTTAGTATACTTGCTCATCTTGGATTTTCAAGGTATGATGTTTTCATATTGAAAATCAAACTGGGAAACGAGTATGATACTTGCTTGACCACTGCGTGAAAGGATCAATTTCACATTTAACTACACGTAAATAATCACGCAACGATTGCAATAATATACGTCGAGGGTGTAATATATCCACCTGAATGTGCAAACAATCAATAAACCCGTCACTTTATACAAGACCCTAGCACATTTGGCAGAGTCGTAAATGGTAAATCAAATATATAGATAAGTGACACTATAGCCACTTACCACGGTATAAAGAAAAAACTTTGTCACGTTTTAATGCCCGATATAGTCTTAGATCTACTTTATTCAAACCAGTGGTGATTCAGAAACGATTAGCGTACCAGTAAGAAATACAGCAACACTGACTGGTCGACATTAAATGAAGCATATATGGCAATAAAGTTGCTGACAACATTTTTAAGTATTTCAGAAAGACATTTATCACTCATGAGTCATGTACGCTGACCTTTGTATCAGTGACATATTCCAGACATTGGTTAATAAGTCAGAGTCAAGCAGTCGTATTTATTCTTTCTATATCCTTTAGCAAACCAACCATAGCAAGTAAATATGTAAGAATATGGGTGGTATTCAGTTTGTTTTTTCGATTGTTTTCTTGTCGTAAACATTGATTTGTCATTATGTTAATACACTCAGCATTCTTTGTGCATTGATAGCCAATGAAACATCATCCAGGATATACATGTAGAAGTTATCTTATTTTGTTTTCAGTAATGATGTCAAATGAAGAGACTTATGATTGTGTTATTTTTATCTTGTCTTTCTATATGGAATGTCGTAGACTAAATGAAAATAGCAAAAGGAATTTATCAAAATATTTAATGGTTCCGGTTTAAAATCACTGACGCCACATATCATCAACAACTCCGATGAAGTATCTTAACAATGTGCATTACAATCACATCATCAACTGAGATATCTAATATCTGATTTGTTGACATCACTGCCATTTCATTTTTGTAAAAGTTGCAATACATTAAGCAATGTAAATATAGTTCATAATATATGTCGAAAGTCAAGGAGCCCCACAATTGGGTGTGTCGATTACTTAAGTGTTGGGTAAAGTAGAGGATGGCCCAATGCCAGTGACTAACACCCAATTCGGCTGTACAGACTAAAGGAAGCGCCAGAAATCAATATGTTTATCAAGATCTTTTTTCAACACTCTTCATACTTGTGGTTTAACAGGAATGACGATTGCTTTAGTGAAGTGCCATGTTCATTGATCTAGTGTTATAGAATTCTAATTCTACTTGTATTGTTTTTTTGTGTATTTTGTGTTTCGGGTTACCATAGTTATGGGATACTAAGTTTGATTTAAACTAACAGTTTGCATACTGGAATACTAATTACATAGAAATTTGCGGTATGTAAATTTGAATGCAATGTAAGCAATGTATGAATAGTAGCGTTTGTCTAATTTATGATATATATATTTCAAATTGTGATGTGTGCTAAAATGTATACGATACAGGCTAGACAAGACATAGATATTTCCTCTTTGACAAATGATTTTCAACGTGTGTGGAATACTATGTTGTAAAGCAGGCCCTTCTGAGGAGTAAATGCTCATTTCCGACGACGTCGAAGTGGCATACACCTGTGGTATGTCGATGTATTGAAACCCTTGAAATATCGTCTGTCATACTATATTACTAATGGTCCCACGGCCCACCAAACTTGTATACGAAGCTTACATTTTTATTTAAGATGTTTATGTTTTTGCCTTAATATTGACATAATATATAAAATGATTAACTGATTTCCGTAATGAACCGTTCAAATATATACTTAAACTTTGGTATTTACAAGCGATATTAATACTTTGAAATGTGTCAGTAAAATAATGGTGAAAACCGTAAAAACCGTTACCCTAAAAAGTGATGATATAATAACACATTCTATGACACGTGATTCCAACGGTGGTATATTCTGTTACACTTAAAAGTCCCAATGAATAATGAACAGAAATTCTTTTGAATTAATTGTATGTCAAAACGAACTTACAACCATGGGCCTGGATCCGTTCTCAATAATATAACCCGCATTTACACCAATCGCATCGCTCAAATTACATTTCGATTAAGTGGAGCAATCTCAGAATACACAATGTAATTGCAAATTTTTTAAATGAACATGGTTGATGTGTTGATGTTGACAACAAATATATAATAAGATGACCTTGATAGTAGGAATCATCATGCATCCTCCAGTAGCCTTTGATAGTTTCGTTATCAATCCCATACACCTGGTTTATGTGTTATAGTTCAAATGGCTAATCAGAGAGCACTTTATAATACAGAAAATGGGTTTAGAACTGCACGTTTGATAAGTTAACGCTAAATTGGCGCCTCAATTGGGGGCGCATCTTCGCTCATTTATATTATATAAGATAACCTCCTTTGAACTTCTCTTTTATGTGTCGTTCATTTAGAAAAAAGTATGATCTGAAAGACTTGGGGAGAGGTTCATTGCATTTATATTTATTTTGATTACTGACTCATTTGTCATTGTTTTACGTCCCGTTTGAAGTTTACATTTAGGTATGCTAGTAATTTAAAGTGTGATTTTACATAAGGTTATCCTATGTTAGTTCATAAGATCACACTAAATCAATCAAAAGATATTGCAATATGTGTGATAAAGATGAACAATGCAATATATACACAAGCAAACAAAGCAAGAATCATTCTAATAAACAAAACTTAAGTGTTAACCCTTCTGACACCTTTAAGTAAACAAGTGAGTAGTACATCACTTTTATCGTTCAAATTACAACTTTACAAAACACTCAAACTTCTCAACTGGAATAGTTACACTCTAAATGAGTAACAAACCCCTTTTCATTTCTTCTTAATTCATTTATATGATGTATCTGTTCAAAAGTTGGATGCAGTTTGTTTTCGAAAGGAAAATAACTTAAGTTTTATATTTTGGCAATGGTACTTATGACCTTATCAGGTTAGATACATAAACCTAGTACTATTTCGAAAATATTTATGCTATCAAGATAAACAAAATTTAAATCTAAGTAATTTCAATGTCAAGTTAATTTTCATGGAATCTGGTTACAAGCCACAAATTTGTCAATGCTAAGATAAGTATTTATCCATCACGATTCAGGTATGTAGTAATCAAGAAAACTTGTAGCTAAAGGTATTTCTAATCAAGGTGTGGAAATTTTAACTCACCTGCCTGGTCGCTATAAACTACCTGAAAGGTAAAAATAAACGCTGATTAATGACTTCTGTTGAAACAATGTTTATTACACATTACTCATGTGGAAGAAACCCAGCATATTTTCAAGCACTTTAAAAACAATATGTCATGAAATTTCAATTTTGTTAAGCAAAGACCCCATGTCTATAGTGAACAGATGTTAGGAAAAAACAACAAAACCACTATGGATATAAATGAAAACAACTGTTCAGAAACAGTAAGAAGTTCTAAATAAAGTATATACTGCTGAAATGTCATCTGTATTCTACAATTAAGATTTCAGTAAGAAAATCACGATATGCATGTACTTGATTCATGTCAATGAGATTGATAGGGCTTGATAGAGTTGCGACAAGAATTACGGCGTGAGAAAAACTCAAATAGTTTGATGATATTGATATGGGATGGGTCTAAAATGCAAGGTAAAACATTACAGTGGCAGTAGTTCTCTATCGAGGTGTCACGTTACGAAGAGATAAACAAAGCCATACCCGAGGACAGGTACGCCAATTAATGTCACCCACACACATTCCTTTGTTTGAACAGTGATTGATTAAAATATATGTTTATCTTGCAACCAACTTCAAGCAACTGCTCTCTTTGGAGATCATAATACCATTGACATGAATAAATATAATATGATGAATTGTGAAATAACACTTACCATTAATGATAGGCAAAATAGTTGCAATCCGATTTCTTTAATTGTCCTCATCTCTGTTCTCGTTATATTGCTGTAGAATTATTGTAATTTGACTCTATAAATGTTCGTCGAGAAGTGTGTCTCGGTGTCCTGTGCAATGTTGTTTCTAAGATTTCAAACAGTAACCACGTGTGCCTTATATACATCCCAGATGGCGCTGCGATCGATTTAATAAGCCAATGATGGGGGTGGACGGAGAGGTATGTTCGGAATTTGGGGAAATACCTTTCTGTTTTATGCAGTGAACATTGATATATGTTTTTCAATAGCAGTGGCTTCCGGGTGAAATTTCTATCAATGAAAAGGTCGCTGTGAGTCTGTAAAGCAATTTGAGACTATTCTCAAAGCACTCATAATGTTTAATATCTTTTTTATGGGTTTTGTACTAAACGGCTCAAATGTGAAGATGCAAGCATTTGTAAAGTAACTTATTCAATCTATCGTCAACACAACGTAAACCTCAGCAATACGTTGTGTTGATATTCACAATTGTGTTTTATTCGTACACCTGGGACCTGGACCAAGCTACAAGTGTGTATTGTACTTATAACAAGGTCTGGGTAATTTATATCGTGTCTTCTTAGGGGGATGATTGTAAAGGAGTTGTTAGGATCTACTTGATATTTTACAATTCGAATGTCCTTATAATCACGTAATATTCCCCCTTTTATACACAGTGTTTAAATTATTTCTGTACCTGTTTATACTTAGTACATTTTTCATGTACTCAATTGTTGTACTTGTCTTTGAGGCTCTAGATTATTGATGTACCTGTGTTTTGGGGAATTGTTATATCTTGATAGTATAGTCAGTCAATTTCAAAAACAAGACCTAACCTGTCAATTTTTGTATTCCAAACATTAATTAAATAATCCTAACCTTGAAATGCAATCGAGTAATCGCACATTGACACTTTGACTGATATGTTAAACATGTTATACTTGTTTATTATTCCAATTGCCAGATACACCCTGATTAAGATGTCACAATTATATATGTTATACAAAGTTATATAACGCAGGCATTCGTTTGGATAAATCAAGGTCATTCAAACACAGACTGATTCTGGAGTTTGAATGTGATTCTCATTAACTAAGACAAGTACTATTTAACAATAGAAGCAGTTTTTAACATTGCGAAATAGTATTGGAAATATATCTGACGAAATGTTACCAATTGAATTTTTAAAACATACTTTTTAATGAACTCTAGCGACATTCCAAACATTTATGTGGATGATTCAATCCAGTGCGTGTGATTAATGTCGGCAGAAACTATATCTGTATATTGTTGATATTATGCAATAATGTGGTTTATTTTAATTAGTAATTGTTGATAAATATAGTGATATCAAAAATAGTTGAACCAAAAGCACTTATGCTTGTTCTTGGAAAATAAGTACATTAATTGTACTTGGGGAAGTCCAAATGTACTGAACATTTCCTTGTACAGTAGAAATCTACCCTATACAGAGACTACACGACACACGTAGCAACTTCTGGAAAAACAACAACAAAAATACAAAAAAATACAACAAAAATACAACAAGCAAATACAAACGATACAATAAATAAACAAATATAAGCGCAAAAGTTGTAAGTCCGGCACGATTTTCTGGAAACAAAATTGGTAAGGAGAAGCATCAACATATCAATCAACCCATCAAAATGGTATTCACTATTCATGTTGCCAATTGATAAGAAGATATTCATGCTGTCATTACAGGGTGTGACATTCTTGTTCTTACAGTTTGATATAGTATCTGTGTGGGTGATGATTCAGTTGCAGTCTTACTATTGAAGTGGAGGAAGTGAATGCAGTTTACGCCTATTGAGTGTTTTCCATCATATCAAAGTAACGTTAACCACATACTATTTTTATAGCATTGAACTTGGAATCTACACGTGGAATGTATTTGTCATCAACAGCCTTGACCATGCATGCTTGAGTGAATAGGTGTGGTTAACAGTGATATTTATACCAAGGTGATATGGCGTGTGTATGTCGTCAACAACCTTGACCATGCATGCTTGAGTGAAATAGGTGTGTTAAAGATATGCTTATCAGTGATGTGGTTTGTGTATGTCAGTGATTACCTTGACCATGCATGAGCGGATTATAAGACCATTGAATTCATGACCCTCAAGACGTTTCCTGTCTGCACAATCGTGAACTTAGTATTTATAGAGGATCTGTTTTACCAGGAAAAATAGCCTCTCAGACAGATATATAGCATACCAAACAGGTAATAAATATGTTAGAGCGTAACAGAACAAGTGATCTATCTTTGCCTATTATAGCAGAGTCATGCTTGTTCTGCAAAGAATAGCTTAGTTTTGAGAACTATTTTTATATTATTGGCGTTATTTCGGGACGCAGCTATAAAAATATTACCAGAACAACGCCAGCCATAACTAGAACGGAATGCACATATAGATGTTCTTGAAAATCCATTGATAAACATGCCAGTCAGTTTCCAATGCCATAAAAGAAAAATGGAACAATGCTAATAATAATTTTGGTGCAAAGAGCAGAATTTAAAATACCATTCTAGTACCAAACGATGCAAATAGTAAGAGCTTCGAATAACGAACAAGTATTGAATCTATGATCACTGTTTCTGTTCCTTTAAGTGTGAGCGCATCAACACCTTTAATCTGATCTATCTTTAATCTGTTGATCCGTATAAATGGGATTATCTCTATTCTAACATATCACATACCGAGACTAACAATCATACATACATACAATGACCCATTTTATGTCAAATTGAACAAACGAGACCAATTCGAAATGCAAAAATGTCAACTCGTATGCACAACGAGAAAAATACAAACTAACGTGAAAATACAATGTAGGCTGGCTTGAACCTCGCTTGAACATATAGTCTAATAGCTTGAAAATAGCAAACGAAATTCTGAAGTTAGATAAGTCAATGGAACGAGCCTTTTGTCGTCAAGCCAATCATTCACAAGTAGCGTTTCTTCGATTACAAGAAGCTGTTGTAAGTCGTGTTCTTGGGATAAAATATAAACACCGAAACAACATTCACACATTAGTTCTCCTTTGAACTATGGTATTTTTACATGAATAACTATTTTTTAACACCATACACATACCATACATGTAGTGGCAACACTCCAAGTTCTTTTCATGTTCTTTTTAAGAGGTAAATTATTAGCCTTTTTAATATGTTCAAAAATTATTATATGCAATCTGACCCTGACGACATATCTGGATATCGCAGACAATAGAGTCAATAGCATTGCATCAAAGAATTACGCTCGTTTACATTTTTAACTACAAAATACATCATGTGATAACTATTTCAGTCTAGGGGTCCGACAATATTAACATGTTCAACATTCGAAAAATGTCTGACATAACATGGTCGTCAGTGAGGTAACCACAATGTCAAAAGCACAGGAATTTAATTTTTAACTATGATATTTTTTCAAAATATTTTTTGTGGTCTTTAGATTGTGGTTACCCCCCAGACGACGATAGTGTGTAGAGGTTACAATGACATTACATATACGCAGATAAAACCTATGGGAAAACATCCTCAATGAATATACGCGTGTCATATTTCATTATGTGCCTTCAAGCTACACCTAAAATGCCTTGTATGTCACAATTAAAATATAAAAAACTATAGACGCAATGTCTGAAAGCGATTATGGAACAGCTATGTCCAATTGAAATGTCATACACGCTAAAAATAATTATATCTAGATCACGAAGAGTTGAATCGAGGAAAAACATTTCATACACACGCATTTACAAGGTTGTCAAAACAGACAGAATGAAAAGATCGGTTGTTTTTTAACTTTCATAATTGTATGTCAAAGATTGGTTCACAGTCAGTCTTGATATAGAAATCAAATATATCACTTATCAATACATCATTCTCTCGCTAGGTTACATTTATAAAGCATTCTCTACATATATCTAATGAAACCATAATGCAATAGTTGCTGTAGTCAACACGTCTAAAGTGCATACGTAGTATAATTATGACTGATTATACCTAGATAATAACCACACTAATATTTCGTATACCAAAAAGGCTCTATAGCTTATGATGATTGAATGGTCTATTTACACATGTTCTCGTTTTTATTTTTCACCGAGATAATTTTGGATTATAGATTATTGCCTAATGATACAATACAATACATAAACAACAATTTTCAACTTTGGGATATAATGCACTCGATGGAAATAATATATATTATAGTTATTGCTAATTGATCTTATTTTCAAGAATTTGCCCAGTGTACTGTGTGACAAGTTCAATGGAAAATACAGGGTGACCCAAAAAAATGCAACCCTCCATTTCTTCAATATTTTTCTTAAAAGGAGGTAAATTGCGCTGAGATTTGGCACACAAGGACTTCATTTAATGTGGGATCATCTGGCAAAGTTTTGATAATCTTAGTCTTATATTGATAGAGTTATGGTTGTTTCAAAATATGCTCCAGATGTCGTCAATTTCACTGAAAACAAACTTGCGATGTTCAAGGAAAAATGCTCATAACATGGATGCATTCTTCCCCATTGGTATAGCTCAAATTTTTGCAGCAATTGCTTGTTGGAGTTCTGCAATTGTGGTAGGGTTATTTTCATACACATTATCCTTTAAATAACCCCATATATAGAAGTCAGGGGCATTGAGATCGAGACTGTGGGATGACCATGGGTTCTCTGTCCTAGGAGAGATAATCTTCTCATGGAAATAACTAGTGAGCCAGGCTATGCTATCATTAGAAGTGTGAGGAGTAGCTCCATCCTTCTAGAACCACTGTTCTTGTCTATTGAAGCCTCTATGTCACTCTATAACTGCCTAGAACTTCCTGGGAAAGCCAGTATTGCGTTGTGTGTCAACAGTAACAGTGTTGCCATTATCAACCTCAAACCAAAAGGGGCTGATGATTTCATGTTTGGAAATTGGCAGCCTAAGCTGTGCATTTAACAGAATGAAGGGGCCTTTGAAGCAATTCATCTGGAATTTGTGATCCCAGAACACATTATTTCTTGAGTTTACATGTTCAGAAAGAAGGGAATGTGATTCATCCGAAAACCTAACATTGGAAATGGCGACATTTGGAGCATATTTTGGAACGATCATAACTCTATCAATATAAGACTATGATTATTGAAACTTTGCCAGGATATCCCACATTGGATGAAGTTCTTGTGTGCCAAATTTCAGAGCAATTAACCTCCATTTAAGAAAAATATTGAAGAGATGGAGGGTTGCATTTTTTTGGGTCACTCTGTACATATCTAATGATGTTTTTCTTTCTATCTACTTGTGACTTAGGATTGTGGCTATGTTCTTAGAATGGTGGCGGCGAGGAACGGGCTGGTTTGCATTGTTTCTTTGTTTGTTAGATCTTTGAGTTTTATAGTGGGGTTTGTTTCGTTGTATGTTAGATCATTGTTTGGGATCGGTTGGAGTTTTGTTTCCATATGGTCGGTTGTCTTCTTAACGGTTTCTTTTCTAACTATCATTACCCTTAACATAGCATATTATTGAAAGCACTTTCAAGATGTCATAGATATAATCTTGTCTTTATACTAGGTTGAAAATTGTAAACACTACTGAGATTGTAGTATTTCGTAAATCTGATAAAAGTATAGATATGCTAAATGGCCTTTGAAATCGGTTCTCGTGATAATATGACTTGGTATTGGTAAATGCAATTTTTACTCAAACGAACAGTATAGCCATCTATTCAAAACGAATGCAGGTGGATGTTCTCGTCATTCGAAAATGTTGACAGGTAGGAAAACCAATGGAGAATAGATGTCAGTTATGTTTTCACAATCATTTGGTTTGTAACTGTCTTTCTGATTATTATTGTTTGTAGGGGTTTATTTAAAAAATGTAAGATAATCAACACTCGAAGCAATAGGATGCTGACCACTATCTATTTGACATTACACAATCAAAAATAGTTATAAGGACTGCTGTTTGAATGAAATGTCCCATGTTCTAGTGGTTTTGGATTGTTTCTTTGTGCGTTTGGTCATAGTCTGGCCTGTGTTCGTTGTGGCTGGTTTTGCTATTACTGTAATACATATGTATGTGTTTTATATGTATGTGTTTTGTAAATTATTTTATTTTTGTCTTTTGGTACTTGTGCCTATAAAATAGGTTATTTCCCCGTGTCTTCATATTGACCTACCATTGAAATAATTCACTAAGCATATTTAGTCTGCATTGATGTCAAATGATTATTAGGCTAGGGAACTTCGATTTTAGGTTTTGATGTGTTTCATGCATGTTCAATTATCAGGATGTTCTGGTAGCCAGGAAAACAATTCAAAGTTGCAATTATACCAGCTGTATTGGGTAAATACCAAGGAAGTTCCATGAACAAATGTCGTGAATGTTTGTACAGGATGTTCCATATGTTTCAGGAATGGTGCTGTATTTCAGTTGTTTTCTTTACAATCTTGCTAAATTTTTGACAAAATGTGTCCACATTAATTGTGAATGAATTGAGAAAGTTTTATAACATGAAGATCAGTAGACCTAATAATATGGGTGCTATAGTAGCCCAGGGGTAGGGTAGGTGGAGCAGGTGTAACAACCGGCAAAATATATACAGGGGCGGATCTGGGAATCAACAAGGGGGGGGGGGGGGCCAAATTTCAAGTCAGTGAAAAAAATGTACGCGTGCGCGAAAAAAAATTTTGGGCCCCTAAAATCCAAAAGTGGGCCCAAATTTTGAAAATTTGAGGCCCATTTTCTTCAACATTAGGCCTGAAATTAAAAAATAAGGCCTTAAAAGGCCCAGTAATGACCAAAAAGGCCCACTTTTTGGGGCCTGAAGGCCTTTTTTTGGCCCAAAATTTTTTTTGGGCCCAATTTCTTTTTCTGGGCCCACCCAAGTGGGGGGGGGGGCGGGCCCCCAGGCCCCCCCCCTAATCCGCCAGTGATATATGTCATATTTGTAAGAATAGTCACGTTTTTTGTATGAAGTGTGGGTAAGTATTAGGTTGCCATATATAGTTGTATCGAATTTGTCAGAAATTAAGCAGAAATGAAAGTGAATTCCTGGAAATTAAAAAGAATTGTCATCATTGATGATATACCAAAATTGGAATACCTGCCATGTCATGCCATGTATGTATGTATGTATGTACAGGTATCATTGTAAGATTATTAAGGAAACTAAATATTATCTTTATGAAAAAAAGTTTTTTATTGTTAAATCGTAATTTCTGAACAACTATATAGTTCATTGGACATGTTGGATTCTGCTTTTGATGTATATGGTGTTCCTCATTATCACGTCAATTTGCAAATTATTCAAAGTACACATACTTATAACAAAATTTATTATCAAGTAACAAACAAATGATATACATATTGATGTCTTCTTTATTCAAATACTTATAAATAAATTCATGTTTTGGGTTCTGTTAATGAATTCTCAATAATTTGAGATGTCGGAAAGCAAAGATTGAGCAACTATGTGCTCTCGTTTTTAGCATGATGTTAATGGGAATATAATGTTCATTATAAACACATTGTCGTCTTAAGTGTACAATACAAAAATGTTTTACAACTATTTTGCATAGTAGTTTTATAAGCAAGTCATGTGTTAGTAAGATGTCATATTTGATTGTCTTGTTATTTTGTTTGACATTACATGTCATGTCATAGTTAGAGTACAATACAAATATGTTTTACAATTATAATACATATTGGAAAACAATGTCGATTGAAAATACAATATATTGGAAAACAATGTCATGTATTAGTAATATTTCATATTGGGTTGTCCGAGTTTTAATTATACATTGATAGATCAGATCTTATGCGTCGTCATGGTTAAAATATAAATAGCAATAAATATAAATAAATTATAAATAATGAAAACGTATTTACAAATGAATGATGTGATGTGGATGAGGTTATATACATAATATGAAGTGTGACACTTGTTACTGATTTTAATATATTGTTATCTGTCATAGTAACAAGTGGCACTTTGGCACATATTGCATTTGCATCATTTCCCTTAAGTCTTAAAAGTCTGAGTATTATATTATCACTCTTGATAATCATTATCAGAGTTTGTGAAGTGAAAAGCATATATATAGTGACACGATTCAATAAGGTTTGCCAATGGTCGTCTAATCGTAACGGAATGTCTCTCTCTCGCTTCACAATATAGGAATGTTCATGGGATTTTTGTCACAGAGATTCATCTCAGCGAAGTCGTTCTTTTCGTCTATCCTCGTGTATGTTCGGGAAATGCAGACCCCGATGTCGTATTTGGCCTGAGATTACCGGTTTGTTCATACCCGAGGAGCCAATGGAATGCTTCTTGGAAGTTGTTTTGTTGTACAGTTTTATAGATCTGAAAACAGAATATAAAATCGGACGTTAAATGCTATTCCATGACAAATTTTAATGTTACAAAGATGGCAGCAATGTTTTGAATCAATTAATGTGAAGCAAATATCATACTTATAACCAATACAATGTATTTCTAAACTAAATGATTAGAATAACTCAAAATAATCTAACCCATATTCAGATAAGAAATAACCAAGTACTAAGACAATACATACCTGCACACAACTGGTCCAGGAATTCCTGTTTTCTCTCCTCAGCCTCCGCATAGCTTCCCGCCATGAACACATTCTCGTCATCTTCTGTTATCAGTTTCAACATTTTTCGGTCAATGTTTGGTCCAACTCCAATGGCAAAGATTTCAGCGTCGTGTTCGTCTTTCATCTTTTTTGCCTCGAATATAGACTTTCGAATTTCTTTTTCATCAGTTTCACCATCGATGATGATGACGCCGACCTTCTTGGCGTGTTTCCTAGCACCACCATTTGGTTTAAAGCTAACCTCTCTCATGAATCTCAAAGTTGTTGAAGTAGATGACGATTCACTCTTGCTCTCTTGTACCATTTCCTCGATGGCCTTCTTGTCGTTAAAGGTGTTGAGATCAAATCCCTCGATACCCTGGCACTCCTTTGGAACAAGCCCGACCTTGATAGCGTCTTCTCCAATCTTCATATCATCAACCAACGTTTTGATAAAGTCGATACCACGGTTTCGTTTCTCATCGTCTTCTGCGTCTTTTCCACCGAAAGCGAAGATGACGTCAGTAGGTCCTTGGCTACCACATTCTGTTAATCAAAAAGCAGAAATGTAAGATTGGTTGATTAATTGACATGATTATAATATTGCGTCTCTTAGATACATAAAAATGTCAAAATACACAGTTCTAACAATAATCATGGACATGATATCGATAAACTTAAAAAGATTAACTTACCAGGATCTGGAGTTTCGACAGTGCAAGCTTTCATGGCCAACAGATTACGAATGGTCTGGAGAGCGTCATAGCTGTTCACCGTGAACACGAATTTATCATCTGGATCACTGCCGATAGCTTCAAGTTCTTGTTTGTCGACATTCTTGCCAACTCCAATAGCAAAGACATGGACCCCGGCATCCTGTAGCTTCTTGGCCTCTCTTACCGTGTATTCTTGGTCGTATGATTGTCCGTCTGTGATGACGATAGCTATTTGAGCGGTATCTGGTCGGGCGCCATTGTTGGGGCTAAACATGTCAGTTCTGGCGAACTGCAGAGCCTCGGCAGTGTAGGTTCCCCCAATTCGTTGAGAAATACGTTCAATAGCTTCACTGACTTCTTCTTCTGATTCGACATCATTGAGGTGGAACACGCGATGTGGTTTGCTGCTAAAGGTCATTACCCCAATTCTTGTTTGTTCTTGACTAACGTGGAATCCTTTTACGACATCTTGCACGAAGGATAACTGTGTGTAGAAGTCGTATTCCCAGATGCTGCTTGAGGAATCGAGAATAAAGACAATGTCCGCTGGATTCCCACATTGCTTTTCCACCAGTTTGTCTTCGGTTCTAGTTATAAATGGCAAGCAGGCTGAAAACAAGGACAAAAAATATTTACTCTCTAGCTTCTAACAATGCATAAATCATCGTTATAAAAAGCATTAAGTCAAGTGGCACTTATATTGAGAAGAGTGGGCTAGTAACAACATTTTTACAACTTGTTATCTTAACTTCCTCATGATCATTACCAGAGATTACAGCCACAACCGAAACCACTTACAAAGTGTAGCTTTTTTCTAGAACAATGTGATTCGTGTGCATAATTACGAAATATTTTTTATTCCTAATGACATGATTTAAGTATGATTACGAAATATTTTTTAATCCTAATGACATGATTTAAGTATGATTGAAATTATTAGGCGATGATGACAAATGCATAAATGGAGCAAATGATAAACAGAATGTTATAAAATTATTCTACTATCACTTAAAACCTTAACAATTCACACATCTGATCATGACCAGTCCAGTACAAGTTATTGTTGAAGGCAGACTACATATAAATCCAGCATAAAATGTAAACATACCTGCATGGTGGATGGCAAGCCCAATAAAAAATACGATGTAGTGTGTTGCGATCATCTTGTTTCGTCTTAGAAGTCTAGTAGCGTATGGTTAATATTTCGGATAGTTGTTGACTGTAAGTTCTCCACTTGATTCTCTCTAATCGCTAGTTCGATGTCAGGTTGTGTTTTGGTGTCATTTGCTCTGGCACTGACTTTTATACATTTTTTTAGTCTAAAGTGGGATGTGCTTAATATTCATGAGAAGGCTGTACCTTCCGAATATTTTCAACGTCACGAATGCTGATTAGCCAATCATGAAGTACTCATATGCCATATATGGCAACAGGCCAAAGGTTGTGATTAATGTTTCCGACTGTCGAGTAATAACACGTGAATGAGAGTAGTGGTTTTATTTTTTTAATTGTGGTTTTTGGTGAATTAATGTAAACCGCTTGAGCCACTTTACATAGCAAGGAATGTGAGATGGAATGCCTTACATAGCTGAGAAGGGAGAGAAAATCATCCCAAGTAAACAACATTTAAGAAATTATAGACTTGTCTCCCAGGGAGGACAAATGTAAGGGTGTGTGGAGAAAGTTATCATCTTTCATGTTCAATGTCCCTACACTTGCTATTGAGCTGGTTTTGATGGGGATTCATTATGATGTATCTGGAATCATGATTGTTGTTACCACTGACTTTCACTTAAAACTGTGTTTTGTTTATATCAGTATATTTTTAAATTTCGGCCGGGTCGGGATATTCTTAAACTATTTTTAGGTTTAAAATTGTAACGGGGCATACAGGATACACACGCCCAACTCATTTATCAACAATACAAAAATACGAATGATGAAAGAGTTAGACAATTTCAAACACAGTCCATCGTTAATAAGATACACTCAAAACAGTATCAGTTTTAGTTTTTTTTGTTTTGTTGATAATCGGGTTTCTTTGAAGTTCTTGTTCATAGAACTTATTTATTTGTTTGTTTGTTTATTTTGCTTTTTTATATTTCAACACATGTGTGAAAACATATTAAATGGTTGAATTTGCACTCAAAGAAATGAATGTAATAAATTAATCAAATTGAAATTATGACAAGATTTTGAAAATATTTATCAATTCTATATTAAAACACATTAAACATATAAAAGACAACTTCCTCACGGGGTGGTGAATCCTGAAAACCACATGCATGACTGTCTAGCTCTATGCTACACAATGCAGATTTGTACAAAATCCATCTATCTTCTTGCCAATATCCTTTACCCCAAAATAATTGAATCTTGTATTTTTAGCAAATTTCGGAACTCAAAAATGACGCGAAAATATTTGTTGTGGTAAGTTAGATAGGTGCAAGTGAGTTGAATCTCCGCCATACTTTGAATTCAGATCATTTTCTAAATAATGTTAAAATTAACCGATCAATTTCAACATAGTAATTTTTCATCAATTTGAAAGTCGAAAGTTTGTTGAGGTTTTCAAGGGAACAAGTACGAAATTTCAAATATTTGAACATTTAGCATCATATGACTGCCGCCCTGGTCACAATATTTCAATGTTGAAGTTAAGCATTTATCAGTTTGGCATGCAGGTGTTGTTTTGAGCAATTGCTGAATTCAAGTTCACATTAGCTTTCCTATTTTTCATACTTAAAAACAAAACAAAATAAGACAAGTTAGAATGTGTTATTATGGTCAAGTGCATTTGCTGTAGTAACAAGTGGTTCAAGAGGAGTCTTGTTTTTTCTGCCACATACATACAGTACTTTCATCTGCAACCTTTCAAGAAACATCAAAAACTGCTTTTCAAAAATCCAATAAATGTCATCACAACCAGCAAACTGAACCTCACAAGGAGCCATGAGATAATAGTAAATAAATTCAGGGCCGACTTTTTATTTAAGGCCCAACTATATGCTCATAACTTTAGCAATATTGACAACCCAAACTGTTCATGTGGACATCCACAAACAGTTAAACACTTCTTTTTCCACTGTGCTCATTTGACACATGCCAGGGATGAATTTAATCAATACCTGAAAAACCTGATCCCTGAAATTTTTGACAGGCAAATCTCTCAGCATAAATATCTTGAAGTTCTGAAATATGGCTCAACTGAAATCTCTATCGAACTTAATTCGAAAATGATGACCAGGCTAGCTTCCTTTATAAAAGCCAATATATGATTTTCCCTCCTTAAACATATTTTATCTCCAGTAACTGTTTCCCACGCCAAGCACCCCCCCACACAACCCCAAAACTACTGTTAACATTGCTCCTTATATTATATTTCATTAAGTTCCATCAATTCTTCTATAATGCCATGCATGTATTTGGCGATTGAAGATTTTGTAAATGTTATGTAATGAATGAGGATAATTAATAAATAAATAAATAAAAAAAAAATCTGCAACCTTAGCTCATTTATATCATCATGTACATTAAGTGCATTTTCAAAGCTACAGCATGGGCAACAGTTTATAAAGAGAAACCCCAAAATACTTAATATCAACACCAAATATTGAAATTCAATAACGTTTCTGACAAACCAAAATACCAGTAGCAGGTATATTCACTTTGACTTAAACGTGAAATGAAAAGTCTATATATTGAATTGAAAGATATGATGTTCAAATTACTGAAAGTCAATACACAATCATCTCTCAATATGGATTCAACCTGTCTTTCAAAACTCTGGCAAACGGCTAGGTATTTCAGAAAAATTATGTCCGATCGTTCACATCAATAATATGAAACTAGACAACAATGAAAATAACATGAACATTTGAGTCTGAAAATAAATCATAACTTGACAAAATAATTTTTATCCGAAAATGAGACCGGATGAACCATTAGCATCAGAGAGTATTGAATTTCTTGCTGATTTGGAAAGATTTAATTTGGATATAATGACTAAATTGTCATATCGTGGTTATTAATTTTTGGTGATTTAGTGGGCGTCTACAGTCACAGTGCCCAAATGGAAGCTTGAATCGGCAAAGAAATTACAACATACTTGTGGCGCATCTGGATCCTGTCACTATTATTAGATATAGGTCATGATGACCTCTGATATTATTCTGATATTATTCATAAACATGTCAGAAATGCACTGGAATTCAAATCTTCCGAATAGTATTGAATGAGCCTTATATGCCCATGAGTAACAAGGAAATGGTCAAGACTGCAACTCCACAGAACCAAAAACGGGGTTTCCCATTGTCTATCTTGATAAATTATGTTCGGAGATATGTCACATGCCCAAAATCCTACATATCCTATTGGGAGTATATTTATAGTTTTAATTAGGATAATTTTGAATTGAAAGTGCTATTTTCAGTGGACAAATGGGGTCCAGAAAACAATAAGTTACAAAGGTTAACCTTCAGAATGTAACTCCCTTTTTGACATTGAAAAACAATTTCTAAACCCTGGATTAGTTTTAATGGATTTGTTAAATGTTTTGATCATTTTGATAGTGGATGACATATGGGCAACAACTCTCAATAACTTGTACATAGTATAACCTTAGCTGTCATATACAGGGTGTCAAATAAGTCCCGTCCCCCCTCTACAGCAAAAAACAACATATATGGTACCAAGTGTGATATATCATTGGAAAGGTCTTATTGTTAGTAAAAGTTACATTGGTTGGCATATATCTGACACATGTCAATCAACCCACAAAATAGGCCTAGAAACATGGGAATTTGGCGTATTTGGCAAGAAAAGTCAAAGGACCTAAAGACTATGTATTTGGCAATGTATTAAACCAATTTCTGGATAGGGTTAGATGTGTAGAAAATAGAGGTGCGAGGAAAGTGGTGAAACCTTTTTGTTACAAGTGGAATGCGAAAAAAGGTTAACTTTTTTTACATATTTCTGAGGTCACATCCTTCTCATTTTGATGCAATAAAAGCTGCTTTAAGGAGGGTAAACTTAGTATTAAAAGACATGGTGAAAATAAAGGTAAATTTCATCCAAAATACTTGAGGGTTGGTGAGTTAACATAACTTTCGATGATCTTTCTAATGGTATATCACACTAGGTACCATATATCAAGGTTTTGGCTGTAACAGGGGGACGGGACTTATTTGACACCCTGTACATTTAATCCCTTTACATGCTTTGCCCTAATTTTGGGTGAAACTAGGTCATCTTCTACGAGATAATTATATCGGTTGGGACAATTTAGACCAAGATGGCCATGTTAGTTAGAGGGCAAAAAAATAATATCATTACTAACAGAAACAGGTCAAATGATATATTGATGATCTATAGAACGGATGCTTTATTATTAGTGGACATTTCTTTGAATGTCCTCTAAAGTCGTGTACTGCGAATAAAGTATACTAGATTGCTCAATTCATTTGCTGTCTTTGTAATTTATTTCAAAGTTATAAATTATAGTTATATACAGGGTGTCAAAAAACAACGGCACCCCCCTCTACAGCAAAAAGTACTTAATGTTACATGGTGTGTCATATCTCATTATAAAGACAATTAGTTCTGGAGTTACCTGAGAAATTTCAGCTTTATGTCATAAGCATATAGCACATTTTTCCAAGAGGCTTCTTGTCCATCAGTTCCTATACCCTGTTTTTCAGAACTGAACCCATATGTCCAGTGCAGTTGAAATCTGGGCTAATTCTTTCATATTCCACTTTCTGAAGATTTGACCTTTAACCAGTAACAGAGCAGCAAACAAAGTACCGAAGTAGCAAACTTAAAAACAATGTAGCTTTTTTAATATAAAGTTTTATTAAATGAAATTTGAGGAGTAACTCCAGAATTGAATTATCCTTCAAATGAGATATGACACGATATGGAACATTCAGGACTTTTTGCTGTAGAGGGGGGGGGGTGCCGTTGTTTTTGACACCCTGTATTATTATATATAGAAAAAACAACCTCACTCCAATTATATTGACATGTCAGATTGACTTTAAACAGTTTTAAAAGTTTAGAATTAAAATAATCACGAATGTCGTGCTTAGTATAGACATTTGTCTGTTAATATTTCATTTATCAAATGTAAACCCAAATCTAAAATCCTTAAAAATATGGATAGTTATACACATCAGTTCATCAAGATGCTGTTGCATAATTTCGGATTATGCAAGGACAAATTTACATGCTGTATTTGATTCTACTCCTGCTGAGAATTTGTTAATTATTCCATCATATGGTGACAGTATGACTTATTTCAGGGTTAGGGGGTTGTGTATAAATCTTGGGGAACAAGGTACACAACACGAATGATGACAAAGTGGACTACCTACTTGAGTAAATGCATGCACTCATTGTTTTGAAAGATAGGATTCACGAGACTTGGGCCCCTGGTATCATGAACACATTCATCTTTGAACTGAATTTATATACAGTTAAGGTGACCTCAAGGGAGATTTGCACAAGTTGGTTGATTTATTGAATCGGATTCGTTTTCACTGCCAAGTTCGCTCTCAGTGGTAACTTAGAATGCCAAAGGGGGTTGTAAATCATTCAGATAGTGTCCATTGTATTGCTCTGTCATTGTCAAGGTTATTCTCCTGCAGTATGCAACATCTTTGACCAGAGGTTTTTTGCATTGTTCTGCAAAATGACACTTGGCTTCAAAAATAATTGATCTCCTATGTCCTGTTACATTATTTACATCATGTTATATTGTAACGGTGAGAAAGTGATATATTACTACGCACCTGGATGTTGCGCGGATGATTGATTAGTGATGCAACACAAGGAGCATACCTGGGAGATATGATTTATGTAAAATACATCAATGTACCACAACATCACTGCAGTTCCGTCTTATAATCAGTGACTGTAACACAAATATGGGAGCAAATTCCACTAGTTGGAGTAAATGAAGACAGCATTGGTGAATAGACAATTGATAATGAAGAAATTGTTCCTAATTGCCAGTGATGTATTATGGACATTCTTTTGATACATAAAAACACAGGTGTAAATCATATGATAGAGTACAATGAGTAAAGACTACACGGTAAAAGTATGCTAGGATTTCAAAAGTGTGTCGAAATAACTTCTTATATTAAATAAATCTTGGGAAAATTGTTATTTGAAATACCCCTCCCCAAAGTCAAGGATAAATATATTAGGACTAGTTTAAAGCAGATCATAAGGTATGCAGATCATAAGATTTTGAAAAATTGACAATGTCATAAATTCCTCTCGCTATTTTGGACTATTTTTCATAATCTTGATACTGAAAAGAGGCATGTCGAATATAGATTGGGTTCAATTGAGTTCCTATATACATAAAAATCAGCTTAAAAACTGTAGTACTTGTGCAAATAGGCATACTATTCCAATTGTCAAAAGTACGATTGTAAGTAAACACCACCCACGATTAATAACTGATCTATTGTCATATTGAACCGGAAAACACAAATTATAGGAATTGTTGTATAATTGGAATTCTTGAGGACAACTGTTTGTTTGAACCGATCATGGAAATATTTAGGATATTGCTTTGTAATTAGGGGCGATTATTTCCTGAACCAAATATATGCAATCTGTAAAATACATTACGGATGAGACAAACCGATGTTAGTACAATAATTATGCCCTTCTGACATGTTAATACATAATCCAAAATTGACAGCACCATAAATGCACCGACAATTAATACATATATAATCACCAAAACCAAAAAGATCAGATTGAATACAACTCATCATTCATCAAGTCATTTAAACTCAATAGACGTTAATGGTGAGCGCAATGAAATTGTCAACGTAAACTAAATGTCATCATTAAGCTATTATTATTAGAATCGCATCTTCATTTGTTAAACAATTTATCGTATGTGGCCGACGTCAACGCTAATGGCAAAATTAGAAGAAAACAAAAATTGAAGCCCCCTGACAGAAAGTCAACTCAATAACTCTTGATTTCCCATTTTTAATTCCTGATATTATGACTGATCTCTGATCCAAAGTCAGTATGATGGAGAAAAGCTAGTCTTGCTTAAAAGATCCTGTACTCCCCCCTTTATCCTTCTCTCTGTATATTGCCAGGTAAAGAGAGTGAAGGTGACGGGGGGGGGGGGGGGGTGGATACAGTCTTTGAGCAAGACTAGAGAAAAGCCCCGAGGGTAAGGTTATCAAGAAACATGATAACCGGTTCTTCTAAACGTTACATACGCTACCATGTGAAGCAAATATCAAAATCAAATCACTTCGACATCAAAAATGTTTAAATTAGGGTTGAGATAGGGTTGGTGCTAATAACGAACAAGGTCTATTTAGCTTAATCTTATCAGGCAGGTTAATATGACATATCTAGGGGTTCAGTGTACCTATAAATTTATAAAAATGAATATCTCATAAATTCGTCAATAAATTTTAACTGCCTAACAGAAAAACAAACACACTTTTAATAGTTTATACACAAAGTTTAATAAGTTAAATAAAAACACAATTTGTATCCAGATGATATTTTGTCAAGTTTTAGATGTTCGATAGTTTTTAATATAAAGTTAACAATATATTTTATTGACCTTTATATATGATCGACACCGGCCGGGCCAGACGATTTTAATATTATTGTTTTATAATTGTATGTATTTTAAATGGCGTGAGACATAAATAAAATATAACATAACATATAACATAACATATGATCGTTTTTCTGAAACGTTGCCTACTGCGCAATCGCTAACAAGGTGGATATACCCCCCAATAAATATATATGTATAGTCCAATAAATAAAACAAATTGGACCCATTCATCTAAAACACCATTATAATCAAAGTACATGGTCAAGTGGAAAGACTCGACTCTTAGACCAACCCATAACAACTGTTTACTACCGGATTAACATAGACCTCATTTAAGTATGAATGGAATAGTAGCAGGATCTTTTCATACTTAAATGAGTTGGTCATAAAATACAAAGAAATACGTCTATGGGTAGCCTGTGTGTCAGGGCTTAGTACATTAGATGGATAAAGTGTACATGAACCTCTCTTTTAAGAAGCAAATCATACTAGTGGAGAAGGTAGTTCATGGGATGGATAGGGTGCATACACTTAAAATATATATTCCATATATGAAATGACGCAACACTAAGTAACAAGTATCTCGTCTTAATTGCATATCACAACATACTTTCATCCTATTATCAATGAAGAAATCATCATGAATTTTCTAAAACACTTGTGCTATCACGATTAGTAAGCTTTTTAACTTTGAAGTATTCTTAGTAACCACCCCTACATTCCTCAACGTAATAAATTAGATTTCATTTTATTTAATGTCTTAATTATAAGTTATTTTTGGTACTAATCCAGATGTTGGATTAGTCAGGTTTTAAAAGTGGATATGTCACTTTTAGCTCAAGATAGTGACTAAGGCTACCCAGTTTAGGTGGAATCTCAAATATCCGAAGAATTACTGTTTTTTTCTCCAAATACACTCCCGCCCACACCTCGGCTGACAGAAGTTATCTAATTTGTGACCCAAGTCGAGTTTATTAGTTTCACACCCCCCTCTTAAACACAATTGTGTAGTGTTCAGACGATGACCCCACGTTAACTTATTGAAAAGAAAGATAATAGTGATACCATACTTCAGTTAATAGGTTGAAAAGAGGCTCTCAAAATTATTTTCTCAGAGAATGGGAGATTAAAACCATATTTATGTTTTTGTTTTTTGATTGTCATATATTGTCAGAGGGGCAAATGGACTCGTAAATTAAAATGGACTATTTCACGTCAGAATAAACCATTGTACAACATCGTAAACAACATTCCAATGTTAGTTTTTGGGGTAGAAACAGAGTCGGTTTGACACGAGATGATTTTACTACAGCCGTATCGATTCCATTCACAATGCATCTCAGACACTGACATATCTATTTCATTCACAAGTGTACTTGTGTGAACAGCGGGACCTAGTAAAAAACTAAATCAAAAAGTACCAGACACACTGCCACTCAAACGAGGCTCCTCCTTTATTACCATATAAGGCATAAATGATTTGTCACGAGGAAAGTCAAGCTCCTCCCACTGACGTGTTAAGTAGATGTTCCGGTAGGAAGAAGAATTTGAATATATATCAGCATGGCAAGGAGGTACATCATCAGAACAAGAAACACTTCACAAGAGAGTAACAACTTATACGAGAACTAACGCAATTTGAACAACAACAACAACAGAGAAGCATTAGAAGAAACGCAAAGACGCCGAAGAAATTTACAAGTAACACAATGGAGATGTCTGTCCCAATGCTAACTTTTATTAGCTGTATGCTGATACAACTCTCTCTAATCAACGCTGATCGTAAGTGAATTATCTTTTCTGTTTTATAAATAACTAATTTTTTACGATACGGTTCTGGAACTGTCTGTGTTGTAATTTGATTTTACTGATTCTATTTAAAGAAATTTTAATCTTTTTTCAAGGCCTGTTTTTCTGTTTTTATAAGAACAGTCAAGTTTATTTTCTGAATCTGATCTTCTAATCTGACTTTTTATAACTGTAGGTCAGGTTAGCCTAACTGCAGCGCATAACAAATATATCTTAGTAAACAAGTCATCCGAAATAGTTTTGTATTGTTCAATATTGGCCATGATTTATAGGAGTTTGTATTGTTTTGTTTCGAAGTGTCGCTCTTTGTACTTCCACCATGATATCTTTCAACTAGGTTACAAAATTAAAAACAACAGGATAATGCACTATACAGTATATTAAAAATGCCACATGCCATGTTTTACAGCATACTTGCCGTACAATCGTCCTGAAGGAAAAGCACGTCCCATCAGGAGTTGTGGTGGAAAACCAGCAGATATTGTCTTTACTCTTGACTCGTCTTCAAGCATATGGGGCCCTGACTACCGAAAACAGATAGAGTTTGTTCAAGACATGGCCGGATCATTCCAGATCGGACCAGATATGACACGTATTGGAGTGAGCCAGTTCAGCGACCGTGTGCATCTTTTGTTCCGCCTGAAAGATTACAAGAACGTCGACGATGTGCAAACAGCTCTGTACTACACTCGAAGAAGATATGGTGGAACAAACACAGCTGCCGCTCTTAGGCATATGGGCAACCGAATGTTTTCTAATTCGTATGGCGGAAGAGGTGGAGATGTTCCCAGAATTGCCGTTGTTATCACCGACGGTATCAGCAGTGACAGGAAGAAAACTGTGCTGGAAGCAAAACAACTGCACCAGAAAGGGGTTACGGTTTTCGCCATCGGTGTTGGGGCAAACATCAACAAGAAAGAGTTGGAAGCGATTGCCTCTGACCCAGATGAACAATACGTCTACACAGTTGACAACTATGATGCGCTAGATACAATTAAGAATATGCTGGCCATGAAAGCTTGTGAAGTAAAGGAACCAACAACCCCTCCACCACCAGCTGATCAACGTGAGTATCTTATCTATCAGTAATTAAAAAAATAACACAATAGGGAAATGAAATAGTTTTGATTTCTTTATGCACTTGTTATTGTCATTGTTTATCAAGGAATCTTCGGAATCAGAAAAGTAAACATTATAATAAAACAAGGTGACCTTTGTTTTATGTTACAGCGTGTGGAGCCAGACAGCCAGCTGATATCGTATTCGCTCTGGGGGCTGACAATTCAAACACCGAGAACCGCAACAGTGCTCTCGATTTCATAAACAAGGTCATCAAGGATATGGAAGTTGGAAATGACAATATCCAGGTCGGAATGGTCCCAAAAGATTGCAGTTCTCTATCAGGCTTCACACCTAGCGATTTCAACACGAAAGATCAAATCAAAAATGGACTCGACTCCAACAAAGCCTCTCCAGCAAAATCCGGATCGGCTTTAGAGTACATGCGCAAAACTAGCTTCACAGAAGAGGGTGGTTGTCGTATGGAAGTGAAAAAGATAGGGGTGGTGATCATAGATGGTACAACCGAGGATCTCGACAAAATTGCTACTGAGGCAAAGAGGCTCCGGGAAAATGACATCGAGATGTTCGCTATAGGAGTGGGAAAAGATATAGACGAAAGTATTCTCCGCCTCATCGCCAGTGAACCATCAATGAGACACATCTATACCGCTGGGGACTATGCCGACCTTCAGTTCATGCGAAGTGATTTTCTGGACGTCGTGTGTAATGGTAAGCTTGTAATTTATCAATATTTTTGTCTACATTGATAAATATTGTTTTGTCGTTGATTAGCATAGTTACATGGCATGTTGGAATACTGTTGAAATCGAGAGTTGGGTTGAACATTTCAAGTAAAATATACAACAGTAGGCGGCTCAATGTGGTATTAATCAGTATGTAAGAAAGATGTGATCTTGTTCTAACGTATCGTTTTGTTTACTTTCAGGCCTGTAAAATTATACCGTACGATACAACTAACAAACCAAAGAGGCATTCCATGACGAGGGTATCTAGAGCGTGAGAACAATGCACACTGAGACGTGCGGCACAAACCTGTGACACTACATGTAACACATGAAAATGCAAGCAACGGGGACATTGAATGTGAAACTTCACAAGTTTGACATCATATGTATACCACACTGCAATGACACTAGACATCAAATACCATCTTTGAAAACGGGCTGAGTGCAATCAACCATGTTACCTCCCACCCAGTGGCGAAGTAGCATACTATGAATCTCAGAACATAAAATTATTGAAAGACTAGATCCCAGTAGAAGTAAATTTATTCAGATTGATATTGAATTCGACATTTCCTTTACATACTTCTAAGTTACACTTAAAATCTGTATGAACTTTGAAATCGATTTTTGTTTGGACATTTGATCTTATATAAAATTGTATAGCTTCCATGTTATCTGAACAAAGTAGTGGAACTGGGAACTAACTAACAATTGGCAACTACATCATTGATTATTGAATGATACAAAGCTTATGTAGTAATATGAGCTTGGCAAATGTGTTCCACCACCGCTAATTTACTAATAATGACAGGCACGTGTAATAATTATCAAAACCAACGTTTTCACCATTCAGTGTGAAATGAATAATGAATATTTATTCCAATTGAAAGTATAAACAGAATATTGTGTAAATATGTAAATGACGCTGATGTACATTTTTGTATATATAACATTATTTATTTGTATGCATGAGAAATCATAAAATGCTAAATATATCTCATTTTGGTCTAGTCAACATTCCATGTATGACGTCAGCATTTAGGTTCTACACTTCAGGAATTATGTATAAGTTACACTTATAGTTACACAAGTATCATCAATATAACTATTTCAAATGTGATTTCGTGAATCTGCAGGACCATAATGCTAACTTTACATTTGACACTGTCTTACTAATGTATGCAACTTGTGTGCTATTGTAAGAATAAATAAAATGATTCCAATTCAATAAAAACCTATGTATTCTGTATTCTACAGGGTGTTCAGAAAGTATGGGACCCCCAAGACAGACTTATACCAATGTCTTTATAGTATATCAAATAAATCAAATAGGGGTGCTGCAGGGCGTTTTCCTTGGAGTATCTGCCCTCATCGTCATTTTTCCAATTCATATTGAATTAAGAGCATCTTATTTGCTGCACTGTACATTTTGATGACACCTACTGCGGGTATATCTGCCTCAGGGGGAGGGGGGTACCATACTTCCAGTATATATTGCTTACATCGGGTTCCACTTGATTTGTAATTGACAAGGGCAACATTTTGACACACACACACATTTTGCGCAATTGAAAATAAGAGAACGTCATTAGAAAAACACATTACCGAGTCGCATATATCTTCTTTCAAATATATTTCTTGCTAAAGTGTCAAGAGCTGGTAAAGTGACAGAGCATATCAATTTTGCTAATTCTTGATATTTCTTGGTGAAATGTCATATCCTGCACTTAACAAAACCTAAATGTTCATTCCAATATATCATCATGTATTGTACGACTTAAGTGTGAATGAAACATCCCCTGGCGTTATGGTACCGAATTGTGATAATGGAACGTTAATGGTGGGGGACGGGGTGTTAGATATAGTTTCTTTTCACGTTGGATCATAGCTTTGGGATAGTTGTGTACACACATATCCATAACGAGTCGGGACCAATGGTGACGACCAAATCGACAACAACATAACATTGATATGATACGGCAGGAGATGAGTGGCATTTTTCATTTGTTATGTCATAACATATTGTTATAGTCTCCAACATTTTTCTGGCGGCGGTTGGTATTTGGCATCTGTAACAAATTCTTCCAACTACCAATAACTTAACAAGTACTGTTTAGACTGCCAATATATGTTACCGTAGCAACATATTGAAGGTCAATAAGGTATTTTTTAACTTGCTTCAAATTGACCATTTCTACAAAATCATCTACAAGGTCCCAAGTTCAAATCTATCTTTGATTCAGGATTTGACCTATGGATCACCTTCAAAAGGTCACAAAGTTGATTTTTCAAATGGATTGCTTGGATTCAAATTTAACCCTTAAATGGTTTTTGGGGTCCAGAGCTCATTCTTTGCAATAATTATATCAAAGTTATTGCAAAATATATCTTGGGGTCCTAAAACCTTTAGAGGGTGTAAAAAACAAAAAAAAAACATTTAAGGGTTAAGACAGCTTGTCACAAAATACCTACTGATGTCTGAGAAGGAAAGATTTTCAAGGTCAAAAGTCAAGGTTATCAAACTAGATCACAAACGGGTTTATCTAAGTTTCTCTAAATTCGAGACTAGAAATCAATATTTTAATTGCAACGAGGTGGTGACGTTTTATAATGTTAATAAATGCCTTATCCGAGAATTGTTGACGAACGGATGGAGAGGCACGGGAAATGGATGATTCAATAGACTCACCGTAAGCCAAAAACAAAGCAAATCTCAACAAACTAGAGAAAATGATCTAACAAATGACCAGATGCAAATATTAACACTATCTTAAAACTAATCCATAAAATTTTACGATTATATTAAGGCATTTCATACCCACAAAATTCATTCACAAACAGATGCATTCCTTAAAATCTAAAAAATAACTCATCTTCTTCATAATGACGAGACAATCAGCTGACCATCATAACGGAAAGTATTGGAAAAAAAAGAAAACACAGAAATCAACCTCAAGGTCCGAGAACAGGACATCTAAATATTTTTAATGGTCATGAACAACATTATGGTATGTAAAAAACAGCTTAACAGTTATAAATTAGGAACGCTCATATTGGGAACGACCATCCACTCCTCATAAACCGATGCAAGACTAGAACTACCTTAAATACTGTTTAATGGACAAGAATGCGGAACTTAAGATTATAAAAAATCGTATGATAATTTCATAGGTGTTTTATGTTGTGTAAAATGCTGACACTTTAATGTGTGCTGACGCAAGGTACTTTTAAAGAACTTCAAATTTGCTATAAATGTATGATCAATATGATAAAACTGTTATAAAGGCAATTACAACAGGAAATTAACCTCAAGCAGCTTCCATTGGTCGAAATCTCAAGAGAAGATATCTTAAACAAACATTTTATTATTTTACAAACAACTTATTTTGGACATCTGCTCATAGTTTCATAAACGTGATTCGTAACATTTAAATGAATGGAATTCACATTTGTTAGACATTAGTACATTCTCACTGTGTTTGATGGTACTGGCTGATGGGGGAGGGGTGTGTAACATCACTGGCGGATCGAGAAGCTAACAAGGGGGAGAGACACATTTCAAGTCAGGAAGGAGCGGAAAAAATTGTGGGCCCCTAAAACCAAAGATTGGGCCCAAATTTGAATATTGAAGGCCCATTTTTGATAAATTGCCCTAAAAGGCCCATAAAGTCCAAGCTATGCCCCAAAAGGCCCATTTTGAGGCACTAAAAATGGCCCACCCTAGGGGATCCGCCAGTGTGTATTTTAAATCTCATTTTCAAAAGTAGGCTTGTATTTCTTACTCCGAGTGTTAGAGCCCCTGCTATCATCAATGGTTTAAGCAGCAGCCATACTCGTTTGAGATGCTAATCAGTATATGAAAGGACAGTATATACGGGAAGAGATAAATCAAGACAAGAGTTAACAAAAACATATCTGACGTGTTGAGTTTTTCAGAGGCCATCGACTTGTTTACTGTCTCTATAAGTAGTCTTTACCAGATCCAAATAAAAAAATGTCGTTTTTGTCTCTACATACCTTTCACATATGCTGCATATTGTGATTGACTATGACGTTAATGGTCGTTCGCATTACCTTATTTAGTCAAGTTTGTTGTTTAATTGTTTTCACAACTTTTTTTTATCAGTACAATCAAACTAAAAATCGATTTCAAAATAATAAAAATTACCCTTTATTAGCATATCAAAAATTTAAATAAATAAATACAAGTGATATGGTGATATGACAAACATGTCATGGGACATATTACACACAACCATTGCAACATTCAGACATTTGTTACACAATAAATACTACACGTAAAACTGAGCATTTGGTAAATACTCTAATACATTGTTGAGTCAAACTATGTAACTTAGGCAAAGGTATTATTGAGACTTGCATAGTATATACATCATTCCAAAAAAGAATACGATAATACATTTAATACAAATTAATAATACTTTATGATCAAGAATATTAAACTGTCCAGCAGTATTATGACTAACAATAGTGCAAAATATGTTGCTAAATGAGATTCAAATACATTGAATTTGTTGTTTCGCCCATTCCCAATATGGCGATGTTGAGCAACTGACATACCTAAAACGGTCAATATCAGTCAAAATCCATCCAATAAGCCATATTCACTCTAATGAAATTAAGGCATGCGTTTATAATTAGTCATTCGCGTCCATTAAATTGAAATGATCGTAATATTTATAGGCTTCTACTTAGCTGGAATGTATATAGCCTATAATCTAACAACTTAAAATATATCATTTGTAATTTAGATTAAAAAATACATTTGTCAAAGGCTGCCATATTCAAAATACAAAGATGTATAACCTTTCTCTATACAAGTATACAACTAGTGTATTTTGATTTGTATTATTTGCACATATAAAATGTTCATTGTATTGCACGACATCTAACAGTGACGCTTGATGTTGTTTTGTCTGTTAATAGATACTGGTTCTCACCCCATGTATATTCAGGACATCCATCTATAATGAGTTCTGCCAAACAAGCGATTAATCTGAAAATACAATTGTTATTTTGTTAATCATTTAATAATTTTATTTGGATTACTTTGATCTATGTTTTGCATGTTAGATTACAAGATGCGACAAAAAACAATTACATAATAAGATTTATCTCGTAGTTTTCTAGTGTTGCTCTTTGTGATACTTCATACAGGTAAACCGTGGGTGAATTACTTACTGGAAATGATGCAAAGGTTGTTAAGGAAGTTCTCTCTAATCATATCCAAAGCACTGTAGTCGCTGACTCGGTAGATGTGTCTGCCAGAAGAGCTGCTGGCTATAGCACTGAGGTAATTGGTATTGATATTACGCCCAACTCCGATCACGAACAACTCCATCTTATCCAATGTCTTGGCATTTCGGGCTTCTTGACGTAATCTCTCGACATCGTTAGTCATATTGTCCACTATCAAAACACCAATACGCTTCACATTCTGTCTGGCCCCGCCATGATGGTTGAACACTCTGTGACGCATATAAGTAATCGTCCTAGTTGGATTGGATTCGATGACATTGTTGCTATCAATTGCGTTGAACAATGAGTTCTGATCGTAGAATCGATTCATACCAAATCCTTCCATTCCCATACAGTCCTGAGGGACAATTCCAACTTGCACGTATTGAGGGCCTATGTTCATCTCCTGGACGATTGATTTGATGAAGGCTAGGGAGTAGGCACGATTTTGTAGACTATTTATCTCGTTACCAGTCAGGGCAAATGCAATATCTGCACTCTGGACAGGTAAGCATTCTGAAACCGAACAAATCATTTCACAATTATTAATTATCATTAAACTAATTTTTTCCTGATTACAGTTCACATTAAATTTGCGATCAACAACTAAGAAAAAATATTTTAAATCTAATTTAATCCAGTATGTATTGCAACGGAGTTTAAATGTAAGATTATACTGTATATTCAACATACAATGTTAATATTAATAAGATGATAATTACCTTCATCCCCAAATCCTTGTGGTTTCTGTGTGGTAGTTGTAGGTGGAATATATACTACAGGTGGTTTTGTTTCAAGCACTACTGGACGATTCACCTGGCAAGCCTTGCGAGACAGCATAGCTGTAATCTTTCTAAGTTTACTATAATTGTCAACAGCAAATACGAATTGTTCTTTAGGTTCACTGGCAATTTCCTCCAGCTCTTTGCGGTCAATAGAATGTCCAACTCCGATGGCGAAAATGTGGATGTTTTCATGTTTGGCCTTTGCTGATTGACGAAGTGTCCACTCTGGATTGCGGGACTGTCCATCTGTAATTATTACCCCAATTTTGGTAATTCCTGGTCTTGCATGGTTGAACATGTTTTCTCTCATATGGGAAATGGCTTTACCCGTGTTTGTGCCTCCACTTTTCTGCTGGATTGATGAAATGGCGTCTTTGATATCATCCGCGTTATGATACTTCTCTAAACCAAAGTACTCGTAAGGGTCAGTGCTGAATGTCATGACACCAACGCGAGTTGCATCTTTACCAATATCAAGCGTATCAATCATTTCCTGCACGAATGTAAGCTGCTTTCTGAAGTCAGGCCCCCAAATACTACTTGAAGAGTCCAACATAAAAACTATATCTGATGCATCAAGGCAAGCTGAAAACAAAAAGCAATAGCTGGTTAGTTGAACACAAAGGAGGACAAATAAAGAACAAATAGAAATACACAAATTCTCGCCGAGACAAAATGAATACTTGAATCATTGTATTGTATTCTATTGTATTGTATGATACTGTAATGTCATATATTTATCTTGAGTCCATTTATAGTTTTACATACATAACATATACTCTTACATGGCAAATACCATCTTACAAACATAGAACGAGGCTCACGAGGCTAGAATTTCGTTAGAGTACGTAAATAAAGATATTACTAGAACTTGATAAAAATGAATATCAACAATAAACCCAGTTGTTGAATCAAATTTCTATTTCTGATAATGATGATTCATTAATTAATTTGTCAAACCTTTTGCCTCGAATGTGTCATAATCTCTATTTCCCGCTGACCCTCCAGCAACAGTTGTTGTGTCTGGAATCGGAACGCTTGTTGTAGGAGGTGGAGGCGTTTCCATCACGATCTCACATGTTTTCTTTGACAATGAGGTGGCGATCCTTTCTAAACGGCTGTAGCTCTTAACATTAAATACAAATTCTCGAGATGGTTTGGCTGCTATAGCTTCTAGTTCGTTTCTATCAGTATTACGGCCGACACCAATTGCAAACATTGTTATACCGTCTTTCTTGGCATTCTCAGCTTCAATAGCCGTGAGTTCAGAATCTATTGACTGACCATCGGTGATTATGATAGCAATTTGGGGGACACTTGATCTAGCATCAGAAAACATATTTTCTCTCATGTATTTTATGGCGTCTGCAGTGTATGTGCCACCAATACTTTGCTGGATATCTGCTACGGCAACATTAACCTTAACTTTACTATTAATCTCCCCAAGTCCAAAGTATTTATGTGGTTTATCACTGAAGGTCATTACTCCCACTCTAGTAAGTTTGTGTCCAATTGTGAACTTGTCGACAATGTTTTGAACAAATTTAAGCTGTTCTTTAAAGTCTGGTCCCCAGATGGAGCTTGATGAGTCAAGCACAAAAACAATGTCTGAAGCAGTTCCACATTCTGAAATTTGAATAAACCACAATATTGAACAGTTATATGTAAGGATACGTTAAAAAATAATACATGTTTAGTTGCATTTATTCATTTAATCATGAGTAATACATGAATATACTTTAACCAATGTCTTTTGTAGGTCCACGCAGCGCTTTTGAATAAGTAGATTGTAATTTATTTTATGTTAACATTAATAGTTTCTACAAAACTATTTTGAATCATACACTAATGAAACCTACCGTGGGGTATGTCACCTCTCCTGTCCTGAGCAGGAATACCTACAGAAAAAGTGCATAACATGTCAACCAATGATCAATGCAGGCTAAATAAAAATAAAATAATTATGTATAGCTGAATAATGACATGTTATTTAGATTATCAAATAACAATAGTATGCAAAACAAAACATTCATTTCTACAGATCAACCGAACAATTTAAAAATACTGCATCCAAAACTGTCTTAAATGAATACTAATCTAATCGTACAATCAAGTTAAAATAAATACATTATAAATCATATATTTGTTTTCAACAACACTCTATCAAGCAATAAAAAATCAAATGTTCTTACCTTCAACCTGTTCCAGTACCGAGACTGCACCGATTACCAGCATTAACTTTAGCAGCGATGTCATCGTTATTTCTATTTCTTTCTCTATAAGTTTTATTGTTCCTTGACAAATCTTTGTTGTCTTCTGATTTTTACCATTGCCTGCATTTCTTTTATACTTCGACATCAGCAGCAGAAAGCACCGGACGCGTGTACTAAAGTGGGAGAAAGTCGATGACGAATCCCATATAAGGAAGTTTCCGATGCCGCGTCATCCGGTTTTATTTTCCCGTGGTTAATTTGATGGACATGGTTTAGCTATTTTACACCATGTCAGAGTGACTGAATGACTTGTAAACATTTTGGTTACTTTTATGTGGGTATAAAAGTTTTTTTGAGAGATTTTAAGGACAATAAATAAAACCTGATACTTGACAGTTAACAAAATAAGGAAACTAGTCACCTATAATTGTGGGTTTATACTGACAGATGTGAAAAGTAAGTTGTTTCTTGTTTTTTTTATAGAATATCTTACATTCCAAGACATCAAGAAAACAACATACTACACTGCAAGTTCTCCTCGGTTTTAAAAAGGAGAAACAAATCAATTCACAATATATTTACACATTCGACCATTTGACATGAAACTAAAACTTGAAAACCTACCTACCAACCTGAAAAGTACCATTGATCAGAGGAGTAGAGTGCATAAAATATATCAGATTGCGAGACATGAAGTGTTCGCACTTGGTGTACTTCGTATCCTAAACATTTCTATGAACAAATCTAAACAAATTACGCATTTGAGATAAAGAAAATTTAAAATTGGTTATTATATAAACAGTAAAAGTGAATTTATAGAATTGTGAGACATGGACTGAAGTGATACGTCGCACTTCATGTACTTCGTATCCTAAACAAAATCAAAGAAACATTTAAACAACCAGATGCGTTAATCAGACGAAGAAATAGCGTTCTCTCTATCATGTAACAATTACCTTCGAGCACTCAATGACAAATATATCACCGTAGTGTATTTTGACCGTCAAGTATGGTAAAATTTGAGTCTATTCAGAAAATCTACAATGCTTCAAAATAAGTACCATAGTATAAACACGGAATATCCTAGATGCGAGTAGAAATAATTTTAATTTACGTCATTAAAAATTCGAAATCCAGTCAATCTGATGTCATATTTGGAATCTGCATGTAAAATTACATCTAGTAATAGTTTTGAAATGAGTTTATCAACTTTGAACATTTAATTTTCTTTGAAAATGTGAATTCTATGTCGGGGAGATTCCCCATAGACTCCATGTTGTAAAATCACAAAAAGTGAAATATCTTTTCTTGTGTTGGGCAGATAACATTTTCTTTTACTTGACATATTTTAATTTGTATAACTATCAGATACATACAAGGGTAATATGAAAAGTGAACGACTTAAGCTGATGAATATTCAAGTCAAAGGGAATTTTGTAATTTCCGTATAGACGTGGATCACAGAACATATAGTGTTAAGTCTAAAAATTTACAAATGATAAAAATTGAAAAATTGACAAAAATTGAAATTTATTCGATATGTCCATGATTTTTACGGTAACATGGGTAAATCCTTGAAAGTAAGTTCCTAGCTGATGTTTTATTTATCCCACTTACGCCAGTCAGAGGTAAAGAGGGAATGTTAAAGGCAGAATCAGATCTATGGAGGTGACAAAATTGCAAGCAACGTGTGCAATTGACCTACCAATCTATTCCTTACTATCTCAAATACAATATCTCCCAAAATATTCACGATATGTTATAAATCGGTGAACTTATAATTGAAACAATTTTTCGTTAGGCTGCTCACAAGATCTGATTCTTTCTTTAATAACAGTTGATAATATCAGTTTATTAATTACCGTGCAAAATCAGGAACTTTTTCCGAAAACAGTGCTAAGGTATAAATGCTATATACTTTAAATGTACAAACCCTTATACAATGTATATATAGCTTATCAAGTTTTGGCAATATGTTCACTTAAAATATGTCAAGTACATGTATGTAAGCGTTAGTTTGTGTAGCCGTTGAAGATAATTCTATGATATGGTAAATACGAGTATATTTCAGATATACTTTGATACGTAAATACAAATCCCAAAAGGGAAAGAGCAAAAAGGTAACAGGTAGTCATAGGAATAACAAACCAACAATCTCCAGGTACAACCATGGCTGAAGAATTGAAACATGGACCTAACTATAAAGAACACTTTGATACACAATTCTATCTTAGGAGCAACTATTCTGACCCAAGAACTTCTGGTTTGTCAAATCTCACATATTTATTAGATAAACTACATACGATGTTTTCATCAGGTAAGAATAAGCACTTAATGAGTTGTCAGGGTAATGTTTTAACATTTTTCATGTTACAATATCTATTTTTAAATTACAGTATAACACTGTATAAGGTCATTAAAAAACTTATTGGTATATACTTTATTACTTCACTTTACTTTATGTACGCACTGAGTAATTTTTTCCTGTTTACTTTGTGAATTGTCTTTTTGTCTCTGAGGAAATGCATCGAATTGATTTTACCTGTTTACCTAATATCAAAATTGTCATTTTTACCACAGGGAAGTAAAAGTAATTCTTTAAGACGAAATGTAATTGGTAAACAAAATACCAAATCCGAGAAGACACCAATAGATCAGATCCGGTGTGGTCGAAATCGTTCTATCATAATTTTATTGCAAACCATCAAAGTTATATTTTCCTTTTGTAAGAAGGGAATAGCCACCTTCTTAGCATGATAGTACAGTACAGAATTGTATAGTATAATACAGTTAGTATTGTCTAGTATAGTATACGTATTGTGTTGTATCATATTATATTGTCTCAATTGCATTGCATTTGTATCGATTGTATTGTACTATATTCTATCACATTTCTGGCTCACACACTATCTATTCCAGGTCAGATTAAGGGGGCTAAGTTGTTAGAATTTGGAACTGGGCCAACCATTCACACGCTGATAAGTGCGTCTAAGTATGTCACTGATATCACATGCGCAGAGTATGCAGAATGTAACAGAAATGAAATCAACAAGTGGTTGCAATGGGACAAGGATGCCCATGACTGGACTGAGACATTTCAATACATAGCTGGTCTCGAAGGAAGCAGGTTGGTTATTTTGTGAGTTACCATTTAGCAATGATCGAAGAAAACACGATAGGAATACTGTAGAATCCAACTTGCTCTAAGAATGATAGTACCCCACACACAATTTTGTCGCCTACTTTGATGTATTGTAGAAAAATATCCAAAAATAGTTTGTTTATAAAATTTGGCATACTTTAACTTGAAACATTTTGTGACACTCAAATTTTTTTATTTGGAAATTTAAGTAATATTGACGAAAAACAAGCAATTTTAAAATATTCATGTTTTAACAAAATTCGACGAAAATTTCCAGTTTTGCAGTTTTAAAGAGAGTTTAAATCATTTTGATTACATTTTGATCACAAACCTATTGCATTACATATGGTTTGTCTGTTCTCTTAAGATACTGTTACTATGTGTTGGAGATGTTTAACTCCTAAATAGGAATATTGTAAGTGTGGTTTTATTATTGTTTAAGAGTGAAGACCCCTTTTAATACTTTCAATACATGGACAGGTGCATGTATCATATGATTTGTTGGCTTTAAGTCTAAAAAGGTTTATCAGGGCACTGAAAGACATCCCTGCTTGAATTTCTATACCATCCTACCCCTACAGCATTTCCTACTGTCCCACTTGATTAAAAAATCCTTTCCAATAGTTCGCATCTCATAAAATCTCAAGAAAATGGTTGTATTTTGTTTAATTCAATTAAGGCATTAATAACAGTGAGCTTGCACTCAATTTTTCATTGGCCTACGATCGGGAGGCCATATTCACCCAATACCTCACAGGTGGCCACCGACGGCTTACCTTTTGTTGGAAATGATTCACATGGATTTAACATGTGAACTTTCAGGGGTAACATCATAACATTGTAACAGTCACTCCTGCTTGGTTCAGTTTTTCTTTTACCAGTGGATTATAATGGTGTTTAATAGGATAGGATTGACCAGAATATTCAAATTGTTTTTGTAATCAATTTGTTACAAATTGTTTCAAAATTTAGCTTGATTTAGGTCAAATCTGTAAATGCGTAGCAATTTAGAAACTGAAGTCAAATTGTGGTGAAGTCATATTACCCCAAACAAAAAAATTTGAGTGTCACAAATTGTTTCAATTTAATGTCTGCCAAATTTCACGAGAAAACTCTTATTGGATATTTTTCTACAACACATCAAAGTAGGCGACAAAATTGTGTGTGGGGTACTATATTGAGGTTATAATGATCATGAACCCCTCTTATCTGTCATGACAATGTTAACTACTGTCAAACCCCATCAGAACTGATAGCGAAATTGAGCCATGATCATGGTCTTGACTTGTCATTCGACGCATTGTTATTCATTATCAATAACAAAACTATTAGAAGAACGCCATGCTTTATCTGATTACGAGTGTATTAAAGTTGATATTGTTAAAACCATTTCAAATTTCATGACTATTTATTCCAGGGACATTAAATCAATGGAATTGAGAGTGCGAGGGGCTTTAAAACAAGTTATACCATGCGATATCAACTTAAAGAATCCTCTCCATCCATTCACATACAGCAACTATGACACCACAATTAGTAGCCTCGTTTTAGAATCAGCTTGTCATACACTTGATCATTATGGCAAATCACTAAAGAGGATAGGATCACTTATAAAGGACGGTGGTAAACTAATAATGTATGGTCTACTGAAAGAAAGTTCTTACATGGTCAATGGTGTCACATTTCATTCTCTATATTTGGAAGCTGATGATGTCATCCGAGCTCTTAAAAATGCTGGATTTATAAGAATCGATATGAAAATATGTGAGACCGATCTCGAACCATCCATTTCTAAAATAGACGAATCAGAGAAATTCTTAGTCGTATGTGATAAAAGAGAAAATGCTTGTAGGGCAAAATAAAAAACAAACATGTAAACCCGATTTAGTCGATTTAGATATTTGATCCATGTTTTCATCTTCACAAGGGTGCATTATTGATTCCAACTTGTATTTCTAAAACTTCAATTCCACAAACATCTTTGATGCCAAATATACTCTCTTTGAATGTGCCGATATTTCATGATCAACGATCAAGTAGAATTGCACCATTTACATATGAATTGTCTTATTTGTAAAAGACAAGAACTATTTATGCATTTGTCTTATAGCGACTTGTTATATCCTCTTTAATGAACAATAAAAAAACTTCGTCACAATTCATTCAATATCCAAAACGAAAATTCAAATATGTCATACTTGAACTACCATATCCAACAATTTAAATTCCTTATATGGTCAACCAGACTAGGTAGATCGAAACTGAACTCCCAATACGAATTGCAATACGATATAAAACATAATTTATGCCTTCACAAAAGTTGCTGCTATTAATGTCATATTCAAACTCCCATGAAAAATCATGCTAGCTGCTTTTGGTGTCATCATTTTTATTAAGATCTTCAGCATCAAAACTGTAATCTCTCTCCTAGCTAGAAGGTAGTATTTTAGTATTATATCTTACTTACATGTATGTTATCTTATGTATATTTACTGATATGAAAAAAATCCAAATGTATACTATATATATGCAAAGTATACTAAACTAAATAAAAAACCGGGAATCTAAGTTACGATACTGAATCGAAGGTATCGGTACCTTTGAAAGTTTCTGCGTGCAAATGCATGGATATATGGGAAACACTACAAACTGATTCTCGGATATATTGAATACCAATATGTTTCGCTATAGGAAACAATGTAAACATGATTAAGGTATAACTATCATGCAAATGAAAAACTTTATACAATACGTTATACAACCTTGTTTATATATAATTCCCAAACATCGATAATGTTGGAACACGACCCAAAACTACATACTTAAGAACTATGGAATCCGTAAGACACAGTTAAACAAGCTAAATTAGAATTATATTGGAATTATTTATAAGACAACTGCTAGAAAGGAAGGCAAAACACGACCTAGCATGGGGGATTTATCTTTAGAAGACATGTGTGATGATGATACAATCGAATCAAGCACGTTTAGTATTACTGTTCCAAAGATTTGCTTCACGAATAAGACAGTTGGGAACTCAAGCGTGGGCATAGAAGGAGATGAGAAAACGAAGGGGGCTCATAGCAGACTGGACAATTATGACGCCTGTTCTGCTGGTCAAACCTGGAACAGATGTCCACCCGAAGTTGAAGTAACTGACTTGACACTCCCAAACAACAATAGCTGGATGTCATCACGAAGGGGACAACCCGAAAACAACAACGAGCAATCTAAACTGAACTTCCTCAGTCCAAATGCAAGCTATCGAATGAGAAGAAATAGCACGAGGCGAATATCCGAGTTGGAATTTTCTTTTGACCTTCGGAGACGTGCAAGTGAACTTTCATTGGCTTCTTTTAATCCCGGGAAACATGACCTTGACCTGAGAAGGTCAAGTACAGGGATAAACGACTTCAGTTTCTCAAGGTCATCGAGTGATGCCTCGAGTATCGGGGCACCTACGTGGAGACCACGATCAGCGTCCGTTCTTCAGACTAAGGGGACACTAGCGGAGGAAGCATTCAGGTGCCACCGAGTTGTGAATCGTAGAAATGCGCTTGGTGATCTTGATAAAGCTACTTTAACAGAAACCTTTAAAAATAAAATCCCTAAAGAGGTAAAGAAAAGGAGTGGATTTCTTCCTACGCGACTATTAAAATTGTTCAACTCGAACAAAAATAAAACATCAAAAATTGGAATAAAGGACGATGGTTAAAGTTGATCAGAATAACATTAGAACTGAATTAGATGGCAGCCTAAGGCATTGACATGGAAAGCAGAATCAATAAATAAAACATCAATTCAACAATCTGAAGTAGATTAACTCGTATAGATGGCATGCCGCAACTGGATTAACATTCTTTGGTATCCCCTGTAGTAATGTATACGGGTGAATTGAAAAACAATACATCGACATACTGACATATTCGTTTCCTAGTTTGATTTTTTTGGAAATCCAAGATGGTGCATCGATACAATTGATTTCAGACAATTCTTATACGAACGATTCGACTTATTTGATTTTATTCACAGTGCAAGTTACCAAGGTCATTGTACTTTATTTCAAATAATATATATAATTTTCTATTATATGCAATTATCGGATTATAAAAAGAGTGCAATAATCGTATTTTCTTGCAATTCCCTTGAGTAAAGGTTGTCAAAAATATGCAAATGGGTAAAAATACAATCGCCATAAAAGTTGGCATTACAATTATTAGTTAATGAAAACACAGAATGAAATCCTGTGCTGTACAGTTATAGCTGAGCACAACTTCATATCCTAGTTTTGTAAATTATCGCCATGAAATCAGCTATTAAGGAATATGTATATAATTGCAAAATTGAGAGACTGTAGATGCATACTGGATGATCACAAGAGAAATTACATGTCCAAGTTAATATTAGATTAATGGACAAATGGTCAACTTGTCCTCCAGTTGATAATTCAGTTGGCAGTGTCATTGGGCATTTACTACATAATTTCTGTGTTCTGATTCCTTATACATGTCATGAATGTTCATTGTGCTTGATTAAAGACTCAAACCTTCATAAGATATATATTGTTTCCGATGTTATTAAGATCTCAGAATGTTCATCGATATATTATCTTTAGAAATATAATTATCCACAAGTTGTATTTCTTACAAATATAATAACCACATTCATGGTACAAAAAGCAGTATCATTAATATACAAAAATACACAGTTGTATATACAGATTTAAAATATCACATTTTCGTCGTACGATGATAATATTTTAGTTTTAACATCCTTATGTATCAAGGATACAGTATTTTCTGACGCAAAATATGGCAAAATATGATCACGTTTACTATAAATGGCCATTTAATATCTACACTTATTCCATAGTTAGCATGATATTCATAGGATAAGATGTGAAAAAACGGTATTTTTTGTAATCAGTGGTAAAATATGATATTTTTGACAAATTTTCACTTAACCATAGCATACGGTTTTTTAGCCATGACATACGGCGCCGTATGCGATGGTTTATGGATTTTTGCTACTTCAGACTCAAAACGAGGCTAAGTGTTAACATCGCCGGATCGTTTGGAAAATTCGAATTAGATAACTTAATTTCCGACGATTCTGATGATGACTTTAACTATGGAATAAACAGAACATCCTATGATTTACTCGTGATATGATTTTAATCCACCCATGGATATTGATATCTGCACTCTCTCGCTACGCTCTCTCGTGCAGATATCATATCCATTCGTGGATAAAAATCATATCACTCATAAATCATTGGATATCCTCTATTTAAATTATTTCAACTATTTCTATTTTTGGACTTATCCATCCAGTCTTTCCTCAAAATAAAATGACCCAACGCAAGGAACATTGAGGGTCCGTATGTCTATAGTTAAGGGGATTGACCAAACTTCACTAAAAAAGTAGAACAGAGTTTCAACTACACATGTTGCCTAGACGCATTGTCAAAACCATCGTCAACGGTTACTAATCTATCTAGTATCACATTTGTGACATGTTATATATTGTTATTCTGTTTTATGAATTATGCATGTTAAAAGACGTCTCGATATTGTATATTATTTCGAAACGTTGCACTTTCATGGCTTTAAATTTGTGAAACGAGCTAAACGAGGCGAATCTTGTGAGAGTGACACAGGTATTATCACCGAAAACAGAATTAAATACTACTGATAAATAAATAGATTAATATTACAATTTTCATTTTGACACAAAAATGCTGTAAAACCGACCCTAAAATAATGGCCATTCTGAAACCACTGGCCATCTTACAATTGGCCGTTATGAAACCAAACGCTAAATAGGTTTGCTTGGTTAAATATCTTCCTCATGCATTGTTCCAGTCTAGCATTTAAAAATGTTATGTCAAATACCAACGTTGTATCCGAGTTTGATCTACTTGGTATCACAATATAGTATATGACGATAACACAATAATATTACTGCAGATGTGGCGCCCTTCAAAGATGATCAAGAAATCTTTTGATCGTAATTCAAATATATACATTTCTTCATTTGCAAATCATTTTCACTGGTTTCAATCTACTAATAAAAGCACCCTTTCACATTCATAGCATCCCTGCATGCGAGCCAGATCACTTACTGCTACCAATATCCACAGGATCTTCATTTTAGTGGTATAGTTTCGGACTACAGTCAGATCATGTAAGCTTCCAGTTTCCTCATCTACAAGTAGAGCTTTACATATTCACATAGACTCCCTTGATGTAGTACCAGAGCCTTTTAAGTTGCTCAAGTCATCATCAGATATTGGTACAATTCTTCTCTTGGCTTTTTGCTCATCCATGAACTTGTTACAACACAACCACCAGAATAAGCAAATGATGAAGAGTAGTCCAAAGAAGAAACCAAACCCCATTGCTAACCCTGTGACCATCTCCCCTGTAGGAGAGAATCCTGCTGAATCGCCCTCTGTCTGCAAATACAACAAATGGAAAGCCCATAACATTTCAAGGATTTAAGTTCAGGTTAGTCTAGATACAAGGCCCTTTGACAACCCTCTAATTGACTACAGACCTTCCCACACTGTTGGAATGAGCAGTGTCGGGGTCACAAGCGACAAGGGTTTGTAGCTGTACTAGTTCAGGTCTCTTGTGTTGATAGTACATTGTGAAAAGTAAAATGGTTACTGAAAGGGACTTAGGTTGTTAGACACTGCGTCTGTGTGTGTTAGATCATATCTGGGATATTGGGGACTTATCAACAGAAATTGTAATATTAATATAAACATAACATAGATCTAAAATGGAATAATAAGACGAAAATTGGTATTTCTCTGACACTTCATTACTACAATTAAATAACTTATCAATAAAAGTGTCACGGGGTATTGGGTCAATAACCTGTCATCAATTTTTATAGTCCATTAAACAGAGTGTCTCAGATATAAAAGGTGCGATTATGGAGATAATGTTTCGTTAAGGTTTTACCATCGTACAACAAAATATTGTTACAGTTATACTATCATCAAGACTGGTGAACAAAGCATTCTATTCAGCCTGTAAACAGGTCTCATTTATGCTATCGTTGAATCATTGTTTTTGATGGTTTTGATTTGAACTGTTAAATTTTCCTCTCCTATTTGTGTTTTAATACGTTTTGGTATTATGACCTATTTGTAACATGGACCATGGAGTACTACTAGTGCTTGCCTAAGATGACAGGTTGTGTCATCACGTGGAGTGCAATAGTAACAAATAGACATCGTCACATGATCATCTTTGAATTACATAAATGGGTCATTATTACATAACATTTTTGAAGGAACATAAGAATATGTTGGAGATCATATTTTCAAGGGCATACATAAATCGATGATAATTAATTCTTTGCATATAACAATCGCAATCCCTGATCTATTAATTAGCTCAAATAGAATGTCACAATCCAATCAGTGACATGTCCTTGGTGAGCTTTTAATGCCCGTACGCTGTTGTTTCAGATGGAAAACTCCACCACTTACCGTCACATCGACAGGAACTTCTGTGGCCAAAGTAGCCATTGTTGTAGTAATGGGCTCAGCTGTCTCAATACTCGTTTGAGTTGATTCGGTGGTTATGGTTCCAGTTGTTGGATTTGTTTTATCAACAGTGCTAGGGCTTGTTTCACCAACAGTATAGGACAAAGGTGTAGTCGCACCCCCAACCGTTGTTGGATTAGTTCTTATAATGCTCTTTGTTGAAGTCTTTGTTGTTGACGGAGTTATATTGTTAGTCGTTATGGTTGTGTTGATGTCACTCTCAGTAACAACATCGATCCGAGGAATTGAGGTCGTCTCAATTGACCCTGTTGTAGTGTTACTTCCGTCTACTATAAAAGCAAAGCATTAGACCTAAATTTAACATATCTTACAGGATCTGATACAAATTAATTAGCAGTGTTCAATAAGTTCTATCCTAGAATAAAAGCTTTCAACACTTGAATGCCACCAATTGAAGCGATTAAAGCCTACACTATGCTATCACACAGCAGACTAATAAATAAATAAAGCCAATATATAGTTATGGGGTTCTTCAGATACATTATCATGCAATTATTGTTGAATCTCCTCCGTTTTTACTGATCCTATAATCATAAAACCGGAGATACTTACACGAAAAGGCTTTCAAACTTAAATAATTACAATACTCGATTTGTGGTCAGTTAATGTTGCTTATTTTCATGATTTAAGAATTGCCACTTTTGATGGATTCAGAAAGATATAGGTAAAATCAGACGGAAAACAAAACTGCAAGGAATATTTTACGATTTTGCCCTTCAATATTTCAAATATAATACTACAGGTTAACCATTATGTCAAATGGAGAAATTATTTAGGATTTAATCATAAATTATATTCGCAGTCAGGTCAAAATAACAAAATTTTCCTTGGACAAAGCTGTGTCAGAATTAAAGGATTTGGGGGAAAAGAAAGGTCAAGCGACATTAACCCCGATTCTCTTTTTCATTTTTTATTCATGTATATTTTTTCGTACGATTTTTATCATAACAAATAAACAGTTCAATTTACCATGACAACCGAAATAGGTAATTAATAGAAACGCAATCACCTGGATGATGAGAGTCATGTTGATGCTCTGTTATTTGCAGAATGATAGGATGGATTTAATATCTGTTAGTGGTGTATGCTACATTAATTGTTTTCTTCCGAGAGGGAACAAGATAATAATGTGTCAGGTTAACAGAACATGCTATAAAATGCTTTAATGAATGATATAAGGGGAATGAAAAGAACGCCTACATTGACGTACATATCCTGCTTATATTTTGAAAAATTTGCAAGCCCCATGGTTCATTTCAATACAAACTGGTTTAAAATGATTACTGACTGGTTTGAACTTCTTGGAAATTTTGTCAACGTAAGGTGAAGACATAAAGCTGTGGTCACATCAAACTAGTTTTGACAACAAAATAAGTAGTGAGCTCGTGTATTAAAGACTACTAGGAGAGGTTAAACGTTTATCTGGTTCGAACAGACATTTTATTTCTCATTCCAAGACCATTTTTTACTTAGATTTTTTACTAAGGATATTGCAGGGCTAAATTAATACTAGAAAACAGCAACTCCAGCATCGGCATTTGAAATTTGAACCAAATTCATCCACTTGAGTTACCAAAAATTACGTTTTTTTACAAAAAAGGCAGCCATTTTAAAATTAGGGTCATCTTGAAAATGTCTTCATTAGCAGAGCTCTTTGGTCTCTGGGCATTATTAGTATAACATTTGAACCAAATCAGTCCACTGGTATTTGAGTTATCGGAAGGGACGTTCTTTTAAGAAAAACGGTGGCCATTTTAAAATCAGGGTAATCTTGAAAATGTCTTCCTTAGCAGAGCTCTTTGGTCTCTGGTCATTATTAGTATAACATTTGAACCAAATCAGTCCACTGATATTTGAGTTATCGAAAGTTACGTTCTTTTAAGAAATAGGTGGCCATTTTAAAATTTAACTGTCATCTTGAATCTTCCTTCAAGAGTCGAGCTCCCATTTCCGTAGGTATCAGAATATAAAATTTGAATCAGATCTGTTTCCGAGTATTTGAGTTATCAAAGATGACATTTTAATGAAAATGGTGGCCATTTTGAAATTAAGTTGCCATCTTAAAAAATTCTTCCTGAGCAAAGCCCATTTGTTCCTTGGTATCAGCATATTAAATCTGAATCCGCCAACTAGTATTTGAGAAATTAAAGATTACATTTTTTAAGAAAAATAGCGGCCATTTGAATTGAGCGGCTATATTGAAATTTTCTTTTTGAGTAGAGGTCCTACACCCATGGTCTATACAACATAGAATATGCAAAAACACTACGTTGTGGTGCGTCTTTGAATATTTTCTAGATTCGAAAACGAATAGTTTGTATGCGGTAAATGTCTAGATTTTATTTTTATGGGTTATTCCTACTAACCTTGGTGCCCGAAATTGCTGAAGTAGAATTCATGTTAAAAATACTAACTTGAGATACTAACTTGGATTGCATTGTAATGTTTAAATAGACGTAAAGGAGCACACTCACCTAAGTTGAAAAGCAAAATAAATTGCAGAAGAAGCCTAAGCAAAGCAGAGAAAGCGTAACTAGCCATTGCAATAGGTGCAGATACAATGATTCTAACATGCAGTTCTAAATGTAATCTATGTTTTATGGTGGTGCTAAAACAGTAATTCAGGTCTCTCCATCGTCAAGATTGAGTTGACGCCTCTAGGCTTTATTGTCTGTTGCACGCAAGCTACTGCCATCTAAAACTAAACGTCAAATGTTAATACAATTTAATAACTAAATATTCTTGGAGACTATTGAGACTGCATTGTAAATTACAATGTACGAATAATAGAATACTGTTTTTCGAATGTCGAATGTTGTTAGTCACTGTGCCTTAGTTTTAGATCCGTTATTTCTAACTTAGTTATATGAACCTAAGCTAATGATTTCATTTTCATTTTTATGAGATTTATTTTCAACAAAATCAAAAATATACTCACAAAATCAATATTTCTGCAACTCAGTATTCAGTGGAGCTCCTTCAAATATTGTCTGTAGCCAACTGTTGCTATGTTGCATTAATTGTTCTCATCACATTGATATGCTGTAAACGGTCTATCCTTTTCCCGTGATATAAAACATTCCAGATACTCAAAATCGCATTTACACGGTCGACGCATTCAGTTATTTAAAACGTTCGTACGTTTTGATTCTAAATGTCCACTCTCAAAATACGCATCACGGCGAATATTTTCCAGATTATTCTCATTGGCTGATACTAAACTTTCAATCTCCCAAGATACGTATCACAACTAGGCCTAGCGTATTCTAGAATATTCCCAAGGATTGATAGACTGATTGTGCTTCGTGCTCCCTGCTCCCTGCTTCAGAAAGCAATCATCTTATTATTCCGAATATTTGATGAATAGTGTTGTCTGATGTAATAGCTAGCACGACTTGATGTAAAATTAATGGCATGTATCTAAAATTATAAAGTGTGTCTGATGTAAGCAGTCTCGTTCAATTAGTGCGTCATAATATGCGAATCCTGTCCAGCCACCATACGTTACACTTCCTCCATCTAAGAAAGATGTTCGTCCCTAAAGTTCTACTTTTAATGTTTAATCGCGCTGATATGACTGTGTTGATATGGGAATTTGTACTAACGTGAAGTCAATATTTTATTTAGAAAGCATAAGGCGTTAGACACGGGAGCCATGAATGGCAAACGATCTCAGAAACCTTTGCTGCGTCACGCAAACCATCCAGTAGTTCCCTTTTACTTTCTTGTATTGAATCACGAGCCGATAATTTATTAATTAGATGGAAACAAAAGATATGATTATCTTCTCTATATCATAGGATTTAACATTATCAATATCTACTTAAGACGTCCTTCTGTATGAAATTACGTATTTTCTCCTATATCTAGTTAGTATTTTGATTTAAAGCAAGTGAATATGACATTGATATCACTTAATCATTTTAATAACCACATTCTCAAACATCGCATGAAATGTCTCCAAACATTAGCAAAGAGCGTGTGTAAAGGGTATGTTGGCATCAAAACATATCATATCAGGTATAGCTTTCATTTTAAGTATATCAGATCTAGCGAGCAACTTTTCCACATTGGAAGTTTAGCAATGGTTCTATTTTCCTTCAAATAATGATAAAAATGTATATCATAATATCTTCTGGCATTCTAGGTCGGTAAAATCATTTAAAGGATATTATACATTATTGATGACCATTGATGGTTGCTTGTGAGAGGTTGGAAGGGGATGAGATGTCAGTCTGGAGACACAATCAAGAGTTTTTAAGATGAAATGGGCGTTTGCACGGGGGTAACACTCTCAATCGTGAGCTAGTTAACGCAACATCAAAATAAAGGTCACGTGATGACTCTCCCCGTGAACAAATTGCAAAAACTATTTCAATCACAAATCTAGCTATGGAGATGTTTGGTGTTTTACGAACTTTCAGGGTTCTCATTTTGTCTCATATACAATGTATGTCTAATATATTTGAGACGGTCTATGATTATATAAGAAGCTCTCTTTTAAGAAGTGAAGTCAAACGAATGCAAAGGGTAACTATATATTGGTATGCGAATATACATGTTGCTTGCAATGTTATTCCCCTTTGATATTTGATTCTGACAACGTAAACAATGCTAGTGTAGAGGCTGGATTAAGGCAATGAACTACCAATGGGCGCAACCTAGACCCTGGACGTGAAAAAGAATATTTTTGATTAAAATGTTAGTGTTTTCAATGTTTCATTGAAATGGTCATGCCCTAAATAAAACTAAACAATGAAACTAAAAAGCAAATCACATTTTCATTAAGAATATTTTTTGAAAAAGTAAGTTCAATTCATTTCATCAATTGAATCACAAATGTCGAGACTTTAATGAATTTTTGTTTAAAAATATTTTGTACAATAGAAAAAGAACACAGTGACATAGATCAAAGCTTCTTCGAGTCATGTCTACATTAATTATTGCTTTTGTATGCGATATCAATTGCTATAGTCCGGAAATGAAAGAAAAAATATAAATGTTATTTTAGGTAAGAAATGACAACTTTAAGTTTTTATGCTGAAGCACTTATATTTAAGATCAATAATAATTTTAATTGACTCTAATAATAATGCCTTTCTTCTATACGAATTATTTCAACTACTTAAACTGATAAATATTATTAGAAGTAAGATACAAGGCATTAACATGCAAATGTTACCACCTGCTATTTGTTACTGACGCAGACCGACAAACACCTAACACCAAACGACGAACACCCTCCACAAAAAGTTGGATGGATACTATGACAATGTCACCACTTCTGGTCGAGAGCAGGAGTCTGAAAAACCCACCAGTTACATGCTTTGCACATCATTACAACCACCAAAATGCCGCCTACATACTGTGTAACAAAACAGTCGCAACTGTAACATCGCTGCACAAAAAATCAAAAATCAACCTCTTCAGCTGAGTCAATATAAACAATCGTGGCCGATCAATAAGCACTTATACAAAGAAGCATTGTTTTTCAACAAAATATGTTTTAATCATCTATCTTCATGTAATCTAGATTTTATCCATGGGATTAAACCCCGGGGATTAAACGTCTGGTTACTTTTAGAGAGATCAATATTTCAGTCTAGATAAACATAGTATCAATCATCTAGTTCTGGCCTAATTATTATAATTAAGATACTCATATAATACATATACAAAAGCTAGTTAATTGTAATTACAAGCCAGCAGTTGCAAAAGACAGATTGTATGACCAGCCCATCATCTTATCAAATGAAGTTGACAGTAATTATAACTACATGTAGAACTAGAAAGTGATCTGGAGAGATTTTAGATATTTTATAGAAGTACGTTGTACACAATTTTCTATAAATGACATGAGTACCGGTTTAATGTTGGTTTTTCATTTTCAACTCATTGCGAAGTTTGTTATTTTATAGGAAACCCCATGTAAGCCTACATTGTTTTTAAACGATGCATCCGAAAAAGTTACAAATGGCATATGAAATTAAAAAATAGTACCGTGAGTCCTTGGCTCACATGGTGTTGCTCAAAAAGAGAAAAGTGAATGATGGCTAAAATGGCAGACAACAAATAAAACAGGAATCATATCGACAGAGGTCTTACAACGTGCCACTATTGTGGATTGACTGGGAGATGGGAGGTGGAAAAATCAATATAAACTAAAATGGTTAAAAATATAAAAAAGGATTCATTTTTTGGGAACAAAATTATTTCATACAACTTCTTTTTGCATTGACATGGCTTTTCACAATGCAGGTCACCTGAAATTATTTATAAAGCTACCAAATGGTCCACCAAGTGGTCCACCAAGTGAATTTCGCGCGACAAAAAATTTGAAAATACAAGTAGGCGAGCTTTTGAACCAGGAATCATAGGGAGGTTTTCTGTATTGATGTTGAACAAATATAACTTAAAACGGGAATCCTATTGACAGAGGTTTTAAAACGTGTCACTATTGTGGACTGACTTAGAGACAGATGGACAAATCAACTTAAATGCCTGAAAATAAAAAAACAGATATTATTTTAGGGCGATTTTTTGTAACAAAATTATTTCATACAACTACTCTCTACATTGAAATGGATTTTTACAATGCAGGACATCTAAAATATTTATAAATGTACCAAATGCTCCAAAAGTGAATTTCGCAGGACAAAAATGGCGGCCATTTTGAAAAAGGCAACACGTGAGTTGAAAGGATCGTGTCTCGAATGAAAAAATTGCTTGCCACTTTGGACATCTTGCCAGGATAAAGCTGATGCCAGAAGATGTAGAATTATTTACTAGGTTACCTCACACCACACGGGAGAATAAATCAAAGTAGTAAATATTTAATCCCTATTTCCTTATTGCTTATCTATGTCTAGAGATTCCATTATGTAATTATTTTTCTGATCTGAAAGTGCACTTTGCTTTACAATTTATGGATATCATAAATGTTCATATAGAAATACAATTTCAACATTAGCACATCAATAGAAATAATAAATGATGCATAATGATAATGTTATATAAGAAAGACTGCAATCTCCGATCAACTCGTTCAGTGCAATTGTGCCTCTGAGCCTTCTCGTGGAAGGAATACACTGGACGAACTGACATGGAGAATGGGAAGACTGCTGTGTCATTCTACTTGATCACCTCACATTGCCTTTGCTTATAAATGATGAAGATTATTCTACAATAGGCCAACTACAAGGGTCATGCTCATTATGAATCTCAGATGCAATGTCTTGTGGATGAGTGGCATTATAATGTCATCGGAATGGTCACCTTGACTTCAGGTCACACATGTGATCAAAGGCAACTTCAATGTTACTGAGGTCAAGCAAGGTCAAAAACATAAGTCACATTCAATATTTCAAAAAATGTTTTCTTTACTTTTGTTGTTCTGAGAATTGCCTGAGGCCCATCATCATTAGGCATTGAGGGGGCAGTTGTAAAAGACAAGGTCTTTTGTTTTCAAAGATGTGAATATTCGAATGAATAAAAAGTCTAATGGCTAAATCAGCGACAGACATGTAGAGGTTAAAACAATAAAATTTGAACAGATATGCCAAATAAAAACTCAAGTATCTCAAAAATAATCTATGATGCCTTGTCAAATGACTCAATTATTTAAGAATTAAAATCAAACGCGAAATTTTGTAAATTGCTCAAGATAATAAACATGTTGTTACAAAAAACACATAAAGATAAAAAAAACTACTAAAACCAGTTTTTACATTTTTTGCATTTTTATGAATTTACATTTTTGTGTCCATTTTGTTATTTAAATTGATATTGTTTCACCGTAAGTTGCAAAAGGTATCAAAAATTACGAAGGGCAAACGGGATGAAGAAAAGAAGGAACTAAGTTTATGATGTCTGGAACCTTGGATCAAAGGATGAGACGACAAGTCTAGAAATCCTAGTCTATAGTAGTTAATACCCAATTTAATCACAATTTCCTATATTGATTACTCATGTCACGATAACATAGTCATGCTGATCCAGAAAAAAAGTTTGCTTTTCTAAATAATTGGGATCTAGCAAAAACTGCAAAAGTTCATTGAACCTTATACATTCTGAGAATACACCATGGCATTTCAAGTTTCAAAAGCATTTATTACAAGAATACATTTGATGATGATTACTAATTCATTATAATGCTGGTGGATTTCATTTTGATTTACACCAGCAACCAGAATAAACTCACTCATATGAGGGATTGTTTAATTACTAAAATGCAATTATACAATGAGTAAGTACTGTGGATGTTCTATTAATAAAAGTAAATCATGGTAAAAAAGAGCATTATCTGCATGTTTTTAATTAGAGAAAATCAAAAAATCTAGCATTAAGCAGGGATGAATTCAATAATCATAAATTATATGATAACATGTAAAAGGCATGTAATTCTCAAGAAGGATTAATCTAATGTACGATTGATTAATAATGATGGATAAATTGATCTGAAATCAGGAGTGCCAGGAGTGAACCCATCAAACTTAATCGCAGTGTGAATAAACTCCTGTATGGTTACCATACACCATAAAATGGCATGTGTTCAGACATGGTAAAAAAGAAACATTCACCTTATCGAATATTTGTTTTCTTTGATCTATGACCATTATTTCGCAAGATTAATATTGAAAACAAAAATTGAAGTTGAAACTCATTCCGTTACTTTACATCAATTGCAACATACATATAATATCTCATTTAGAAACATTCAAGTAACCACCTAAAAATTTATGAACTGAAGAATTTGGTACCCTCTAACATGTACCTGAATTTGACTTCTAAAATGACCAACAAGATGGCTGCCTAAAACTTAATTGCAGTAGAACTAGGTAACAAGTACATTAATATGAAGAAATTCCAAAATGAGCTGTATGCCTGCAAATGTGATGACAAGAATTATTGAAATTGTTTTAAAAAGTTAATCAGCTCAAGAACTTGGTACCCTCTAACATGTGTAGGAATTGGAGGAAAACTGACATTATTCCTGGAATTGTAATGACAGAAAACAGAGACACCAATCATGATAATGAGCACAATCATATCACACTGCTGTCATGACGATGATGGTGTGATAACAATATAAATTTGGGTAGGGAAGACCAAGGCAAAATGGCCTTATACACTCTAAATTGTTAATACCTGCACTTCTTTATTAATTCATGATCATAAAGACAAAAGAAAAAAGTAATGTATTAGAAATAATCTGTTTTTATTCTCCATGATCAGTCAATGATTTTAATTGTAAACCTTTAAAGATATGACATTCCATTGATCGATTAATTTTGACACATAATTGACCTTTCTTTTATCAGACAACTGATAATTATGTTGATGAATAAAAAATACATAATATTATCAATTATCAATATATGTCTGAAATACCAATTGATCGAAATCACATTTTTGTTTTATAAACAAAAAAATGTACTTTTAATCATAAAACAATATCGATACAGAGCTATTTTTGATCATTTGTTACAGTGAAACCTGTTTGTCCTAAACCGTTAATGGTACCACACCAAATTGGCACCATTCAGGGGATTTTGCTTATGAGACAGATAGATGATTGTGTGAAAATGCACTATGAATGAAAGTATATATACCATTTTAAAGCCTGCTTAATACATGTACATTTTTTAATTAGTCAGGCTCAGTTCCACATTTTGTAATAAATGTTAGTTTAGAGTAGTAGGAGTATAGTGTCTAATATTCAATATTCAACCTGGTAGTGTTAGTCCTTAACTAACCACCTACCAGGACACAGGGCTAGAAGTCAGTGTAGACACGCTCTATGTGTTCATATCCAGCTCGCACAAGATACTGGAAATTTGTGTTGTCTTTTAATGTTCCTAGCTCATCAGCATTGAGAAGAATTTCAGGACTCGGTAAAAAGTTTTGTAAATTCATCCCTGGAAATAAATAAGCAATTTTTAAAATATCAATTTTTCAAGATTTGGCAAGTTTTCATTTTCATGTCCTGTTTTTTTTTTATTCTTTGTACTGACCTAATGGTGCACTGCTGTAATATCAAACCCCTGTAACTCCTAATAGTATATTATTTTTAAGCTCATTTAAAGCCAAAAAGTACATCACTATAGCAGTCTTATTGCGTCAGAGTTTTGTATATATGAAATGAAATATTACCACAATGCACAATCATAACAACACGACACTGATAAAGTTGAGAAGTTCAGGATGAAAGAAAGTAAACTTATTCGAGTACAATGTCCCTGAGACTGAATCGTCTGTGAGTGACATGAAATTCAATAATCAATTCACAAACACAATAGACACCTGTGAATTAAGACTCAGGAGAAATTAAATCAAAATAAACCAACAGTGGAAAATGGATAAAAGAGAATAAATAAAAGGGGAATAAAGTAAAAAGGTATGGAGTACACACTCAGAATTGCAAGGAAATGCAAGAAAATATAACAGTTAATTAAAATGTTAACATAAAATGTAAATGATCAGAGACATTTTCTGAATAGGTTAAACTAAGACAGATAAAATGGATAATATGCCACTTAATCTTAATCTAAATTACCATGCTTATATACCATCCATTTCTCTAATTTGAACAAACTGTCTTTATCCTTGTACACCTAAGTGTAAGTGTTCTTTACTTTATCCTTGCTATTTTCAGTTCATGTTTGAAAATATTTTATCTTAAGGTAATGAGTTGATCTTATATTCAAAAGGTAATTAACAAAATTGACTCCCTAGAATATATTGCACTTGTCAGCTGTCCTTACTCCTATATAATCCCCTCCTTAATAATTAAAAGATTTAGACTCTAAGTACAAAGACAAACAACATACGAAATACTAATTAGTAAAGCATTTAAATATATCTTAGAAATGCTTTATTTGAATGTAAATTCATTAGTGGAACCACTATGTATTTCAATTTCTGTCCTTGGTGCCCTGGTCAGGTCATCATGCCATACAAAACTGTGAGGAGTCTGCCAACTAACCTTTCTGGTTACTCAAAATATCTCTCTGTTTAGACTCGTACATTATAACATAGATAAATTAAGTCAACAAAGATTAAATTAAGAAATATAGACGGAAGAGCAGGTGTTTTATCAACAAATCTATATGAGCAGGGCTAGGCACAAACGTTTTCTGTACCTCAACAGTTTATAGAAGGCGAAAATACAGTCATGTTCAAATGTAAAATATAAAATGATAATAATGATAAGGAATGCCTTAGAGTTACAATAATTTGTACCTTCTGTGTATGCCAGTTCAACTGTTTTGAAGAAAATTGTGTCCCTGTTTTTCTCTAAAGGATCATCCTCTTGTACATCTTCCCAAGTTTGTCTGTCTCGCAGTAGAGCCTGGCACCAGACATGGAGCCGCAGAGCCTCATAATCTGGCTCCTCCTGTAAAATTGGGGAGAATGGGTACAGTATAGACACAAATATGAACATTTTGGTTGTCACAAGAATTCATGAAAATTATTGCATTTTATAAAGTCGAAAAAAATCAAATCGTTAAGGGATAACTTCATAAAAAATGGAATTTAAGCACTAAGCAAATTCCAAATGGTATATTGTATCACCTTAAATAATTTCCTACTAAATTCACATCCTTACGATACTGAAATATAATATGTGTATCACTAATGCTTTACAAAAATGGAAGATTTATTGAAGCACATTTATGCAGTTATTTGGTTAAGTCCTGCTGGAACTCCTTCATACTGGAGCATTGAGATCTGTCATTTAATGTCCTACACTGTTCACTTAACAATGCACTTTGCATCAAAATATAGATGGTAGGCATAATATTACATCTGTATTCTGTATATCTATTTCCCCATTTGGTAATTATCGAAAAACAATTATTGACATCTTTTTTTTATCACGCCTAAAGTATGCTTGATTTTTGGTAATGATAGCATCAATATTTTGAGTTGTATTATTTTAAAAGTTAACAACTGAATTGAATTGTTAATGCTGGATATTCTATGACTTACCCTATCCACATAATGTAGCAGATCAAGTGCCTTCTTGAAGTCAAACTCATTGGCCTCACAGTTAGCCTCACTCACATACACCTGAAATAGAAATACAACATACACATTACTGCATACGCTTCCTCAATAGCATAACTGAAACACAACATTGGCCTCACAGTTAGCCTCACTCACATACACCTGAAATAGAAATACAACATACACATTACTGCATACGCTTCCTCAATAGCATAACTGAAATACAACATTGGCCTCACAGTTAGCCTCACTCACATACACCTGAAATAGAAATACAACATACACATTACTGCATACGCTTCCTCAATAGCATAACTGAAATACAACATTGGCCTCACAGTTAGCCTCACTCACATACACCTGAAATAGAAATACAACATACACATTACTGCATATAGGCTTCCTCAATAGCATAACTGAAATACAACATTGGCCTCACAGTTAGTCTCACTCACATACACCTGAAATAGAAATACAACATACACATTACTGCATACGCTCCCTCAATCATCCTCTGATCACAGGGCTTCAAAATCCAGAATATGTTCTTTCTTTTTACCCCCTGCTATAAGCAGTTACCATTTCCCCGATTAAGAACTCGCAATCTGATCGGCTGTCACAACACTGTGATAGAAATCATGTATAAGTCACTGCGCATAATCAGATCACGTGATTCAGTTTAATCGGGCGCTTCCAAATTGGTTACAGCAGGGGGAAGAAGGAGGTACGGATTCTGGATACCTGCTTAGAAGGATGTCCCTCAATAGCATACCTGAAATACAACATATATAATTTAAATGGTAAAGGATCCAAAGTGTAATGAGTTTTACATCCCAGTTTTTTCATGTCATGTTCACTCCAACCTCAATATTACCAAGGATGTTTATACATTTATAATGAAAGGTATACCTTGTACATTTAATGCACAGCAAAGAGAGGGCTATACAAATAGCTACTAAGATTCATACAAATATTTTACCTCAATGAGTTCTTTAGGAGGTAGTACCCTCATGTCTTCGGGGTCCATTCCAAGACCCTAGAAGAGAAAACAATACATAGGATTATATCATGTGATGTTACATTGATTATTATTGCATTTCGTAGAATTAAATTGCATCAGGTTACAATGAATCACAATACATGATGTAAGACAAGGCATTAACATGCAATATGTCACCACCTTCCATTTGTTATAGACGCCGAACGTTGACTGTCAAATGATGAACACCATCCACAAAAAAAGTTTGAGACTAAAACACTTGTGGTGGTGACATAACAATAATTCAGAATTGGTTTAAATACATGTAAGGTTAAACTATTTTTATTTTTTTATTTTTTATTTTATTTTTATATTTTAAGGTTAAACCATTGATCGCATTTGATTGTTCGTTTGATTTTTAATAGTGGAGTACTAAATTGAAGTATAAAACACAAGGGTTGCTTGTTAATTGAAATGTATGAATAATTATCTTTGTTTACTTGTACGACTGTTTCAGGTAACATCTCTTGGTGAAGAATCAACTCAAGCTCATCGTTTAACCCTGGAATATAGAATATTATTGAATACTAGAAGATAGACTCAACAAGGCATTAACATACAGAATGTCACCATCTGCCGTTTGTTACAGATGTTGAAAACCAACTACCGAACACTGTCCACAAAAAATTGGAGACTAAAACAAAATGTTCTGATGTTGACATAATATACTTGACATAATATAATATAAATAAGTATAGGACAATCTAGTTAATCATGCAAAATATAATTAATTATTCCTAATTATCAATTACTCTGGTTTTCTTCCATTAACAAAAGGGGGACAGATTTATTAAGGTCTTATCTAACTAAATATATTTCAACTAAGGTAAGGTAGATGAAACAATGACATTTAACTATAACAATTGCCAATTAAGATGGCGCTGTTTGTTATCTTTGACCGATTTAAAATCTAATCTTGTGAGATCAATTTGTCAATCTAACTGTCCATCCTCAACATATGCAATACAATATAGAATTTGAAATATTTCAACATTCACATCCTCAGACTGCATTGGGCTCCAGATATCATCCACCACATTCCATCCTATGATATGAGTTTTGAAGGCCTGTGTTTTAGAGGATGTACATTCAAAACACAATTTCGAATATCTGACATTTTGAATTTTACCTTCAATTTCATCCTGAACAGAGGGAGGGGGCTCATCTGATGCAAGAGCTGCCAGTTTACCTAGACTTAGTAAGGTCTGTAAAATAGAATATCAACTTTTCAAACTATTTATCAAACTATGGTGATCAATCATGACTGCATATTTGCCTCCTAAACTAGAGGTAATTCATAGCAAAAAATACAACCTACAGAGTTGTAAACACAAAAAAACATCTTGTATTTTAAAGGGAATAGTGGCCGGATACCAAACAAATCAAGACAACCTCATTTATTCATTCAAATGCTTTCGACATTTTTTTATTAACAATAATAAGTCTCATATTGTATTTATAAACTTACCTTTTTCTTTGAGGCTGATTCAGTTTCACTGAGAGCCAATTCCTTTAGAGTCTGGTGAGCCTGTAATTTGAAAAAGAATTTGTGAAAATCTGACGATGCAAAAATCTACTTAGGGGTTTCTTTAGAAGTTACGATTATAGACAAAGTTAATAATTGTGATATTTAAAACAGAAAGTATGCACAATTCCTCAAAACAACAGGTGATTTTTGTAAAACAAAACAGAAGAAAATTAACTGTTGCCTGTTGTTAATGGATACCCCTACAGTATACAGCACTTAAACCTTCCATTTGTGTTACATGCAACTTGATTACATATTTCTTAAAATTGTTTAGTCTTTATTAAGCCAACTGTACAATCACAAAAATGTCATATTTGCAAACATTTGGTTATGAAAAGACATATATCATCACTGACTGGCCAGGGATTGCATTCTTGAAAGAAAATGCTGCCACATTTATGTATTTTTTTATTCACTATAATGTTATAAATTGTATTCAATAATTCATCAATCCATCATACCTGGTATAAATTGCTAGTGTGAATATCATGAAGCCAGCTGAGGTACTGGTTCTCATCAGACCTAAGGAACTGCCCCAGTTGCTCATTACTGCCCAATGGCTGGGAGAGAAGCTTCCCTTTCTTGCCTTCATCTCTGTACCATTTGAAGACAAAATCAGCAAACCCCTAAAAACAATGAACAATAAGGTGAAGTAAGAGAACTGGGTTATTGAGTAGTGAACTAAATCAGGGCATTCTTTGAAGATAAAAAGTTTTTTGCTTAACCAGTAAGCCAGTAATTAAGCTGACATATTTTCCTACAATATGGTACCAAACACCACTTGTTAAACCTGGTGGGTACCAAACCCCCTTTCATTCCATATGACATCCAGCTATATAGCAACACCAAAGCTATGATTATTGACTGAGATTTTACCTTATCTTGAAACTGAACCATATATCTCTGAAGCCTATCTTGGGTGTCTGTCTTTTCACATATCTCCATAAGGCTGGGAAAGTCCAAGTATTTCTCAGCCAATGATGCTGCTCTCTCATACTGACCATGTTTCACTGCAATATCAACACTTTCAATCTTCAACTTCGGATACTACATAATACACATCTGAGCACCTGACATGTAATCGGGAGGTTGTGGGTTCGATTCCCACCAGGGTGGAGTGTCTTTTTCACATCAGCCCTTAGCATAGGATTTGATCCTATGTTTTCAGATTAACACATCTGTTTTCTATTTACTTTATATTTTACCTTGAGTCAGTACATTTGGCTCTGAATAGGAGAAATGTATATTCAGTTTTGATGATGCAAAGATCTTAGTGATCCCGAAAGTAGCTGTCATAGCCTTAATGAAAATATCTGTATGAATAGAAGTGAATACCATGTTCTTATGAAAGCATAAAATCCAGTAAATGTTACTTTGACTGATTAAGTCTAAAGGATTATCTCTATCTCAAACAGTGCAAGTGTATCTTTTAAAGAAGTAAAATTTAACTATTGGAATTGGGTATTTATATTTTGGTAGTATTTTATTATTTTTACTTAGATCTCTCAAGCAGTCTAGATTTAGAGAATGATGACATTATGTATGAAGCTTACAGAATGGAGCAATCAGCTTGGCTCTCTCAGATTCGTAGGCAGCTAAGATCTCTGGGTAGTCACCTGACAATGGGTTTGTTGTATTCACCTGTATTGGAGAAATATGCATTGGAATAATAAACCACGAATCAATGGTTTTATAATATGTAACGGCCTGATAAAATAATCCTACTAGCAACTTATACTGGATTCTTTTGAACAACAACTGCAGAAAACCGAACACAAACATTGTCCACAAAAAAAGTTGGAGACTATAACAATATGTCACCACTTGTGTCTATTTAAAAAACACAAGTACATTATAGCTGTAAGTTTCCTTGTCATGACTACATCAATCAGAGATGCATCAATAAGATGTAATGCAAGGCGACTATAATTACTGAGAACATTCCCCGCTGATACACTGGGTATTATTTGTGGTAATGCCTGTGTCACATTTGCTCCGATCCATCGGCCGGCACCAGGCTGATTGAGTGTTTTGTACACTGGGTGTTATTAGTGGTAAACACAGTTTATGAAATCAGTTTTAAGTGACTGAACACCTTTAAAAGTGAACTTCAAATGTTATACTTCTGTTCCATTTTTCGAATATCCCATTGTGAATAGTAGAGTATAACCAAGCGAGTCCATGAAAGCAACATCACATAATAAATGGGTTTACCTGAGATAGGTATCCATCTAACTGTACATCTGTCAGAGTCAGTAACTGGTGGAAAAGTTCCCCTTCTGTCTGGGCATCCCGACTACTTCCTAATCCAGCACTACATGTCGTGTTGTGCTGAAATAAAATGGTTAGATTTAATATAATATATAGCAGGTGTATTAAATTGCTTTGTCATGGAGCATTTTAACAATATCTTATTGAGAATATCATATAGTACTTGGTGGTGAGTATCTTAAGATTATTATATTCACCTGTTTTGAAACAAGGGCCCTGATTCCATTAGGTCCAAGTGATGCTGTCCATGGAATAAATGGAGGCCCTCTTGCGTTTGACAGGTTCAGCTGGGCTTTGCCTTGTCTGTATTGCCAGGCATCATGTAACATTCCCTGAAATATATATGTCTTAGATTTATGATAAAGCATTGTGCAATGTACCATGGTATTACATACTTTGATAATAATCAATTGCATTTAACCTCTGTTATTTCAAATGATTCATTAAACAGTTTTTCACTTGCTTTAAACGATCATATAAAATTGAAAGGTTGTGCAAAATAAAGAGATGGGCATGACCTTGACATAAAAAGGTATTATTGTGATAAACACCCAACAGGCATAGAATATTGAATACTTACCACTAAGATCGTGTTAACACCAGAAATCATTTTGATTGTATCCTGTGGGGATATATTTGTGGAAAGGGTTTCCTGCAGAACAACCATCAATGACTCCAATATGTCATCTATCCGCGACACCTGATAAAATGAAATAATCAAAGGATGTTTGTTACACAGTTTTCTACAAACACATATTATATGTTACTAGGTTACTCTTTGTTGATTTTGTCACATACACTTTAAAACAATTTTAGTGATTATAATTATAGTTTTTTGAATTATCCCTATTGCAGGGGTTTCATTAGCAGCAGGCAATTTTCACCAGTTGTTTTGACAAAATTGCCTGTTGTTTTCAGGGACTTTTTAACTTTTCCATGATTTATGATTTCCATTAATTTTGCCCGTTGTTCTCAATTATTTAGCCTATGAGAAATTCTAGTGAAACCCCTGCTATTGTGTTTCTTGGTTTCTATATATGAATTACACAAGTTACAGATTATTTTCATTTGTGTACATGTTTTATTGCTACTTGTTGATTGTACTGTTAACTGCCCTACCTCTCTGTAAAAGAGATCCTGGGGGGCCAGGCCTGGGGGTGGTACACTGTCCCCCCTACCCTCAAGCACATGCCTGATTGCTGCATCCACCAAACCAGGATTCCTATCAACAAAACGAATTGATTAAAAGAGGCAATATTGATATACATATTTCAGGTTTCAGATGCTTTAATGATTTAACAACATTTTTAAAATTACATTCACTATTTTTCATTGTGGATTTTTTTAACAGATACTGTGTCATGTATACATAAAATATGTAATAAACGATTATTGATATGTAATAAAGGATTAATAATAAAATTTCAGCAACCTGGGAATTCATAAACCTAAAGATCATTAAAGTCTTTACCATCTAGTATTAATTTCCATAAATCAATATTTGGTAACATAAGAGTTGGAATGGGAGATTTAAAAAAAAAAGAATCATATATAGGATCTAATATAACATCACAAAGAGCAGGCCTACCAATTGTTTCTAATAAATGACAGTGTCTCTTTAAATATTGACATACTACCTCTTAAAGCAAAATTATCAATTATTTTTTGTAATTACCAGCACATTGCATCATGCATTGATAGATAACTATCATATTGTAGTTCATTATTAGCTTTAGAGTAAATATCACTACGCTTTGTTGTTTAAGAGCAAATATAATAAAGAATCAAATATGTTTGAATTACAAATGGTAATGATATATTATCCTACACTTAGTGTACTAAATGTATAATAACATGAAAAAATAAATTTGATATTTATTGGCAAAATGAATATCCGGAGGATATCGTAACGATATACTCCGGGCAGAGGATATCATGACGATATACTCCGGAAAACCCAATATGCGGAGGATATTGTGACGATATACTCCGCTTGTTGATTTCCCGCCAAATTGACTCTATTTGGCATGAAATTCATTTTACAATGATATTATACATTTAGTACACTCCTTGTAAGTGTAGGATAATAAGAACATCCTATGATTTTTTTCAGAATATCATTTTAATCTACTCGGTGATATTGATATATGCACTCGTTCGCTTCGCTCTCTCGTGCAAATATCAATATCACCTCGTAGATAAAAATGATATTCCTCAAAATCATAGGATATCCTATAATTATCTTTGTACAAGTGGTGGTGGATTTTATATGTAACACATAATTCATTTTCATTATTGACTTACGCTGAATGAATATTCCGTAATGTGATAGCAGCTACAATCTTCTCTGCATGTTCACACATAAGCAGCTGTGCTCTCATTGGCTGATCCCGCATGTTTATGGTGGACAACTAGCAATAACATACACGTAAAATTACAAGGTAACCCATAAAGCAGAACCCTAATCCTTCATTCAAAGATTTGTGGGTTCTGTTTTTTGGTATCTTATAAATTATTTTATCTCCACTGATAAAATAAATATTCCAATACAATTATTGATATTATGATAATTAGAACTTGGAATTAGAAGTACATGTATAAAGCAATATAGTAGTATAGGATGTAGAACTCCCTAAGGAATTATTATGAGTATTATCCAGAGATATAAATGGCTTAACATTAAAAAATTACTACTATTAACAGCTGTTTTTTAGTCAGCCTTTTCAACATATAAAATCATCACAAAGACACTGGAATTGTATGATTTATGACAAATATATGACAGGATAATCGTCACAGGATGTTTGAATAGAAATAACATAGTTACAGTATACTATTTCAATATACTCCCCTATTATACCATTGTTATCACAATATATCGGCAAATATTTATTATAGTTTCACCCCTATATAATAGCATCCTGTATATAATAAATAAATGTCATATCTATCTCATCTTTGCACGCTTGGCCTTCACTGAGTTCAGGTCAATGGTTGAATAACGATGCATTTTATGAAAATCAATAACAGTTACTGCTGAGAGAGTGCAATAATACATTTGGCCTCATTTAATTCCAATCAATGTATGTATGCATGGCCATTAATGTATAAAATGTTTATTGATCAAATATGATGCGATGGATGTTGAATTATATTTATTTGAAAAAATTGTTATGTAAAATTGTTATTTTTCTCCTGTAATAGGGGAAAATATGTGTGAAAAAACAACCAATATAATATTTAATATAAAATGGGCAATAACCTAGGTGCCAGGAGGTAGTTTTACCACCGAGTGGCACATTCATGGCAGATAACATGGCAGACCATGGAAGATTAACTCATTCCTGGCCATGGAAGATTAACTCATTGCTGGCCATGGAAGATTAACTCATTCCTGGCCATGGAAGATTAACTCATTGCTGGCCATGGAAGATTAATTCATTGCTGGCCATGGAAGATTAACTCATTGCTGGCCATGGAAGATTAATTCATTCCTGGCCATGGAAGATTAACTCATTCCTGGCCATGGAAGATTAACTCATTGCTGGCCATGGAAGATTAATTCATTGCTGGTCATGGAAGTTTAACTCATTGCTGGCCATGGAAGATTAACTCATTCCTGGCCATGGAACATTAACTCATTCCTGGCCATGGAAGATTAACTCATTGCTGGCCATGGAAGATTAATTCATTGCTGGCCATGGAAGATTAACTCATTGCTGGCCATGGAAGATTAACTCATTGCTGGCCATGGAAGATTAATTCATTGCTGGCCATAGAAGATTAATTCATTGCTGGCCATGGAAGATTAACTCATTGCTGGCCATGGAAGATTAACTCATTGCTGGCCATGGAAGATTAATTCATTGCTGGCCATGGAAGATTAACTCATTGCTGGCCATGGACGATTAATTCATTGCTGGCCTTGGAAGATTAATTCATTGCTGGCCATGGAAGATTAACTCATTGCTGGCCATGGAAGATTAATTCATTGCTGGCCATGGAAGATTAATTCATTGCTTGCCATGGAAGATTAACTCATTGCTGGCCATGGAAGATTAACTCATTGCTGGCCATGGAAGATTAATTCATTGCTGGCCATAGAAGATGAACTCATTGCTGGCCATGAAAGATTAACCCATTGCTGGCCATGGAAGATTAACCCATTGCTGGCCATGGAAGATTAACCCACTGCTGGCCAGGGAAGATTAACTCATTGCTGGCCATGGAAGATTAACTTATTGCTGGCCATGTAAGATTAACTCATTGCTGGCCAAAGCTATTTAGGAGGTTTTCTGCTGCTGGCCATTTTGATGGAAAATTGAGCAAAGGTGTATGTTTTTATATTCACATAAAATGAAATGTATCAGCACAATATAAGCCAATGACAATACAGATGTCATTAGATTAAGTGATCCAAAAATGAAGGAAAATTGGAAAAATCAAAAACTCACAAAGAATCGATATTTTATTCAGGATTAGAGAAAAAACATATCCTATTCCTTGGGTATCTAATTGCTATACAACACGACTAACAAAAAACTTTTGACAGATTTAACTAGAGAATGCCAATTATTGAAATTTTAGTTGTCCTATTAGGTTCTACTATCTAGTCTGAACATTTTAACCTGCATAAGCATCTACTGTACTTGAACAATCATTATCATACAATTTATCATATTTTTTTCACACAATGTTTTCCCTTATTTCTGTTTTCTTTGTATAACCTGGGTATCAGTTGTAAAATATATATTAGCTAAACTGTGCTAGTAAATCACTTTCAATTATTAAGGCTGGTGTTTTAATGAATAAATAATGGCCAAACATGTAGCTGAAAATTTAAACAAAATAAAAAAAAGGTTTCAACAGTCATTTATCATCCATTCTGAACAACCCTGGAGTTGTGAAAAACAGCCAAGAGATTATAAATCAAATGATACATCAAATTTTGAATAGGGAGTTGAAAAGTTGAGTGAAAAAAAACATGCACATGTACACTGTACAGGGCTGTAGCCAGGGGGTGAACAAAACCCCCTGGCCAAAAAATCATGCAGTCTTTTTATCATTCTGAACACTTTTCCTGTGATTTTTTAGCCAAAGTTGTCAAATGTGAAGTCCCCTGGAATTATTTGAAAAGTGAACCTCCCTTGGCTGACTATAGGACTGTGCCCTTTGTACTTACCCTATCCCAGAGTCCCACATTGGTGAGAAATGTTATTAGTTAGATATTCACGTACCCTTTGTTTGTCCTCTAAGTGAACTCCCATGGAATTATTTGAAAAGTGAACCCTCCCTTGGCAAAAGCTGGCTATAGGCCTGTGCCCTTTGTACTTACCCTATCCCAGAGTCCCACATTGGTGAGGAATGTTATTAGATACTCATCTGCCCTTTGTTTGTCCTCTAAGTGAACTCCCCTGGAATTATTTGAAAAATGAACCCTCCCTTGGCAAAAGCTGGCTATAGGCCTGTGCCCTTTGTTCTTACCCTATCCCAGAGTCCCACATTGGTGAGGAATGTTATAAGATACTCACGTGCCCTTTGTTTGTCCTCTTAGTGAACTCCCCTGGAATTATTTGAAAAGTGAACCCTCCCTTGGCAAAAGCTGGCTATAGGCCTGTGCCCTTTGCACTTACCCTATCCCAGAGTTCCACATTGGTGAGGAATGTTATTAGATACTCATGTGCCCTTTGTTTGTCCTCTTAGTGAACTCCCCTGGAATTATTTGAAAAGTGAACCCTCCCTTGGCAAAAGCTGGCTATAGGCCTGTGCCCTGTGTGCTTACCTTATCCCAGAGTCCCACATTGGTGAGGAATGTTATTAGATACTCATGTGCCCTTTGTTTGTCCTCTAACTGGTGAAGGATGATCAGTGAACCAGAACTGGAACCTCCACTGTCTAAAAACAAACAAAAACAGGATTTTTTCTCTCAAGTGGGTGCGAAATTCTCATTTTCACAACTCAGACAGAATTTTTTTTTCATTTTCAAGTGGGTACGAATGGATTCTCAGGTAGGTGCATTTGCCTATGACTATTAAAATTTCAAGTAGGTACTGCGCCCACTTGCTTAACTTTACTCGTAATAATCTAATTTGTGTATAATGGTGTAGAATATTTGACTTATTAAACAGATTTCAAGATCTAACGTTAATGAATTTTATATAATACTAGTACATTATATTATGATTACCATGTGGAACTGTCTCAGCCCAACGAGGATCAGAAGCTGGAAAATCATCAATCAGTTCCCTGCTCAGTGCTGCCACCATTGTGTTAAGTGGGGAACTAGGAAGCTCCATTCCTTGACTCACAGGGAACAGCTCATCAACTATAGTCTGGGCTTGTGCCTGCATTAAATCAACAGAATAAGGCACAAATATAGGAAAGTGTGTACAGTAGTTTGAACCAGTTGTTTAAAGGGACAACAAAGACTACAGACAAGTTAAAAGTACAAGTTTAAGATTTTGAAAATTCAATTTTACTCTCATTTATGTCCTGCCTAAGTCCAACAACAGACTTCCCTTTCAATTTTTATAGTATGGGACTGACCAAGGAAATTGTCATATTGACTGATGGCTTAACTTCTTGACAAGTGTCTATTCTAAAATCAAATGGGAAATGTATAAATGACAAATTGTACCAGCATACATCCTTTAAGGTTAACAGACCTGATCCCAAAACAGTATAACAAGATCTAGAGCTCGATTCCTAAATATTTAAACCATTCTTAATGAATACCTCTCTCTCATGAACACATGTGTCTAATGAACATTACTTCAAGACATTTACTCCACTGACCTCTGTATAAAATCCCCTCTCTATATTGAACACCTAACTACAGTGAACATATATATTTTTGTGGCTCGATAGATGTTCACTGTACACAGGTTTTACTGTATAAGTGTTACATACCAGTGAACCCCTACAGGCGTGTAAGAATGCTGCTTTAAGGCGGGCAGACTTGTCTTCACTCTGGCTCAATTCATCAACCTGGGCAGGAGTAAAGGCCAATGCAGACTGAAACATAGGAATTTTTGGTAAAGTAAAACTGATGAGATTAACATACAGGGTGTTCCAAAAGTAACAGGACTGTGATTTACTAAGGTGATATGGTACTGAACAAACAGTATATCGTTTGCTCTTGGTGGCATGACATATTTGTGAATAATTATTATTTTAGTTGAAAAATTTCTCCAAAACACACATAATCATATTAATCATCTACTGATAATCATTTCAAATGTCATAGTTTGAGGGAACCTCTTTTAAATTAGCATTAGCTCAATTCCTATTTATTTTTTCTTCTATTTAAATTGTAAAATATAACAATACAAGGTAAGTTTTACTTACATCTGGTCTGCTAACTGGATCATATAAGAATGAGGAGTCGTTCAGACTAAAAGTAGAGAATAACAAGTACTTAAACTCAAAGAGAAGAAAAATGCAGCATATAAAGATGTTAAGTAATTATTAAACCAAATCAGCTATCATGAAGATATCAACATTCTACTCAAAAAGGAAACAGGAAAAAACCCATCTCTTAAATGGATTGAATCTAATATTGAAGAGATTAAACAGATTAGCAAGAAATGTCACTCGATGACACCAAACTCTGGATGTTCAAGTATCAAATTTTAATGAAAGGACTGGGCTGTAGGTTTAATCTGTAATTACAAATTAAAAGTGATGAAGGTAAAACAAAGTGATGCATGCCATTGGTGTAATGAAACACAAAAACACATGCTCCTGAAGTACAGAGTCACAAAAGATATTTGGAAACAATTTAAAGACTGATGGAAAGCAATAAACAACAATAACAAAATAATGGACTTGACAGACAATGAAATATTATTAGGATATATCGACAAAAAGAATAACAAAAAAAGCAAGCCGCAAATCTGAAAGAATAAGGGTGATAATCAGAACATATCATTTCTAAATTGGCTCAGGGGAGTTGCTTGAACAATAAATTACAAGAAATGGTAGTTGTATTGAAGGAAAAAGTGTAACACTATGTATTTTGTTCCAGTGTATATGGAAGTTGTGGCATCAGGGGAATGTCCAAGCCCAAGTGTTCTCCAAAATTAAATAGCTGCCAATATATGCTAAAAATGGCAAAATTAATTAGCGCCAAATCAACCCAATCTACAGTAAAAACAATACAGGTATATTTGATAGTTAATAGTAGCAAATTATGCAACATTTACCTGGCGGAAGCAGGTATACATACTATACAGGTAAAGAAGAATGAGATTGTTATGGTGCTATAATAAAGCACCATAAGATATAAAGCGTATGAGCTTTGACATAAAGATGTAATAAAAATGTTATTCTCAGTACATGTATATCGTAATATCAATAAATTTTATAAAAAAAATTTCATGTTAATTTATGTGGACCAATGTCTGAATAGAGTTATCTAGCATGAATGACATAATGCCTTTGAATCTGAAAGGTGACATTGAAAGAGTATGAATGTAAAATCAAGTAAAATGTTCATAGCAAGATTAAAAATGCACAATTAGATTGATACATTAACTGAATTTGCAAAATATTAATTGTATTGAGTAAAGAAGTATATGCTTCTATTTGAAAACAATAATTGTAAGTAGTTCTGATCTTAAACCATTACATATATAGTAGTAGCAGGTATATTATGCATTAAGGTAACAGTTTGAAAGGAAATGAGATGTATGAGAGCATCGCAATAAAAAATGTAATAAAAATATATCATACACAGTACTGTACAATAAAAAAAATAAAAAAACAAACATAATAGTTTGTAGCACACATAATGCCTCGTTGCATGCAATAAAGTGTATTTTGTCCACTGCATGTAACATTTATCAGGGTTGTATCATATGGCAACCAACTACTGCTCTCAGTTGAGATTACGAAAATCATGTTGAATTTAAATGATCTTAATTTAAATGAAGATCTTATTGTGCTGTGTAGTAAATTGGGACATACCTAGAGAATGCATTTTCTTACCTTTGATCAAGTTTAGCTGTTGAGCTTATGGAAACCAAACCATGGACACTGGAGAAAAATAGTCCCATCTTGTCACATATTCCTGGTAAATAATACATCAATAAAAAATGTGGTGAAATGTCGTAATAGTGGGTATATATTCTGTATATCAACATTTAATGGGAAGAGGTATGCATTAACATATACCTGCTTCCTCTCACTAAAAAGTTCAAATGGATAATAGATATAGTAAACAAAAATTTTTGTTTGCGTTTTTAAGAAAATCAATACTCCGAATAAGTTTTGACAACCCTTTTCAAAAATTGTTCAAATATAAAACAAATGTATTCATGAATTCTCAGCTTTTAAAATGCTAGCATTTTAGCTATTATTGGCCTGGTATGGGATCATAAAATAAAATTGCTGAGTTCACTGACACCACTAAATATGCCATAATTATACAAGGCATTAACATGCTAAATGTCACTACCTGCCATTTGAAATAGACTCCAAACAGACACCAACCACCAAACCCTGAACACCAACCACCAAACATCATCCACAAAAAGGTTGGAAATTTAACAATACTTGTATGTCACAACTTGTGGTGATGAAAGATAAAACTAACCTGCTCCCAGCACTCTGTCTCCTCTCATCTGGAAGTCAACCTTGTCAGGCACCTGAGAGCCTGCCTGGCTAGCTGGACAGATAACAACTGATTCATTATATAAATAGGTAGCTTCTGTAGTACCATCGGGCACCAACAGATGGCAGTCAAGGAGCATATTCTCATCATCTTCATGATATGGCTGAGTGAATGCAGACACTTGGAATGATTGAAAACTCTCAGGAATTTGATCACTATGAGCTAGTTTCCCTGTGGCATAGTAGATCAGTTGCTCTGGGGACTCTGTGTTGGTCCCTGCACCAAGCACAATGACTCCATCTCTTGTTAATTGCAGGTCTAGCATCCATAACTTTAGACCAGGGAGGTGGGAGGCATCCTGGCCCCATATTGTCTCTGAGAGACACTCTCTGAAGATTCTCTGGACTTCACATTGGTATACGAGTCTCTCAGCCTGGCCCAGGAGGATCCATTTCTGTAGCACATGGCCAGACAGTACATAGAATGCCTGACTGTGATCCTCGAGTACCTCACCTATAATGTAAACATACAGAACATGAAAAACCTGATGAATGTAGCACATGACCTGAAAGTACAATAAAGAATATCTAACTATGATTCTGTGAACCTCTTGTTATGCACCTTGAATATAATGCAAATTCTATAGTTTGCATGAAAACATAGTACGAGTATGTGATACAAATGTATTGATGTCTTATCATGTGACACATAGCAACAACAATAAGTCTTTAAGTTAGTGAACACATCTCTCAAGTGAAAACCTGTCTCTAGAGGACACCCTTCCTTTACACATACTCAAATGACCTTAGTATAAATTACCCTTTCTCTGGTGAACACCTACCTACAGTGAATACATTTTTGTGGGTCCATAGATGTTAACTGTACAGAGGTTTTTCTGTACTGTATAATACTTGTAATTGAACATGTAATCTTACCTGCCAATACAGTCTGAAGCAGAGCACCAGTGGACTGTGCTGGCAATGATCCAAATATGAAGGAAGACATACGTCTCCCAAATCCTGCAAGCATTCCCTGAGGAGCCATTACAGTTCGGCATGTCACAGCATTCTGGGAAGGTGCTGGAACTACCTGGACCAGGGTGCTGGTAGTTGTTGCGAGAATAGATCCATGTGGCTGGAGATTCGTCAATGAAACGCATTCCTCACCTTTTAAATCAGCACTTATCTCAACAAAGGAGCCCTCATGTGTGATATTAGCCCAGTAGCGTATGATCCCCTCTGCAGAGACTGCAATACAGCTTGTTGCTTGGTGGTCCTCTTGTGCTGCGACAACATTCACGAGCCCTGCCTGATGGTCAAGATCACTCGGTGGGAGAGTCAGCTGTTTACAGAGAACACTCTTACCACTGCTTGATGTTTTGTAGCGCCACACAAACAATTTACGACCAGACACAAGCCATGCCCAGCCAGATGGATCGACATGAACACTTGTCTTGGTTTCACCTAAAACATAAAGGATCATACTGATCAAATTTTAAGAAGGATTTTCAAATTATTTTTTAGAATAAAGACAACTGTTTTTCATTCAAAATTGACCATATGACATCACAATAATCAAAAAAGAGTAAAATTCATGAAGATATAATTTTAAGATGAATATTGATGATGAACTCCTCAATTCTTTCAAATCCTTAACATTCTTTCCAAGGTGCACATGACTTAATCAGATATCCCTTGCTATGGTGCTGTAGGTTTAATTCTTATTAAGGACATCTATTGTTCGATGCCTGTTTCCAACTGCATCTGTTTCAAAGCAAATTATTTATAACACAGAGAGTCAATTCTCCATACTTTGCACTGATACCAAATTCTTTCAAAAGTCATATTTGTTTCCTTGGCCTTAACTCCTCGAGTGTAAATTGTTCAAAATAGATGAAAAATGTATCAGTTGGTGTTCTCTTAAAACAAATCATTATTAAAATTGTTCAACTCCATTGAGAAGCCAATCTCAACCATGTATAAATGTACTCAAATTCTCTCAAAAATGGCTTTGTATAAAAAACCTCCTACCCACGTACCCTCGTACCCACGTACGTGGGTCCTAACCCAGTCTTTAAAGAGTTAAATTTTTAAATGTTTAAAACATTATTCAATCTCAGTTTATCCTGAATTATAGATGAATTTATGCATCCATATGCCTTTATTTATAGGTCTGACATCTCTCTAGTAAAATAAAATAAAGCCGGAATTGCATAAATGTTCATTATTTTTGAGCTATTTGATTTATGTTTTTGATATGTCGAAATGTTTTTTGTTAATCGGGCAGTCTTACCTGTATAACACATCAGTGCTGATTAGCAATCTCCTAGCCTTCGTTCAGTGCAATTCGTGCCTCCTGTTACCTCATGCAGATTGTAAATGTCCCGGGAAGTTTACCCTTGTCCAAAACTTGACATCTTTTTAAAAATATATTTCTTAGAGTTTCCAACCAATTAAATTCACCACATTTTATTAGATGTTTATTTCAAATGTTATTAGAATTCATTCTTACGAATATTATACGTTATTAACGTATGTTAGTCAAAGATTTGGTGTCGTTGTTGTCCATTGTATTCACGTTTTACGCGCAAAAAGCTAGAAACTACAAAGCTGAACTTTTATCATTCAAACCAGTTTTACATCAAATCATTGTCAAAATAAAACTCTACTCTTCATATTACCTAATTATGGATCAAACGGCCATGAATAATGTCGAAGTTTACAAAACCAAACTTACACTCCCCTGCATAAGTTTGGCAACTCTAACTTTTAATTCCATCTAAATGATTCACTGAACTAGTGCGCACAATTATCCTTAAATTGTGCCATAAAGCGATTAAAAACGAATATAGCGAATCCTTCTACTTTTCAAATATTGCGCCACGGTTAAACAGAAATGCAGCCTTTATTATTCCTTGAGATCGTGTGTATTGATCACTCTATCACTTTGTATCTCCAATTCTGATGTTAAATTAAATAAAAGACATGACAAATTACACGTATAGTTCAAATCTGTCGTGCAAACAATGAATACTTGTAATATCGTTTGAAAGAATAAAAAGTATATGTGATAAAAATCGAAACTACAGGGTGTTAAAAAACAGGACCGATGAAAAGTTGAATAACTTCGTCAATCCAGAATCATTCAGGTCATTCAATGTGAATTTTGTTGTGAAAGTTTGACCATATTCTGCTTATGGAGTCAAAAACTACAGCACTTACAACACATGCCCCATGTGGCCAATTTGCGCCAAGCAATAGATTGGTTGTACACTGTAATTAGACTGCCCGATCAACAAAAAATCGCTTCGATATATCAAAAACAACACTCATATAGCTCAAATGAACATTATGCAATACCGGCTTTATTTTAAGACGAGACAGATGTCCGATCTAGAAATAAAGGCATATGGGTACATAAATTCATCAATAATTAAGCATACATTGAGATAGAATAATGTTTAAAAAATGTTAAAGATTTAACTCTTTAAAGACTGGGTCAGGACCCACGTACGTGGGTACGAGGGTACGTGGGTAGGAGGTTTTTTATACAAAGCCCTCAAAAATCATAATTGTTTCCTTGGCCTTAACTCCTCAAGTGTAAATTGTTCAAAATAGATGAAAAAGTGTATCAAGCCTTTCTCAACCATGTATAAATGTACTCACGTTCTGCTAATGTTAAGGCCTCTGTGACAAGGACAGGTAAGGGAGCCCCATAGCTCTCAACACTATGGTTTGCTGTTTCTTCTATCACATGTGAGGCTTGCAGAGATCTATTGAAACTCTGATTTCTGAAATCAAATGTGGGCATGAAAAAGTGAAAGATAAATGTAGATCCACATTTGGGAAAGTTGGACAGCATAGATTAATGGTAAGTTTTTTCTAAATTACTCGATCAGTCTAGTCAATAAATTGGTTAGAAATCATCACAGTAGCCTTCCGAATTGTTGATTCATTTACAATTTAGTAAATGTTCAATTAAAATATTATTTAAACAATGTGTAAATAGTTGTTGAATTGAAATTGAAACCAACATGTCCTTTTTGAATCATTATCAAAGAAGATATATAAAAGAATGTGCCTACATTAGAGGGAGTAGATAACTCTGTCAGAAAGGTTTGGCTAGTGCCTACTGTGATGTCACAGTTTCCCGTTGTTTGACAGATTTTTTGGTCAAAAGGCTTCGGAACGGGACACAACACAAAAAGAGTTAATTTCTTTATAGTATTGTGACTTAAATTTCTTAAAATCACTGATATTCGGCATAATTCTCCAGATTCTTGCAAATTAAAATTATTTTTAAAATGTAAACAACCAGGTTTTATGAAAGCCATGGTCTCACTGGTCCTCGCTGACCACATGCTCAATCAACCAATGAGAATTTCTGAACTTGCTTTCCCAATAAATATGAAGCAAATATTCACTTAATTAACGATATTAAGATGGATATAAATAGGGAGTGATCCAGTGAAGCCAGGCAGTACATTTAGTATGAGGTGTCTCTGTTTATGGTAGTGAAAATGATGCACGGACAGCGTTTGAAGGTAAATCACTTATTACCAGCCACTAAAAATTTGAGAATTGTTACTTTTCAGTCTTTTTTATGCTTGTACTGTCCCTAAATGAATGTCTGAGCAAGTGCTGATGTCCATGGTATAATGTTGCTTACTACTTGATTGTCTTGTAATTGTCATTGCCAAATTCACGGGGTGCCACCATTAATTTGAATTTTAGACCTACGAGGTGTTTGAAAATCAAGGATTGTGAGTCTCATACTGCTCTTTCTTTTTTGTGATCTATGCGACACCCCAGGATTCTGTGAGTGTGGGGGTAGACAATATTCTAGTTGTACCCTGTGAGCTTGATAAATTAAGTTTTTGTGTAAATACAATATCAAGGAAATAACAAGAATGTGTTATAGTTAAATAAAAAATAACTCATTTTTGTAAAATGCAGTTATTAACTGCATTTTACAAAAATGAGTTATTTTTTATTTTTTTATTTTTTATTTTTTTAATTTCAAGTAACATTACCTGGTGTATATACCTCCTAGATGGAGGACTTCTCACTATCCGTGATTTTTACATCCTTATGAACAAGTGAACATTTGACTGCATACATAGCATAACTGCTATGTATGCAGTCAAATGTTCACTTGTTCATAAGGATGTAAAAATCACGGATAGTGAGAAGTCCTCCATCTAGGAGGTATATACACCAGGTAATGTTACTTGAAATTAAAAAAATATGAAAAAAATATGGTCACCTGTCCTCTAGATTCCATTTTTGAATGAATCGTAGCATAATGTACAGATTATTTGATATCATGCTATTCTTGAAACATTTATACACAAAAATAACTGGGTCGCTCACCTCTTATGCCTATATGTGTGTTCACTAATCCTCAATTCTCGTGAGTAAAATTTCTCCAGGCCATTGAAAGGTCCGCTCAGAAATTGACAATTTCTGCTGCGCATGTGTCATGGGTTGTGAAACACTGGACGAAACGGTTTGGTAAATTTCAAGCTATTTGATTGGTCGAAAAAATCACGCGCCTTTGCGTGATTTGCTTTATTCTCGCAAGATTTGGCGCTCCGTCCCCTTAAATTTTTATTTCGAACAACCATTATGATTTGGTGCGTTGACCAATAAAGCAGATTTGGAGGTATGAATATTTTTTTTCTTTTTCTGTTTAGTGTTTTCTACAGGCCCTATGTGTCTCAGGATCTAGACAAATAATTTATTTTAAAAATACATATTTTTTATTTTGGATGGAAGCTGCGTTACCTGAGAAATAATATATGTAATATATGGAGGACTTCCCACTAGGCCAAAAATAAAAGAAAGTCAGTGGGCGATAATAGGGAACTTTTGAAAGTGCCAAGATAAAGGCAGTATTATCCTACTTACTTTGGAGTATATGCTGTCCTCCTCTGAGGGGTGAAAAGAATACTACTCCTAGATCTGTTTTGTGCAGATCTTGCGCCACGGGATGAGAAAAGTGGCGAGGGTTTGGCTCTCGAGGCGACTTTCGGCGTGAACATTTTAACCGCCTGATTTTCTACTTATGCCAGCAAACGTCTCTTCGGATTAAAATTGAAGGTACGGTTTTATACTTAGTTTTTCCATTCATTTTATGCTACATGCATACACTATTCAATAATCATGTACGATATGAATTTATTTTTACAGTTACTAGAGCTAAAGATATAAATATACTAAAATTGGTATTCGTGATAATTTCCAGTTTGCTCACAACACTGCAATTTGGCAAAAAGCAAGGGAAATTATTACATGGGAATATTTCTGAAATTGTGACAATTCTTGGTATAACTACAAATTTTCAGCAGCCCTTTCTTTTCAAATGTATTGGTAAGTTACTCAGTGCATAAAGTGTCAATTTTAGTTGCCTTAGAAATAATTTATTCAACGTTTTTATCGGGAGATATTATTGAACAACACTCCAGGCACTAGTCATATAAATCTGACCCTCGTATGATGTTATTTGTATGACTATCCAGGCACATGCTATCTATTGCAAGACTTACGCCTGCCACAACCGTCACCATGTTAATAAGTGTTTTTAAGTAGCGCAAGGATCCTGCCATGACCGTGGTAGTGTTATTGTGTAAGCCTGGTATAACCGTGACAGGCTGGTATAACCGTGACAATGCTGTATTATATTGCAAGGCCTGTCATGACCCTGGAAGTGTTATCGTGGAAGCCTGGCGCGACCGTAGCCTTTATTGTGGTTTATAAGCGAATGTGAATATTAATGAATAGTAGTAATTTTGATTTTGACATGATTATGGTAGTTACAGTGCTGGTATATATTAATTGATAAGTCGTATTATTGGCATATTTTCTTGAATTTTAACATTTAATGTCCCAAACTCCCACAAACTGCAGAAAAGTATACACCATAAATCATATTTACCAAAATGAGTGTCTCCAAGGCTTCACACCAGCGTATGCATAGTTAATTTGTCACGAGTTTGAGCTGAAATTTCGCCAAAATGAAGTAGGCTCAGGGTAGTCTGCTCTGCCAGGTTTGTTTATTGTGGTAAGCTTGTAAGTGCTCAGAAGCAAATAATTCATGTGCGCAAAATAATCAAATAATCTGATTGGTTAAAACTTTGCTGCACATGCGCACAATGTATGCCATATTTTTTCTAGTGATTTCGTTTCGTTTCATGGAGTTTGTGTTTCAGTGTAACTTCCGCCAAAATGGCGGACAATGGACAGAATTAACAGGTAAAATCACTTCGAAATTTCAAGAGAACTTTTTACCTATAATAGCAAATCTTTTGTTTTATTTGTGCATTCTATCTATCAGATAAGAGTCTCAGGGGTATGTAGGCAAATTTATTTTGGTAGGAGCACTCTGTTTAGTTTGAAAACGCACCCTTGATTATTATATATCAGCACTGTAAACACCATGATCATAGTATTAAACTGTTTAGTTGAAATGCGGATCACATAAAATTGTTAAGGATATTCCTGGCATTATGTCATACATATTTACTAGTCATTGCAATACATTATAACGGTCATAGTAGGACTAAGCCTAAATTTCTACATTACCACCCTCATACCTGGCCTTGCAATACTATATTACATTGTCACGGTCATACCAGGCTTTGCGATCCCATAATACATTGCCACGGTCATGCCAGGTTTTCAAAAACACATTGTCATGGTCACTTATAGCAAATCATAAATTTCTATATTACCACTCTCATACCCGAACGGTGGAATATTATATCACATTGCCACGGCGGTCATACGAAGCCTTGCAATACTATATTACATTGTCACGGCCATGTCAGGCCTTGCAGTACTATATTACATTGCCACGGTCATGCCAGGCTTTGCAATACACATTGTCACGGTTATAGCAGTCCTAATCGTAAATTTCTACATTACCACTCTCATACCTGAACTTGCAATACTATATTACATTGTCACGGTCATGCCAGCGCCTTGCAGTACTATATTACATTGTCACGGTCATACCGAGCCTTGTAGAACTATATTACATTATCACGGTCATGGCAGGCATTGCAATATAATACAGCATCGTCGCGGTTATACCAGGCTTTCACGATAACATTACCACGGTCATGGCAGGATCCTTGCGCTACTTAAAAAACACTGAATAACATAGTGATGGTTACGCCAGGCGTTAGTCTTGCAACAGATACGGTCTCACTCCAGGATTTTGTGTTTGTGGCTAAGGGGGGGTGCACTTCACAGTACTTTACAGTAGTGTTGTCGCGGTTATTCGATACATTGCAATATACATCGCCAAAGCTGATTCTGGCGATGCATCGATGTCTGAAACAAAACATTGATGTTTTTAAAAAAAATTAATTTGCTAAAAATCACCCTTTCTCACAGGCTGGTATCGAAAGATTTGTCCGTTGTGACGGAGCATGCTATTCTTCATAAAAACACTGAGAATGCTTCACGATTTTTTTTTAACTCATATGTTTCGTTATATCAAATAAAATTACTTAGGGGAGGCATCAAAAGATCAATGTCTGATAGAAAACTAAATAAATCTAGTTTGGGGGGGAGGGGGTCAAAGCTATTTCAGTTTGCTATCCGACAAATTTCATACTGATACTTTATGGTACTTTTTACAGGTCTCCGTCTCAAACAGATGCGGAACGAAAAACCTATTTTAAAAATCTCGATCAAAATATTTCAAAAGCTTTAAACTTTAAGAAAAATGAAGTTGACTTAATTATAAATGGAGATTTTAATGCTCGAAATAGACAATGGTTTAATGATGATATTCAAAATCAAGCAGGTCTTGAATTAAACGAAATTTTGTGTGATTACGGTCTCAGTCAGCTGATTGACTGTGCTACAAGGGTTGCTTCATCAACAAACCAGACAACAGGGGCTACTTCCTTACATAGATCCTGTATAGACCTTTTAATTACAAATTCCCCTGGGGTTGTAACTGACTTTGAAGTATGTTCACCCATAGGAAACACCGACCACTTTACTCTCAAAACAATACTTAATGTCAAAATTCCGCGTGATCAATCATACAAGAAAACCATTTGGTTTTATGAAGATGCTGATAAAGTCTCAATGACGCGTGAAATAAACGATTTAAATCTGGATGATTTGTTATTTGATCAAAATGATCTCGATTTGCTTCTTCAAAACTTCATTGACAAATTAATATCCATATTCAACAGGTTTATACCGCATAAAGAGGTAACAATTCGACCAAATGATCAACCTTGGTTTGACCATACAATCAAAACTGAAATTAACAAACGGGACCGTCTCTATAGAAAATTCAAAAAGTCTCAAAGTTTAGACCACTTTAATCAATTTAAAGAACAATCCAAATTAGTTATTGACCATATGAATAATAAAAAGACAAATTATGAAAATGAATATTGTGAAAAAACTCAAGAAAAATCTGCTAATTCGAAAGAATATTGGCCAATGATCAAGGATCTTTTGGGTAAAAAATTCAGTAATCTCATCCCTGTTTTATATAATTATAATTTAAATAGATCAGCTGTCACAAGTCTTCAAAAAGCAAATCTTTTCTTGGAATATTTCATTGGAAAAAGCAGTATAGAGCAAAGTGACCAACTTCCACCATTTGATCATAGAACTGACCAACTTTTACATCAATTTACAACTAACAGTGAAGAAATCGTTCAAATTTTACATTCGTTAGAAAACAATAAAGCTCCTGGACTTGACAATATTAGTAATGAAATGCTCAAAATTAATGCAAACTCTCTAAAGATACCACTATCTAGGCTCTTCAATAAATTTTTACAAAATGACTTCTTCCCATCTTCTTGGAAGGAGGGAAATGTATCGGTGATTTACAAAAAAGGGAAAAGATCAGACTGCTCTAATTATAGACCGATAACATTGCTCAACTGTATATCAAAAGTTTACGAAAGAGTTATATATAACAATTTAAGTAATTTTCTCTTGTCTAAAAACTTACTTTATAAATTGCAGTCTGGGTTCTTAAAAGGTCATAGTACTACAGGCCAACTGATTTCCATCATCCATAAGATAAACAATGAACTTGAAAATGAAAATAATGTTCGTACAATTTTCCTCGACCTTACCGCGGCGTTTGATTCCGTCCCCCATTATTTACTTTTGCATAAATTATCACGATATGGATTTTCACAGTCACTACTTAACCTTATAACCATGTACCTATCAAATCGAAAAATTAAAGTCACAATAAATGGAATACAATCAAATTTCTCACTTCCTGGTCAAATAAATGCAGGTGTCCCTCAGGGCTCAATTCTTGGACCGTTATTATTTTTAATCTATATAAACGACTTGCCAGATGATTTAAATTCCCTTTGCTTTCTCTATGCTGATGATACATCACTTTATCATCCATACTCCAAAAATGATCCTAACTCCATTGACCTTTTACAAGATGATTTGAACAAACTTTCTGAATGGTCAAATACTTGGAAAATGGCATTTAAAGCAGCAAAGAGTGCTGATCTCATTTTCAGACGACCAAGAAGTACTTTAAATAATATCCCTGATTTGACACTTAATGGTGAAACTCTGCCAAAAGTAAATAGTCACAAACATCTAGGTATGCACCTGGATGACATTCTAAATTTTGACGTGCACATTGAAAACTTATTGAATAAAGTTCAAAAAATGACAAATCCACTTCGTGCATTGAGCCATAAACTTAAAAGTAAACATCTTTCTAGGATAGCGGAATCATTTATACGGCCACATTTTGACTTTCATGACATTATTTATCATACTGGTAACAAATTAACTCTTGACCGACTTGAGAGACTCCAGTACAGAATTGCATGCATTGTATCAGGGTGTTTACATGGCTCAAATACAAATTCGGTATTGAAATTACTAAATTGGGACAAACTTGTTGACCGACGTAAATCACACATAGCAACGTTTATGTACAAATTATCTTTAGGTCAAATGCCATCTTATATATCAGAAATTTTCCAACAATATAGACCAACCAGATTACATATGCAACTTAGAAATCCAGTTGATTTTCACTTACCTACTAATATATCAGCTAAATTTAGAAATTCCTGTATCTTTTCATGCATAAATATTTGGGATTCACTCCCACTTGAATTGAGATGTCAACCAACAATATCCACCTTTAAAAATCATGTCAAAAGAAACTTCTCAACCCAACCAAAGATATTTACAAATTGTCAAAATATTGATATTGATAGATTTTATGAAATTAGTTTGAACAGGCTTAGAGTAGGATTTCTTTTAAAATCACATAAATATGCTCATAACTTTCCTGGAATTTTGGATGACCTCTGTCAATGTGGAAAACCACAAACTACTGAACACTTTTTCCTTCACTGCAACCTACATATCAATGAAAGACTAACTCTACTTGCAAAACTTTCAGAGCTAAATGCAATTGAAATTTTTCTAGATTCAAATGTTCGAAACAAAATTGAATTTCTACTAAATGGAAATGACGAACTAAATATTGAAGAAAACCAAGCTGTGCTGCAGATTACTGCCAATTTTGTATTCAGCTGTAAATAACTATTTAATTTGTTTTCTGCTTATTGCCTAAACACCCCAGACAGAAAACCTGACACCACCCTTTAGTTTTTTTTGTTTTTTATAATTTTACTATGTTTGTTAAATAAAAACTGCCACCAATGTTTTTCAACTTCGGCAGTCATTACATGTGTAATTTGTATGTACTAAAATTGAATAAAGAAGAATAAAAAAAAAAAAAAAAAAAAAACAAATTTCAACATTTAAATTTTTCGCAATTTCGACTCAAAATGCCTTGGAATGGTTTAAAAATAAAGACATTACCAGATGCCTTCTTCACCAAGATGCATGCAACATGGAATATTATGCCTATTGTTGTTGGCACATGTTTTAAGAATCATAAATAAGTTATAGTACTGGCCCCATGAAAGTCCAAATTGAGTCGCTAAAACATGTGAAAAGTCCGCGATCAACTTTCATTGTATTTAGTTTTGAGGGGGAGGGGGAGGTCCAACTCAAAACTAGATTTATTTAGTTTCCTATCAGACATTGAACTTTTGATGCCTCCCCTTACTCCATGCAATGGATATATCATTTGCGGGTAACCGTCACTTCTGTTTGAAGTCCAATAACGCTAGGAATAAAGCTATTGAAAACGGCGCCAGAGTATCAAACTCTAAAATGTACCATTTCTTTTTTAACTTTTTAATGGCATGATATTGTGACACGATAATATTAACATATGTTTTCAGCATAACCCTGAATGTATTAATGAGATATTAATGCATTGGGGTCTTTTTAATTTTTTTATAAAAAATAATATTAATATTTTTTGTCCGCAGTGACGGAGCATTTTCACAGTTCACATTTGCAACTGCTCCGTCACAGCGGACAGAAAAATCAAAAATTATTTTTTATAAAAGAATTAAAAAGACCAAATACATCAACATCTCATCTATACCTTCTTAGTTATGCTGAAACCATGTGTAAATATTATCGTGTCACTATATCGTGCCAATAGAAAGTTAAACAAGAAATGGTACATTTTGAAGTATGATACTCCAGCGCCATTTTCAATAGCTTTTCTTCCCAGCGTAATTGGACTTTAAACAGAAGTAAAAGTTACCCGCAAATGATATATCCATTGCATGGAGTAAGTAATTTTCTATGGTGTAACAAAACATATGAGTAAAAAAATAAATCGTGAAGTATTCTTAGTGTTCTTATGAAAAATAGCATGCTCCGTCACAGCGGACAAATATTTCGATACCAGCCCGTGTTTCTTATCTTATTTTGACGCAAATCGCTTACCTTTCTCATGTCTTATTTCATTTTCCAATGTTTTCTGATATTCTTTCACTTTAAAACTGTTTTAGCTCGTCGAACTGAACCATTAGTCTAAAAAATTTACTTTTAATACTTTCATTTCACCGTTACTAGAAGTTCCCGGATAAACCAGCGTACTCTTATTAATTTGTTCCGTTCGGTATTTTAGTGTATTAGCGCTCGGTATTTCAGTGCATTTTTCTCTGACTTTTTCTCGATGTACATCACGATGTGCATCGATGTTTACTACTGAAAATTGCCGATGCATCTATGTACGATTATGGCACATCACGACAACACTACTTTACAGCTGAGACTAACAATCTCATTCTACAGTTGAAATTCAATTTTTCTAACTCCTTTGATTGCGAGAAATGAGAGCTTGGGTAACGAATGAGAGTTTCACTTACCTTCCAGAAATTAGTAAACACATGGGCTTTCAATAGAATGCCCATGTTACATGTAAACATTATAAACTATCAGGACATACAGAGTAGACTTTGTTGCGTTTCTTCATTTCTTTTTTTGGTTCGGATTTTCACGCACACACATATAAAAAACAGTTCACTAAAGGTTCAGTACCAATAAAAGCAATTTTTTTTCATTTCCTTATTCATAAAGGAATTCTTGGCGATGAACTGACAAAATATTGCTTCTGGGACGAGATCAAACGACTTTGACATATAATCTTCACCCTAACTATTTTGTAATTTGACAATCAAAACAAATATGTGTACATACCATATTTAGCAGATATTGGACAATTTCATTAGATGTACATGTATGTAAAAATTTCATTAATTTTGAAATTTGCAGTGGATTCTATTTTATATGCTTCTAAACGATTTCAAATGCTTACAATGATTTCTATTGTTTTGACTTCCCCGCTTCATAAAAAGAACATTATCACCACTAACTCGACTCGAAAATTTCACTTCCGAAATAAAGATTAGCTGAAAGTTGTCATGAACAACACAATTTGTATATTGACTGTAATAAAACAGGGATAAGAGCCATGTCTTACTTGACTGTTCCTTATATTTCCAGGGTATGAATCAATTAAGAGGTCTATGCAGTGCCCTGTCTAACTTGGCAATCAAAACAGCACAGCCAACATGCTACCCAAGACTCCCTCAGAATCTTCAAACTGTAGCACATAGCAGAATATTATCAAATTTTCCTCTGAATAATGTGGTGAATAACATAGGTGAGCTATAATTCTAACTTGTTTTTATATCACCATCACAGGTGGTGACATATCGTTAAAGTCTCCAATTTCTTTGTGGATGGTGTTCGGCTGTTGGCATTCAGCATTTGTAACAAATGGCAGGTAGTGACATTTTGCTTGTTAATGCTTTGTCTCAGGATAAGTGAATAAGCAGTTGTGGGTTAAGGTCTGTGAAATGGTGGAAAACAGAATCTTTTACTAGATGTGCAAACCCTGCATAAGAAGCATGGGACCCAAAAATATTGACATTTTTCAAGAAATACTGTTCTCCTGGTATTTTTCGCCCGCAATTTTTTTTTTGCGCTTTCGCGCAATTAATCTTCGCAAAATTGCCAATTAAATCGCTGAGAATTGTGAAATTACCTGGGACTCCATTGTGTTTCATGTTTTGTTAACCATTTGTCCAGTGTTATTAGGCGATAAATGGGATATAATAGAGGTTAAGGTGCAGCGTGCCATTGACCAAAATCTAGTATAATTGTAAATCCTATCCAAATATGACATTAGGTAGGTGTACTTACTGTACATGAGGCCACTTTAGTTACAGAGCTTGAGGATTCAGAAAATAATGAATTGTAATGTGTGAAATCCGATAGCTGCGAAATCGTGTTTTCTAAAAATTATCAATATTTATCATGTTTATCCAGATTTGGCAGTCATACAAGTCTTAAATAACACCCTAAACGATAATGAAAAAATATTTCATACCTCTATCTTGCTATTCTGGCCATATAATACTGCAAATGTTAGTTCATTGCAAAATTTATTAAATCGGATGTGTAACACCTTATTTGCACTTATTTTTTTGAATGGACCAATCATTGCGAGATGCATGCACAATAGCCATAGAAAAAATGGAATGGGAATTGCATTGTAAACATTTTTTTTTTCTTGCAGGAGGGAGTCAAGGTTTCGCAACCACTTCAACATTGAGGGCATCCCTTGAACGTATGCATAGGACAGGGCCACATTATAAGGTCCGACCCAAGAAGTCAAGAATGGATGGTCGTCCTCAAATGAAAGGTGTTGTGCTTAAAACCGTCATTAAAAAGCCAAAGAAACCAAATTCAGCCAATAGAAAATGTGTCCGAGTCAAGTTAAGCAATGGGAAGGAAGTAACTGCTTATATACCTGGCATAGGGCACAATTTACAAGAACATAACATTGTATTGGTTAGAGGTGGTCGCTTGCAGGATGTACCAGGTGTAAAGCATAAGTGTATACGTGGAAAATATGACTTGGCTCATGTACAAAAACGTGTTTAGTGATTTACATTTGATGACATGAAGAAGAAACAAGGGGTCCATTTTTGACATTGCTTTCTTTGATCTAGCTCATGTTTTCCTTTTAAAACTAAATGATTACCATGTTAGACAATGGACTCTGGTTCCGATGTAGTAAACATTGTGTTATATGTTACCCGAGTGTAATTGGATATAATACACAATTGTTTCAAACTTTAAAAGCCACTTTAAAAATTCAAGGATTTTGTTGAAATAAATTCAAAGCTGTCGGACTTCTTATTAGAAAGCATGTCAAAGAATGATGAGAACAAAAATTATTGTATTTTTTAAAATATACTCTCAACACATTTCTATCTTATTCCTTGTGCTTCCTAGCCTTTAGCACAATACCTTGTTTTACCTTTGATTTTTGAATATATGAAGTAATATAATGCAAAATCCACTCCATTGTTTTGGTTAATCTCATTTTTGATTTGGTTACTGTATGTGAAATTTGTAAATGTACAAACTATGGATAATAGTGCATTATTTGTTAAATACACAAACGAGGTTTAGCGTGTCCAAAATTATGAAGATAGATTCTTTTCTTACTTTAGCTTCTGCTGAATAATGGAAAATAATTAAAGGGCAAATAAATTATGAAAGAATTGATGCATATAATGATTAGTTTTCTTGATTCCATCGAGTTTCCCACAAATCTAATGCCCATTGACTAAGTTTCCCACAAATCGAATACCTATTGACTAATATTCCCACAAATCAAATGCCCATTTATTTGGTTTCCCACAAATCAAATACCCATTGACTAAGTTTCCCACAAATCAAATTCCCATTGACTTGATTTCCCACAAATCGAGTGCCCATTGACTTGATTTCCCATGTATCATATTATGACAATTGACTTGGTTTCCCACAAATCAAATGCCCATTGACTTAGTTTTCCACAAATCGAATATCTATTGACTTAAATTCCTACAAATCAAGTGTCCATTGACAGCTTCCCTCAAATCAAATGCCCATTGACTTGGTTTCCCAGAAATCAAATGTCATTTGACTTATATTCCCACATGCATATCAAGTGCTCATTGACTTATTTTCCCACATTCATATCAAATGCCCATTGACTTGATTTCCCTCAAATAAAATGTCCATTTACTTGATTTCCCTCAAATCATATGCCCATTGACTTAGTTTCCCACAAATCTTATCAAATGCCTATTGACTTGATTTCCCTCAAATCAAATGCCCATTGACTTAGGTTCCCAGAAATCATATGCCCATTGACTTAGTTTCCCACAAATCATATCAAATGCCCATTGCCTTGATTTGCCTAAAATCAAATGCCCATTGACTTAGTTTCCCTCAAATCATATGCCCATTGACTTAGTTTCCCACAAATCTTATCAAATGCCTATTGACTTGATTTCCCTCAAATCAAATGCCCATTTACTTGATTTCCCACAAATCTAATGCCCATTGACTAAGTTTCCCACAAATTGAATACCTATTGACTAATATTCCCACAAATCAAATGCCCATTTATTTGGTTTCCCACAAATCAAATACCCATTGACTAAGTTTCCCACAAATCAAATTCCTATTGACTTGATTTCCCACAAATCGAGTGCCCATTGACTTGATTTCCCATGTATCATATTATGACAATTGACTTGGTTTCCCACAAATCAAATGCCCATTGACTTGGTTTCCCAGAAATCAAATGTCATTTGACTTATATTCCCACATGCATATCAAGTGCTCATTGACTTATTTTCCCACATTCATATCAAATGCCCATTGACTTGATTTCCCTCAAATCAAATGTCCATTTACTTGATTTCCCTCAAATCATATGCCCATTGACTTAGTTTCCCACAAATCTTATCAAATGCCTATTGACTTGATTTCCCTCAAATCAAATGCCCATTTACTTGATTTCCCTCAAATCAAATGCCCATTGACTTAGGTTCCCAGAAATCATATGCCCATTGACTTAGTTTCCCACAAATCATATCAAATGCCCATTGCCTTGATTTCCCTAAAATCAAATGCCCATTGACTTAGTTTCCCACAAATTATATGCCCATTGACTTACTGTAAAATCTTCTTCAGAAATAAGAGTTGTTGGATTCCATGCAATTGGTTGGTTCACCAGTTGACTTTGTAACAAATACACCTGTTTTATTATATAAATATCACCTGAAATAGAATACAGTAAATAATCATGATAATTATCTCATTCCCTGGTATGGTTTTCACACAGTAATTAAAATGCAATTGAGTTGGGAGTTCGAATGCCTCGTCTATGCATCATGTTTCAGTGTCATTTGTTATTGTAGTGCTGTGCCTTATAAATATGTTATATTGTTATGTTATTGATATGTTATCATTGAGGATAATAGCTGTATATATATATATATATTACATGCATTTTATTACATCACAGGGGCGTAGTCATCTAAAATATCAGTGAACGGATTTGGTTCAAATTTTATTTGCTGATACCTTGCGACATACAGTGTAGGATCTCTGAAAATTTCAAAACAGTCTTTTTTTATCAAAACATCTTTTATTCGGTGGGATCTGTTACTCCATGGAGTTGCTGTTTTCTAATTTAATATGATTTTTTATCAATCACACAATGTGAACTGAGCAATTATTAATAATCCCTTTCAGTAATTTCATTTGACTTTTTATGTTTTTTTAGTATACAGAACAGGCAACGTTATTCCACGAATAAAAATTAAAAGGTTTCAATGCATATTTATTCAGTTAGCAGTCAAAATAAATACAATTAATGCAATGTTTATTTTTTAACTTCAATAGATTAATACAGCCCTAGCAATAGTTTGATTTCTAAAAACAAAAGCTATATTATTGTTTCTGAACAGCTGTTACCACATGCTTTATGTCTCCCTTGTCTCCCTTGTTTCAGAATACTTGTATATGGTATTACAAATGCCATATATGGTATTAGAAATGCCATATATGGTATTAGAAATGCCATTTACATCCATCTCTTTTATCATTTCTCTTCAATGAGTAAATACTCATGATATAATGGGATGATAGAAAAAATACCTCCAAATAGTTATTTCGTATATTTGATGATATTTCTATAGAATGTTGAATAATATCGAATGAAGGGACTTAACACATAATGTGTCTCATCCTGTAATAAAAATGATACTTTAATTTTGTTTTGCCGAACCAACAATCAATGATTAAAGTATCACATCTAAATATTATGCAATCATATAAATGTAAAAATAAGATCCTTCTACCGTATCTGTCTATATTCAAGTTTAGGTAAGCTCATATCTTACCAAAAATGGCCTTCTACCACGTCTGTCTATATTCAAGTTTGGTTGAGCATATATCTTACGAATAAAGGTCCTTCTAACATATCTGTCTATAATCAAGTTTAGGTAAGCCCATATCTTACCAAAAATGGCCTTCTACCACGTCTGTCTATATTCAAGTTTGATTGAGCATATATCTTACGAATAAAGGTCCTTCTAACATATCTGTCTATAATCAAGTTTAGGTAAGCCCATATCTTACCAAAAATGGCCTTCTACCACGTCTGTCTATATTCAAGTTTGATTGAGCATATATCTTACGAATAAAGGTCCTTCTAACATATCTGTCTATAATCAAGTTTAGGTAAGCCCATATCTTACATGGGCTTCAACCACGTCTGTCTATATTCAAGTTTGATTGAGCATATATCTTACGAATAAAGGTCCTTCTAACATATCTGTCTATAATCAAGTTTAGGTAAGCCCATATCTTACATGGGCTTCAACCACGTCTGTCTATATTCAAGTTTGGTTGAGCATATATCTTACGAATAAAGGTCCTTCTAACATATCTGTCTATAATCAAGTTTAGGTAAGCCCATATCTTACATGGGCTTCAACCACGTCTGTCTATATTCAAGTTTGATTGAGCATATATCTTACGAATAAAGGTCCTTCTAACATATCTGTCTATAATCAAGTTTAGGTAAGCCCATATCTTACATGGGCTTCAACCACGTCTGTCTATATTCAAGTTTGGTTGAGCATATATCTTACGAATAAAGGTCCTTCTAACATATCTGTCTATAATCAAGTTTAGGTAAGCCCATATCTTACCAAAAATGGCCTTCTACCACGTCTGTCTATATTCAAGTTTGGTTGAGCATATATCTTACGAATAAAGGTCCTTCTAACATATCTGTCTATAATCAAGTTTAGGTAAGCCCATATCTTACCAAAAATGGCCTTCTACCACGTCTGTCTATATTCAAGTTTGATTGAGCATATATCTTACGAATAAAGGTCCTTCTAACATATCTGTCTATAATCAAGTTTAGGTAAGCCCATATCTTACCAAAAATGGCCTTCTACCACGTCTGTCTATATTCAAGTTTGGTTGAGCATATATCTTACGAATAAAGGTCCTTCTAACATATCTGTCTATAATCAAGTTTAGGTAAGCCCATATCTTACATGGGCTTCAACCACGTCTGTCTATATTCAAGTTTGGTTGAGCATATATCTTACGAATAAAGGTCCTTCTAACATATCTGTCTATAATCAAGTTTAGGTAAGCCCATATCTTACATGGGCTTCAACCACGTCTGTCTATATTCAAGTTTGATTGAGCATATATCTTACGAATAAAGGTCCTTCTAACATATCTGTCTATAATCAAGTTTAGGTAAGCCCATATCTTACATGGGCTTCAACCACGTCTGTCTATATTCAAGTTTGGTTGAGCATATATCTTACGAATAAAGGTCCTTCTAACATATCTGTCTATAATCAAGTTTAGGTAAGCCCATATCTTACCAAAAATGGCCTTCTACCACGTCTGTCTATATTCAAGTTTGGTTGAGCATATATCTTACGAATAAAGGTCCTTCTAACATATCTGTCTATAATCAAGTTTAGGTGAGCCCATATCTTACCAAAAATAGCCTTCTACCACGTCTGTCTATATTCAAGTTTGATTGAGCATATATCTTACGAATAAAGGTCCTTCTAACATATCTGTCTATAATCAAGTTTAGGTGAGCCCATATCTTACCAAAAATGGCCTTCTACCACGTCTGTCTATATTCAAGTTTGATTGAGCATATATCTTACGAATAAAGGTCCTTCTAACATATCTGTCTATAATCAAGTTTAGGTGAGCCCATATCTTACCAAAAATGGCCTTCTACCACGTCTGTCTATATTCAAGTTTGATTGAGCATATATCTTACGAATAAAGGTCCTTCTAACATATCTGTCTATAATCAAGTTTAGGTGAGCCCATATCTTACCAAAAATGGCCTTCTACCACGTCTGTCTATATTCAAGTTTGATTGAGCATATATCTTACGAATAAAGGTCCTTCTAACATATCTGTCTATAATCAAGTTTAGGTGAGCCCATATCTTACCAAAAATGGCCTTCTACCACGTCTGTCTATATTCAAGTTTGGTTGAGCATATATCTTACGAATAAAGGTCCTTCTAACATATCTGTCTATAATCAAGTTTAGGTGAGCCCATATCTTACCAAAAATGGCCTTCTACCACGTCTGTCTATATTCAAGTTTGGTTGAGCATATATCTTACGAATAAAGGTCCTTCTAACATATCTGTCTATAATCAAGTTTAGGTGAGCCCATATCTTACCAAAAATGGCCTTCTACCACGTCTGTCTATATTCAAGTTTGGTTGAGCATATATCTTACGAATAAAGGTCCTTCTAACATATCTGTCTATAATCAAGTTTAGGTGAACCCATATCTTACCCATTGCTTTATTGTGAAACCCATGAGCATAACGTCGATAGCCATAACGAGAATTATTTTTGATTTTGAAACCACAGTTGTCAAAATGCATGATATAGTGTACGTATTACGGGTATAGTTTGTTTAGATACAATCTTCGACCAATTTGTTAAAGTTATCGTAGGCAGCTCGGAACGCATTACAATGCAACGCAGATATTTACACAAATAGTGCGCATGTGTTATAATTTACGACACATACAAGTATAATTTCAAGTGATCAAGGTCACATTTTTATATCTAATAAAAATGATCTCATAATCTGCATGGATATGCCCTTGGGTTATTTGAAATTGACAAATGTACAATACTTCAGATAACGCAATGCTTTAATACTTTTTGAGCACGTGTATATGTTTAATAACAGGCATCAGATAACCCAAATGATAGCACTCAAAATTGTTTTTCAATGAAAGGCCCCATATAAAGTTTTGGATTATATTGTAGTCCTTTCCAATGTTATCAAATTGTTCTATGTGAAACT